CATTTATTAATTTTCATTTACACGATTCGAAATTGTTGATTATTATTGTATGATGAACTGATGAACAAAAACTAAAACAAAACAAAAAAAAACCGAAGAAGAATAAAAAAAAAACATCTTGGAACATTTTTAATAAACGATATTTTAACATCCTTATCATCATCATTTATTTTTTCTTTGACCGAATCTTCATCATCATTATATTGTATAACATGTGTGTGTGTGTGTGTGTTTGTAACATCTTCATTATCAGCCATCATCATCATCATCACACAAAAAATCATTTATTTTTCCGGATTATTGTTTTGTTTTGTGTTGTGTTATGTCGGCAGCCGACAACAAAATATGTATTAGTTGAACAACAACAACAACAACAAATCACTTTGGCCATCATCATCAAAAAAGATAAAACGAACAAATGGCAAGTATGGCACCAACTATCACTATTTCATTCAATATCAATTCGATACACACACAATCATTATGGACTCCAATTAAAAAAGAATCAATCGGTAATCAAAAAAAAAAAAAATAATGATGATGATGAGGAACTACTTATATTTTGATGATAAATAGATCAAATCTAATTCGAATCAGATCAATAAGAAAATGATCACTATGATGATGATGATGATGATGTTCACAAACATAATTTGTGTATGGGAAACAAATTGAATATTAAACTGAATAATATTGTTGTTGTTGTTGTTGTTGTGAACGATTCATAATAAAAAAAAGAATGACTCAATCATAATAATAATAATGTCGATCCAATGTAGTGCAGTACGTTGTTGTTGTTGTTGTTGTTGTTGTCTGGACCAGTGATCCGTTTCATGAAATTTGATATTATTATTCTTGATCGATATCAATACATCATCAGATGATGATGATGATGATAACCGGTCATACATTACATTTTTATTGCCATTGGCCATATTGTCATATTTTTCATGGTAAAAAAAAAAAAAATATATGTCATACACCATTATTTCTGAATAAAATGTTATGTTATATTTTGATGTTGACTTATTTATTCACTTCCACTAACAAACTGACTACATGGTTGTTGGTCTTCCTGTAATCAGTAGATGAAAAAAAAAAACTAAATGTCTTGATATTGTAACAAACAAAAAAAATGAGACAATGAACACAACAACAACAACAATGTTGGATATGGTTTGGCATTTTTTTTTTTAAATTTTTTTTCTGATCAACAACACTTTTCTGATCGTCATTATTTTATTTTATTATCGTTGTTAATGGCAACAACAACAACAACAAAATGTTCATCTATCAATCTACATTTGATTAAAATATGATATATATTGTTATATGGAACAATGGATCAACGAACAATATGAATGAACTTTGACAAAACAAAACAAAAAAAAAATGAATTAATTCCCATCGGATATCATATATATTGTTTTTTATTTTCGTTGAAATTTAAGTAACTCGTGAATAAGTAATTCAATTTTAAATGCATCAAGATATAACAATAATAATGATGATGATGATGATTGTATTCAATGTGAATCAATCAATACTTAATTGATCAATTTATTATTGTTTTCTAACAAAAAAACACTCAATAATTAAGTCATCAGATAGAAATCCATTTATCCATTACACATTTAATTATGATTTATCTGATTTTTTTTACGGATTTTTTTTTGTTATCACTATTGTACTAATATATTATATCTGGATCAAATTATCACACCACAATATATCTACACATTTGGCCAAAAAAAAATGATGATTCATTTTCAAGAAAAAAATGGCCATAAATTATGATGATGATGATGATGATCTTTATCATAGTTGCAGCATTATTCATTCAAATGAAAAAATTACTGCCCAAACGGTAAATATATTGCGCTCTATATATTATAAAATTCATTTGACCAATACAGAAATTTTAGTGAAAATAACAAACAAACAAAAAAAATCATATGTGGTTATTTTAGGAATACATATCGGACATTCTGAACAATCATTATGAATAAATAAAAATAAAAAAATCCGGTGAATTATTGTGTGTGCGTGTGTGTGTGTTTTGGATGGAAAGAGAGAGAGAGAGAGAGAGAGATGGGAGAAAATGGGTAAATTTAGGCGACAATTTTTTTTTGATCATCATCACAATCATCATTATGAATGATGAAATGATGACGATACGGACCACAATGGGGTATTTGTGGACAATACAAACAACAATATAGTGCAAGTGAAAGTTGAATAATGATGATGTCTGAATATAAATCGGATTATTATCATCATCATCATCATCATCGAAAAAAAAAATGAAAATAAACAGGTTCATACTATTAATATAATGGTATGAAAGATTCCTATTTGAATTATTTAATATGTTTTTTTCAATTAAAGAATTTCATAGCAAACCAGTACAATTTCATCAATTTTTTTTTCACACACAATTGATAAACCGATAATAATAATGATGATGATGATAACCAATAAAACAAAAACAAAAAAAATTATGGGTCAACTGAATTTCAATTACAGAACTTTTAGAAAAAAAACTCCTATAAATACAAATACAAGCACATTTTTTTTAGTAAAAATGAACTTGTTTTTTAAATGAAAAAAAAAAAAAAATAAATTTCCTAATACCTGTCAAATGAATGAATGAATGTGTGTGTGTGTTGTAAATGTTATGTAGGCGTTGAAATAATTATCATCATTATTATTGTGAATGAAACGAGGCAATTTTTTTTACTATCTGTTCTGTTGTTTGGGTTTAAAATGGGCCTGTTGTTGTTGTTGTTGTTTTTTTTGTTGAAATAAGTCAACTTTCATCATCATTGAAATAAAATGACAACAACAACAACAACAAGTAGACATAAAAAAAATTCATTCACCATTCTAATTCTAATTAACACAAATCCATCTTTTTGTCATCATGTCATCATGATGATGATGATGTTGTCGATTGTTGATTGTTGAATAACACGATATGATAATGATGGACATAATTATGATTATTATGAAACCAGATTATGGAAAAGAATCTTTATATTCATCCAAAGAGTTAGGAAATATCCATTTGTTGTTGAGAGATGCGTGTCACTAAATATTTTTTTTTTAGTTTAATTAGCCAAACATGAAATTTTTTTTGGTCAATTTTTAATTCCGTGCAGATTACTGGAATTTCGGACGTGTTCCATTCTTGATCATGATGTTGTTTTCTTCTTCATCGAAAAAATCGTTGTATTTGATCAGCAGTCGATAAATATCGATATTTATGAAATAAACCAAAAAAAAAAAAAAATACAATTTGAATACAAAGATTATATCATCAATTTGGCCAATGGATTCATTGAATAACATAAATATGAATGGAAAATGATCAAATTTAAAAATTGAAATAAAATAAAACTCATTATATAAGATATACAACGAAGGGGAGAACAAAAGCTTCTATCACGAGTAAATCACGATCAAAAATTAAACTAAAACCATACTGTATGGTCGGTATTATATGTATTGTATGTTGCAATTGTAATGAATGAATGATGATCTAGATTCTAGATGATAAAAAGGGAGAAAGGCAAAAAAAAAAATGAAAAATGAAAGGAAAAGTTTTTCAAAAACCAAATAAACATTGAGAATTGCCTGTTGTTGTTGTTGTTGTTGTTGTTAATATGAATGAATGATTTTCGGGTTGTTATTTTGAATGGCAACAAACCAAACCAACATCAACACACACACACACAAAAAGACAGTCCATTGAATAATGAACAATTAACCACACGATTTTTTTCGCTTAGTCTCAACATCGAAAAATGAAACATGATTGTTGCTGCTGTTGTATACTAAAACCATAGGATAAGATGAATTGTAGATCTAGAACTAAAAATAGAAATATCTAAAACGTTTTGTTTTGTTGTTCCAATAAAAAAAAAAGAAAAACGGTCATGTTTGTTGTTACCTTTGGTTATTTATCAAATGGTTGTTGTTGGTGCAATAAGAAGCTACATCAATGGATTGTAACCAGGAAATGATTGACTAACATGGCAGTAAATTAGTCAGACAATTAACGCTTCTCGACAACAACAACAAAACAACAATTCATTTCAAACGGTTTTCAAATGAATTTATTTTCTTTTTGCTGTTTTTGGCTTTTCATCACTTTTCAATAAGAAATGGCGTGAATTTTTTTTACTTTCTTTGCTACATCAATCTTCAAATGAATATATGTGTGTTTTGACTATCACATAATGTCCGATAAAATGATGATGATGGATCATTGAAATGATTTTCCAGACCATACAGTAGTGTGTAATTCATATTCAATGATGATTCAGTAGGCACATATTCATTATTATGTGTGAAGAAATTTTCATTTTCATTTCGATGATGATGATGATGATGAATTTAAATTGATTGTGTGAAGAATATCATCCGCATCAACTGTGTGGAATATGAACAAATTAATTTTTTTTTGTTAATTTATAATGACGACCATCATCATCATCATCATCATCAATTTTGACAAGTCCATTCTAATAGTAGTAACCGCCGCCGCCACAAGCTACCAGTCTTTTTTTCTGTCTGTTCATCAGACATCATCATTATTGTCCTGTAGACACAAACTCATGAATGATGATGATGATGATGGGAAAAAATTGTCGATTTTCAGATTTATCAAACTAACACAACAAAAAAAAACAACAATTTCCAACCAGGTGATGCTGACCATTGTTGTTGATGGTGGATTTGGGTGGTCAAAAACTGAAAATGAATACAAAAATTCAGTATATTTTTTTTTGAAGAAATAACATTTTCATTTTATTAAAATTTGAAATAATTGTGAAATCAAAAAAAAAAACTATAGAATCAAATATTCTGAATCAACTGTTTGATTTTTTTTGTGCATGTTTAACATAAAAATAATCAATTATCATCATCATCATTTATTATAATAATAATACCGTTGGTATACATAATCCGAAACTAAAAAAACTTGAAGATCATCATCAAACATCAATAAAATTTATTGTTATTGAATGTTTTTTTTTTGTTTTGTTTAATGGCAATAATCTTCAACATTATGATCGGTTAATGTTTGATTTCTTTCGGCTAGAATGAAATGTCCGATGGCTGCACCAGCCAAAATGGCTAAACAAATCCAAACATTGAATAACATGAATGCCAACATCAGATAATAGGCAAACAATACTTGTAAAGAATAAAGAAATGTTGAATAAATATTCATTGGAGAAAACATTTCCTGTATGGATGCAAACAACGGTATGGTGTTTGCACTATTAAATGTTAGCTAGGAAAAAAAATTGTAAATTTGAAAAAAAAGATGTTTGATTGAAAAAAAAATTGAAAACTTACAATTGGATTAACACTGGATGCCTGACAACTATTGCTTGAACCATTACTTGAACCACCACCACCAGATTCAGTATCCATGGCTGATGTTGTTGTCGATCGCATACCATACGATGGATGATTAAACTTGGCCATTTTTGATGTTGAATCAGGCCGATCATCATTTTTATTTGTAGAATCTAATTTATTATCAACAACACTTTCAATAGCATCGGATTTTAATTCAACTAAATCTGATCGATGATGAGCATCATCACCATCACCATCGCCACCACAATGACTGTGATCATGAATAATCTGAACACTTGGTCCATTTATCGATGTAGCAGTATTAGGCGTATAACGTACTAAACGTGCAGAAAATATTCGACGATATGCTTTGAGAATTTCATAAATGATGGCCATAACAAAAAAAAATAAGCACGTCATAAACATGGCTAGAATAAATCATAATTAAAATAAAACAAAAAAAAATAAAGAAAAAGATTGAATATTGATAATGAATTCACGAATCCGTGAATAAAACAACAACAATAACAACAACAACAAAAAAAATCAGACCAAACACCTACATAGATTCGAATCAGCTGACCATTGTTGAAATAACACGATGGGTTCGTAACCAAAATGAAAAAACATTTTGCCCATATGGTCCATTGAACCGGCCGTCATCATCATCGATTCATCATCATGTGATCCATGTTGATGATGTCCATTGTTGTTACTATTGATAATAGTCTCAACAATGGGCATTATCGTAGATGGTGGTGTAGGCGAAGATGTAGTCATCATCGTCATCATTCCATGGTCATGTTGATGTTGATGGCCATCACCATGATGATGTGATGACATGATTTGTTTTTATTTATTTATTTTTTTTCTGTTGTTTCCTAAAATAAAATCAAATGAAAAATATATGTAATTGATAAATGGTAACAACGACAGAATCATACAACAATACATTCATTCAATCATCAATGATCGATGATTATCGTTTAAGTTATTCAATGATCGATTCAAACACAAACACAAACACACACACACACAAACAAAGGAAACGTATCGATCTATTGATCGATTGAATGATTCACTGATTGATGAAAACATCCGAAATATGAACATGAATTGTACATGTATATAATTGGATTTTTCATAAGCAAAGAAAAAAAAACAATCAACAAAAACGAAAAGTTTTTTTTTACTTTTTAAACATATAACGGATGGATTTTAAAATATTGCTTTTCATTTTATTTTCTATATGAGAGATAGAGAGATGATCATCTCTATTGGCGATGATTATGATGACGATGATAATGATAATCATCATTTGTCGGATGGATGAAATAAATGAAATATGATTTTTCCTCTCTCTCTCTCTCTCTCTCGGTGTGATCATCATATACGTGTATACTATCGTGACTTAAACTGACTTTTAAAAAATTTGGTTTTGAATTCGTTGAACAAAAAAACACAGGTGACATATAGATGAAAAGAAAACAGAGCATAAAAGATTCACGCTCATAAATGTTTGATCAACACACACACACACACAACACACAAACACACGAAGTTTATTAAAAAAAATGAAGAAAGGTCATATTCATTTTTTTTCATTTAAAAAAAGAAATAAATTTTTAAAAAAATTTCAAAAAAAAAAAAAAATTCCAAACAATACAAACAAATAAACATTCCATGATAATAGTCAATAATTGTAATATTTTTGGCAATAGTAGTCTGCATATTCATTTTGCATGTTTTTTTTTCTCCCGTAAAAAAATTTACATTGAGATCAATCACGACATTCATCCATCCATATTAGATGATTATGAATTTCAATCATCATCAAAAAAAACAAAACAAAACAAAAAAACAATCCAACATCATCATAGTGAAATGGTAAAAAATTAACCACAAAAAGAAAACCTAACAACTACAAACTATAAGAATGGTCAATTCAATTCAATTCAATCATCATTGTATAATTCTAATCTAATCTAATATAAAAATTAATTTGAATTTGGTGAATGCACATATAGTGTGATGGTAAATTAAAATCATGATTTTTTTTGTTGTTCAGAAAGAAAGAATGAAAAAAAACATGAATCAAATTATGACCTTGAGAATGATGGTGGTGACGATTCGTTTTAATTAGAGATTTTTCACAAAAAAAAAAATTTTCTCTATTCTCAACGTGATAATTGGACCATTCAATTCAATCTCAAAATGATCAATGTCATGATGATGAGGCTAAAGCCAACAGCAACAGCAACAACAACAACAACAGCAGCAATAATAAACTAATCAATAAGAATTTCGTTTTAAATTTCATTTATTCATTCATCGAAAACAAAGTGAAAAAATGTTTCACACACATTTGTGTTGTGTTATGTGATTGTTTGAAAATAATGAACAAAAATTCGTTGTGAAAGAAATTCAAAAAAAAATCTGATGCTATATATTTCAATGCCGTAGCGATCATGGCGATTATTAGCTGAGATTTTTCTGTTGTTGTTGTTGTTGTTTTGTTGTTCTGTCAAGGTCGATGATGGTCCACTTTTTTAAACATTAAATTTTCAACAGATCCAGAACGAATAAAACATGCAAACAAACAATCATATTCTTATATATAAAAAAAAATTCAAATTTAAATTTTCGATTTAGAATTATACGCCCAAGATCATGTATGACAGATCAATCAATCAACAAACCTAAAAAAATCGATCGTTCCAGCATTTTTAGGAACAATATGGTCAAGAAACAATCGTGTGTGTGTGTGTGTGTACCACCATTAACAATAGAGATTCAATGATTAGATTGATCCATAACGTTTGATGATGATGATAATCATCATCATCATCATCATCATGGACAGCTGTTGATCATTAAATGAAGAAAGATTCTGATTATTCACACTCAATATTAGTGTGTGCGTGTGTGTGTGAACAAAGTATCGATAACAATCATATAAATGAGAAACTTGAGATCATCATCATCATCCATTTTATACAGCTTTATATAACTATTCGATACAATCAAGACGATAATAATGAAACTGTGAAACAAAAATTTTTTTCCCTCTCTCTCTCTTTTGTGGTTTTTTTTTGTATTCTCTATGTGCATACCAGACCAAATAGAACATTTGATGATCGTGATACATTAATTGAAACATCGGACAAACATTGAAAGTGTTAATCGTTGAAACCAACAACAAACTGAGATTCGATCATGATGACTGATTTTTTTTTCTTTTTTTTTTTTTTAAATCTATGCTATGGTATTTTGTTTTAAACATTTTTTTTTCGTGTTAATGTTTGATCCTGAAACCTAGTAACAAACCACCAGTAAATAAGAATACATACATTTTGTCCTATTTTATATGACATTTGTATGTGTATTTATAAATCTTATGAATTCTGAATTAATTCGGCAATAACCTAATAAACGTAAAGATTTTTGTAGCACAACCAAAAAAAACTTCCGAGTGTTAAAAATGAAACACGCGTAGACATTGCTATTATTATAGAAACAAAAGTAAAACAAAAACACGCACTGCATTACAAATAAACATCTTTATCAATAGAAATTTGAAACCGAAACAAATTACCAGACATATATGAAATTAATGTCTAAAAAATTTGTATTCAAAGATTGTTATATATGCAAATCACGTTATAGCCAATTTGAAAGAGTGAAAAAATGCAAATGGAAAGGTAAACTTTCTATTTGATTGTTTCACCGTTTTTTTTTCTTCTAGTTTGTTGTTGTTCATCATCACTCTAATTATTGACATATATGAAAAAAAAACGACAACAACACAAAATGGTTGGTTGATCAACTCATCTAACAAATTGATCGAACACACACACATCATTGATGTTGATGATGCAATTGATCATGGCAGTCAATCATCAAATCAAAAAGAAAAGAAAAAAAAATACATAAAAGGCTATGAAACATGGTTGATAGAAACACAATCAATATTGTCTTTTGTAAATATAAATTACCCGATGTTAATGTTGAACGAAACAAAACAAAAAAAAAACTCAAAAATCATTTGTCAATGGCAATCCTAAGAGCAAAAAAAAAATTTAATTTCCCAAAATGATTCTAAAAACTATTAAACGAAAATGTCATCGTAAATCACAAAATTGAACTTTGCTCACGCTGTTGTTGTTGTTGTTGTTGTTGTTGTTGTTGACAAACGGGCATTTTATTTTTAAAATTCCTTAAAAATACACTACATACACAGATGTCAAAATATCATTCGAATGAAATGAACAAACAAACAAGCTAAGAATGTGGGGACACAAAACAATTAAAATTTATATATATTTGAGTTAAAATAGTTTCGAATGAAAATTGAAAAAAAAACTTGACGGAAGGACAAAATAACAATTCATTATTATCATTTCAAATTCAAGTTACCTAATCATTCATTATAATGAAAATTTTTTTTTCAATAATTATACAATTGAATACAAACAGAATGCAAAATTTTTTGTTCTTCTTCTTCCTTTTTGGAATTTTTTTTTCATCATACCATCAATCATCATCATTTCATCATGATGAAACTGTTGACCAATTACCAGAACAACAAAATGACCAAAAAAAAAAAAAAAAAAAATGAAAAGGATGATTACAAGAAGCGATGATGTGATCATCATCAATGTTGATGATGATGATAATGATGATGGAACGATATCTAGATTATCATTATAGGATAATCTCTCGCCATCATCATCATCGTCATCATCATGACCGACACCACCCAACGATATAAACCATATATATAATTTTGGAAGGGATGTTTTAAAAAAAAACAAATTTTTCCGCTCTCGAATGGATAAGCTTCATCATAATCATTCATTTACAAACAAAAATGACATAATTACCACACTACCACTGAACACCTTGCACAAAGGTTAGTGCTAACCTTCTTAAGTTAGTTTTTTAGGTTAGCAATTTTCCAAACCTGTGGGTTAGCAATCACCGTGAAAGTGGTTAGCGCTATCCATTATTTTAAAATTAATTTTTTGTATTATAAGATAAATTATTATTATTAATAATTAATAAATTAATATTTGTAGTGAAAAATAAATCAGAAAATAATTTCGAGCAAAACAAATAAGAGTAATCGATACACAATGAAATCAATTGGCAACTAAATTATCCAGATTTATTATTATTTTGTACACCACCAAAGGAACAAAGTTTTATTTCTAATTTCACAAATATGCGTCTTTATTCATTGACGATCAAAAGCAACTAAAACAATACAACACTTCACGTGTTGATTCAAATACCGTCGTCGATGGCGCCACACGCCATTAACCATTACCTACCCTTTACGAGGGCGCCACGCTTTTCGAATTTTCGGATAGAACGCCCTTGATCTCAGTCGGCGCGAAAGCTAGAAAAAAATGAAGATTTCCATATAGAAAAAAAATCAATGATTGTTTCATGATTCATGAGAATGTTGTTTGAATTTGATTAGAGCATTATTTTATATATATTCATGATGACAATAAATATAGAAAAAGCAACAGGTCGACCGAATATCGATTTTCATGAAACATTCGAAAAGAAAAACAAATTGCTATGTCAGTCAATCATCATCATATAATATAATTCACAATGTAATGATATCTCATTACAACAAGCAATTTTCTAAGATGATATTCCATAAAATTTATGCGTGGAATCTAATCGAATGAAACGAAACAAAACAAAACAAAATTATTCAAATTGAAATCCTCACACACACACTTACACATCAATTCGATTAAAAATTCCAACAAGTAGCATTCGAGAATTTAAAAAAAAAATTCTCACTTAACAATAATGGAGCCATCTATAATCCATTATTTGAAACATTGACAAGAATGCAGGGAAAATTGCCCTTTTTTATGAATTTGTTTTTAAAACAAAAAACAAATGATCAAAACACTTACCGTACAATTGTTATAAAGATGTATTTGTTGAAATTTTTTTTCGATTCACAAACACACGTAGTCAAATTAGCAGAATGGTTCCATCATTATTTATTTGAGCGAAATTCTATGAAAATAGAATAGATCACCAATGAACAACAGATGGATAATTCTAAATTGAAATTCGTAATTGTTAAATATTCGATTCAGACAAAAAAAAGACTTACCAAATTATCTTATGAATGGTAAACTTATAGTGATTGATCAATGACATCAACTTTAATCGATATTTATAAACACAGAGTAATATTTAAAGGTCAAGATGCTTGTTCATAAAGAACACCGGGACATGGAAAAAAACATTCAGAAATTCATTCCAGAGATCAGATGATATAATCGAATGATTATAACAAATTTTTAAGATATTGGAAATTTATTATCATCAACTTTGAAATTTTGTTTGTTTGTTTGATGGACAAGGTGATCAAAGAAAATTTGTCGGATTTTGGATCCAATCCAAACAGACGAATGGATAAATAAAATACAAACACACAACACGTTACCTGAAACGCAGAACAAACTAATGAAAACACAAACAAATAGCTGATGTGAACATATTTATGAACAGATGAACTTAAATCTTCAGTGAGCGTCATAGTCACAATGGCAAACTTAAATGTACCATAAAATCGCGATTATAAAAAGCGTCTTGTACACAAAAAATTTTGTTAAATGGTTTTTTTAAAATAGCTGCTACTTCATGGAAAAAAATTCAGCTTTATAGTCGCGATTTTAGGGTATTTTTTAACGTATCAACTATATATAACGGATCACTTCTATTTGCCATTGTGACAACATTCCAATTAAATGCAAAGTATCTCATTGTGACTAAACCTATTTCGGTAATTACAAAATCCTTTTGAACCATTTTAAAATGTGGATCAATAGATAATTTTTTTTATGTTATGAACAAATAGAAAAGAGTTTATGCCAATTTTTATTTTTTTTTCACATAAATAAAAACACTCTCTTTTTGCCTTTGGAAAATAATACGTTTCACAATACAAAACCAACCATTAAAATCAATCAATCAACAATAAATTGTGCCCGTGGTTAATCGACCCATTTCTTAATTGTTTTTATTTTTTGAACTTTTTTTCGATTGTTGTTGTCCCGACGTTGATGGCTGTGATTCATTTTGATGATGATGATGATGACATTCATCACCTGAAACAGGTGTATAATCGTCAAACATGGTTGGATCATGTTTTTGCCACTTTAATGGGCAACGTCGATACATTGGCCATGGTGGTATGGTTATCTGAAATGGAATAAAAAAAAAGATGTTGAAAATTCAAATTCAAATAAACAAAACTAAATTAACAATTACCAATGCGGATAGTACGAAACCGACACCCAATATGATGATGGCCAATGAAATTAGTTGATATGCATATCCAACTATTAATCCGATAATCTATTGCAAGCAGTTAGTAAAAAATTTAGTTTTTTATGGTTTCGAGATCATCATATTAATAAGATCATTTACTTACACTGGATAAAACGACAATTCTTTCGAAATAACTTTCAGCACGACGTTGTCCATCAAAATCCTGGATATTTTTTTTTGTTTAAATTTGAATATATTTAAATTAAAACCATATAAATTATAATTAATAAAACATACCATATAAAGTGATTTGGTATAATCTTCAAACATTTTTTACTAATTTATTATTAAATTTTAAAATAAAAATATTCAGGTGATATAATAGATTTAGCCGTTTATATTTGCTGAAAATCTAAAAATCCAATTATGTCACGTCAGCGCTCAACAAACAGCTGTAACTGTTTTCTATAAAGTTTTTTTAAACAATTTTTTCCAAGAATATTTCTTTTTCTTTGAAATTACAATTTTCGCATGGATCAATTTTGAATGAAGAATTTTGTATCGATGATGGGTTTCTAGCAACATTTTAAATTTCAAATTTTTTTTTTAAAGATATTTTTCAGACAAATTTCAAAATAATATTCGGTTTTAGTGGTCATCTTTGATGAACCATTGATGATGGTGGTTGTTATTGGAGGTGATGGTGGCGTTGGCGGTGGCAGTCTAGAAGCTCGGCCTACCACCAGTGGTAATTCATCTACCAACCTCTCCTCTACTGTTTTCCAACTTTTTCCTGCCTCTCATCTCCTTCTCCCACCACCACCACCACCACCACCACCACATCTCTATTCCATTTGATTGTGGACAGTGCGAGTTTGCTTTTGGCTCAGAGTACTGATATCAAGCGATGATGAAAACATTTTTACAATGAAAATTGAGCACATAATTTATTGTTACTGGTTTAGTATTAATTTTTTGAAAAAAATAAAAAAAAATTAAAATATGGAAATTGACAATGAAGATGGTAGTAATTTTAATACATCACAACAACAATCGACATCAACGACGAATGGTACTCGTCACCAATTCAGCATCAACGAACTATTATCAATGATTGAAATGATAAAAAAATGTGAATTAATATGGAACAAAAATCATCCAGAATATTCTCATGGCCTTGCACGTGCCGTTGCATTCGAACAGATTGCACAACAATTATCTATTCCGGGTAAGTGTATTTAATTAATGTTCATTCATATATACACCGGGCGCATGTGGTTGTGTTGTAAGTCTCAAGGCATTTCAATTTTCCAATTTATATTATTTATTATACTTTACTAATTATAATTACTATTATTGATTAATTTTTTTAGTCGAGGATATTCGCTGGAAATGGCAGATATTACGTAAAGAATATTTCAAAAAAATTTCACAAAGTAATAAGCCAACAATCAGTGGTCAGAGGCCAAGACCGTGGAAATGGGCATCACAGTTATCTTTTTTGAATACTGTAATAGCGCAAAATAGTCAACAGAATATCAAATCAAAATCAGATTATCATCAACAGTTATCACTGATCTCGAAACAACATCATGTGACTAAAATAAATAATTTCAAATCATCCGCCAATCATAATGGTAATGGATCAATGTCATTGTTGGCATCATCAACACATAAGATGGTTAACGGTAAATTTAATCACCGTCAACATCATAATTCATCGAAAAGTAATAATATTAATAATCAACAGCTATTAAATTCGGAAGAAGATTCATCAGAACAAACAGACAATTCAAGCGAATTGCAATTGAATGCAAATCATTTGTCACAATTTGATTATTGTACCATTGATTTGGATGATGATGATCAAAATCAACTACCAACAATTGGTGAAAATGATGATGAAGAAGATGGATACAATATAACCGGTGATGATGGTGATGTCGATGATGAAGATTTACCAAAATTTTTCTGTGAAACTATTTATTCACCAGCACCTGATGAAGATGAAAATGAATCAAATGAAGAAGAATTAGAATCAAAATTATTGGTGACAACCAAACAACAACCAGCCATCAATTCGAATAAACGAAGTCAAATCATCTACTACAATAATTTAAATAATAATAATATTAACAACAAATCATCCCCATTAACTGCCGCACCGGAAAATCGAAAACGTAATCGTTCGTCCAATAATAATAATAATAATAATACGGAGACGGACGTAGAAAATTCAACAAAAAAGCCAAAATTTGATGGCGATCAATTCATCTCTGGTGAATCAGTGAATCTTTCATCGATAATATCCTTATTAAGGACACAAAATGAAATATTAGTAACAAGAAATCGTCGCGAAGAAACATTATGGCAACAATTAGCCGATAAAGATAGTCAATTGAATCGCTTAAGCCGTCAACGTGAAAACGAACAACAAAAGCAACAGGAGGATACATTTCGAACATATTTATTGGCAAAACTATCGTTGTTACAGGATGTACCACGAACATCATCTAAATGGACTAAAGAATTTCAGACCATCATGGATCAAGCATTCGATAACGTTTATCAAAAATTTTTATCACAACACAAATCAAAAACATAAATTCTCATTATTAAAATATATAATAAAAAAAACATTTTATGAAAATCGTTCTGTTATTTTCGATTTCGACTTTTACGAGTCGTACGACTAGGATAATCATCATCTTCATCAGAGTCTTCTATGGCAACGGTTTTGATCAATTTGGCCTTTTTCTTTTTTGGAAATGTTTTTGAACTTGATTTATCGTCATCTTTACTAGAACGAACAATTTGCATCGGATCATCATTGTCATCAAAATTTTTCATATCGAAAAATGATGTCAGTGATTTTAATTTACTAGATTCTTCACGGAGATTCTGACGATCACGATACCGCTTTCCAAATCCACGGGAAGTTGATGCTAAAGACTCATCTTTATTATCATTATCAGTAGTGTTCATGTCAAAAATTTATTTTTTTTCATCACTTGTCTTCGACATTTTTTCTTGTTTATCGTTCACATCAAACATATCGATATCGTCCTCATAGAATGGATCATCATCTATTTTTGAGCCAGTATTTCCAATATTCGATGATTGATTACCAGTGACCGTTAAATTTGATAATTTCTGCTGTAGTAAACTGAATGGTCGTTTGACAAATGGTTCACGTGTGATCCATTGAAATCGTGACCGATATTCTTGATCATTGAAGATTTTTTGTTTAATCGATCGAATTTCTTCCTTGAGATCGTCTAGTTTAAAGTTTTCATTATCACCTAAGGCCATATCGGTTACAAAACGTATAGCTTGTTTACTGTTTTCGGTGAAATCTTTAAAACTATCTGTTTGATTTTTCTTAGTTAATGTATCGACTTTTTCAATGAAAAATTTTTCATCCAACATGGTCAAACGTTTTCGATCATTGGCCTCATCGAAATGTTTGATCAATATTGTTGGGAGATGATACTTTTTCGATATGTCAGCTGCACGTATGATATCGACAAAACCATTCACATCATCATCACCATCGTCAAGGCCAGCTGAATTTGAGTCACTGTCCATTTGATTAGAACGTTTACGAATGAATCGTACAACATCGTTATTGTTGGCAACCAATTTGTTTACATGGAATTCCAATTTACGACGATCAAACAATAGATCTTTGTCGCTATATTCGATACGAAGACGGATTAATGGTTTTGCCTCACCATCATCATTGATCATAGTCGATTGACAACGAGCCTCGCTTAACATTGTTTGGACCTTATCTCTGAAACAGAAATATAAACATAACTAAAAATTGGAAAAAAAGTAAAACACCTACTTGCAAAAAGAGAACAAAAACTGTTGTTGTTGATGTAAGGATTTAAATGAATCATTTTTGGACAACAAGCTATCGACATCAATGGTGGACATCACGAATGGCCGAACCGTTTCGCAACGAAATGATTCAATCTTAAACCGAGGCTTCTGACGTTCATCGTCATAATAACATTTCATTAAATAGTAATACTTATCACCATATTCAGCTTCACAAAGTGATGTAGCCACTGTCGAACCTGGCTGTAAGATGAAAAAGTTATTCTGCTCAAAATATTCAGGCTCTTTATAAGGTCGATGTTCATGGCCCCATATGACAAAATCTGGTAACGAAGTTAAATCATACGGATTAAGATGTTTGGTCCCAGGTCTCGGTACACGATTCTGATGAACTAGCAAAATTTTTAGATATTTTTTCAATTCCTCTTGAGAATCACAATCAAAATCTGGTGTAAGATAATTGAACCGTTCATTTTGAATCAATGTATGCAATCGTTCTTCGCGCATCGATCCAAATCCATAGACAATAATTTTTGTTTGTCCTTTCTCGAATATGATTGGCTTGATTAATAATTCTTCCACATTATCCTGTTTGCCAAAATAGTTGACAAGACCGGAAGCGGAGAAAAGATCTAAACAACAGGAACAATTCATTCCAACAGGATCATCATGATTTCCATGAATAGTGAATATTGGATATTTCACTTTCAAATTCGGATCAATACAATTAGCATTTTTGAAATTTTTCACCAAAAACTTTTGACAACCATTGCCACCAAAACAATATTTTCTTATCAGTGACATTGTTCGACGCATCGTTTGTATTGATGGTTTGTTCACATCAAACAAATCCCCGGCCAACAGAATGAAATCGACGTCCATATTTACAGCTGCTTGTAAAACTTCTTCAAATGTACGAAACGAATCCTCACCACGAATTGGGTGTTTTTCATTGTGGCCCAAATGACAATCTGATGTGATTAAGATTTTGAATTCATCTGTATTTTTATGGGATGCCATTTCGCGATGAGATTTTCAAGAAAAAAAATCGAGAAACGTCAAAAAAAATCAGATGTAATTTGCAATCACAGTAAAAAAAAGTGATATTCGCCGCTCTTATAGTACGTTATTTTCGAAAATTCAAATTGGCGGTTTTAATTTATTCATTTATTTAATTTAAATATACACATGTTCAGAATTCGACAGGTATAACGACATAAAGCGAATGTTCGACTATTGGACGTAGAATATAATCAAGATTAATCAGGCCGTCGTTGACTGATGTTTGAGCACTTTCTTTAATTAAACGAAATCTATTTGGATTCGGATCATTGTAATTATCTTTAGGATGTGGAAGTTTTATATAGCGGGCAATTTCCGATGGAAAACGCTGTATTCGATATCCTTTACGTACTAATCGAGATCGCATTTCATCATCTTCGCCACCCCATCCAAAGAATTGATTAGAAAATCCGTTCACATCATATACGATTGATGTTTCGATCGCACAGGCACCACCGAATAGTTCTTCATAGAAATAAGCGAATCGAACAATATTTGATGACATGTGTCGCGGCTGATCAGAACACAAGTATAGATTACGTAGATCCAATGGTAATAGCTCCACATCATGGAATATGAAACAATCGAAACTATTAAAACGGATGGCTTCATTGAAACCGACGTTGAGTAATTTTGCACGATTAAATTGCTTACGATCGCGTTGTTCAACGATAAACAATTGATATTGAACTTGATTTTGACCAGTAAGAAATTTATGAATATTGTGAACAAAAATTTGTAATTGATCACTGCGATTTCGATATGGTACAACAATGGCCACATTTTGTAATGCATGACATCCGCGTGGTTTATATCGGCCACCAGACTCAATCATTGTTAGCAAACTATCGTTTTTAATTTCTTGTAACTCTAATAATGGTTCGAAATTAACATCTGATAAATTACTATCGGTTTGACAATATGAAAATGTATTCGACAGATTGGTTGGGATCAAAACATTAGAAAATGGAATCATTTTTCGTAATTCAACCATTCGAAATGATAATTGACAAGCTAGTGTAGTAATTTCAATCCATATGATCAGTACGAACCAATTCATTTTAATTTTATTCGGTTTCAAGCAAAACTTTTTTTTGACAAAACCACGATTTTTATAGTAAATAATTAATTTTATTTTAGCAAATAATCAAATTAAGATTAGAAAATCTGGTTGATCAGAATAATTGTTATTGGTACCGTTTGTTTATAGTGACATAAAATACATCATGGATTTCATTTGTTAAATACTCTCATAATTGGTCCCATGTTTGATTGTTTTGAAAAAAATAAGATAAAAACATTCGTTTATATTCATCCATCCAATGCTTCCGTTTTAAATCTATTGCCAGTCCATACAGATTTAAATTGTTCAGGCAATGGATGTTCGACCTGGTAGAAAGCAAAAAAGTTTTTGTTTTATCATCAAATTTAAAAAGTTATAATAAAAACTTACATAATCGCCAGAAGCATTCAGAATTGAAATGTTAATTTCCGAACTCTTCGATGTAACAATTTCACATTGAAGCGATTCATTTGATAGGTATACTTCGATACCGTCGGTTTTATCAATTGTAATGGTAGGCACCACTCCATTCACCTATGCAATGTCAGAAAGATAATTGTAATTTTATTGCATTGAATAGAAAAATTTAAATTTACATACCTGAGCTTGTACCCGCTGACAATTAATAAATTCAAGTACGGACAGAACATTATCGAAAATTATGGAAAATTTTCGACATTCATTCACAGTGATTAAATTGACTTTGCCTTTGACGGTCAAAACAGATTCATTACAATTATAAATGTTGATCGATTGTGTCATATTTGTATCATCGATGACAAGATCACGTCGGCCAAAATAATTTTCTACAGTCCATTTTTTGCCTTCCAATGATAGCTTTGGACATAATTTTCGTATGTTTTTCCCGCAGGTTGGTTGACCTATTGAGTCTGATTTTCGGTCCGGTACCAATGATGACTGTCGTAATGAGCTATTTTTATGTGTCTGCTGTTCGGAAGTCACTTTTCGAAGACCTTTGGTAATGTCAGTCCCTTTGTTGATCGATGCAAACAATGCTGCATGTTGGTCATTTGGATTACCACTGGCTGAATTGGTGGAATTATCGTTGAAAAAATCGGCCGATGGTGGAGGCGGTGGTGGTGGTGGTCCATTTGCTCCATTTAATGCATTTCCTTTGGCATTCCACACCAAACCGGTGGTATGATTACGGCGAACATATTGTTGTAGTTGACCAAGAAATTCAATCCATAATTTGGCCCATTGAACGATTTGAGCATTTTTGTCTTTATATGCAATCAACACTTTGTTGGTGTAGAATTGTGCCGAATCGGACATTTCTTTGATGTAGGGAGCCGGTGTTGGAACTACCGATACCCAACCTAAAGCGGCAATACCTTCGGCGATTGATGATAAAAGATTGAAATGTTCATCCTTTCGATTCTTGTCTCGAATTGACTTTTTAATGAAATGGAAACATAATTTGGATATGAATATCAAAGAATCATTCCTAAATTCTTACAATAATCTGTGTGATTAGATCCGAGGTTGGTCGAAGCAATTCTAATAACTTGGAATCGGCAGGTTTTTGCGATTGTGATGCTAAACGTAAAAAATCCAATTGAGCATCCAATGCTTTACGAACCAATGTGCATTGTTCTTTAACCAGGCCACCAATTTCATTGCTAATGGCCAGAAATTTATCCAAAGGATTGGTCAATAAGTCTTGAAATTCTGCAACGGAATTTGAAACTATTGTCATAAATAAATTATATAAATTATCATTATTATTAATAACATATAAACGATGATTCATTAAACACTTACACATTGTAATTTTGAGTCTTGAATATTACCGAGATATATAAATGCTTAAAAACGATAAACACCAAAATGCAAATCAAAATCGAATAAATTTGCGATTAAAATTGGGTGAATGGAAACAAAGAAGACACAATAAAAGGGAAATAAAAATTGAACGTCAACTTTAATTGTCTATATATTTCAATGGAAACCGACAACAACGGGTGGGGCATTTAACAATATCCCTCTATATCACTCGCGATCAATCAAGTTGCTGCCCCCTTTATTGTTATTTTTGGTTTCATTCAAACATTTCCCGGGAAGATTCCGAGTAAAATTTAATCACGTGATTGTATTGATTAATTAATCACATTGACATTGATTTACATTGACAATTATTTAAATTTTAAATTAAATTTTTTTTTCATTTATTCATCATTATATAATCAATTGTTATTCAAGTGAAATATGTTGAAAAAATATAGTTACAAAAATTTTGTTTTCAACAACAAAAAGAAAGGCTATGAACCAAATCACACTGTTATATCATTTGTCAATATCCATTTGGCTCTTTGAAGTCGTCGGCTGAATATAGGAACCCATTCCAGCAGCTTGTTCTGATTCCCTATGACTATAAGCGGGTATTCGTAATTCTTTCACCCTTTGCTTATGTTGTTTGCTTCGTTTATGTTCATTCAATACGGATTGATCGATGAAAAAACGACTATGAAAATTTTACAAATTAAGATGGACAAATTGAAAATTGATAAAATGAAACTTACTCGCATTCTATACAGAAAATTTTCCCTTGAGCCGGTAAATTATCAACCATTTCGAATGGTCGTTTTTGTTCTGGATCTACAATATTTCGTCGAATTTCTTCAAGAATTTGATCCGTATCTTTTTTATAATGTTTAGTTTTCAAGCATCGTTTACCGATGCTTCGATTTGGGGCACAATTGCCTTTTTTTCTTGAGTATCTAGTCATTGATTTTGTCAGTGAAAAATATAACAAAAAATTATCACAAAAAAATCTGTTCTCAAAATTTAGTCCAAAACAAAAATGCACGTGGAACAATTTGGAATTTAATCAATTTGGTTTGATTCATAGAATACGTATTCGAATGAGAATTTGTCTGTGATTGTTATTTCGATGTGGGATTTCCAAAATGTTCAAATATTCGAATGAAACGTAATCACATTTGGATTCTATTCATACCATGTTGACATCATTTTTAATAGGTGTTTTACTGGCCATTATATCTTGTCTATTTATTGGTGTTAGTTTTATATTGAAAAAAGTTGGACTCATTCGCTTATCTAATCGTGGTCTACGTGCCGGCCGTGGTGGTTATGGCTATCTAACGGATTGGGTCTGGTGGATGGGTCTTATATTCAGTATGTATCTTTTTAGCATTTTAGTAACCTATGAAAATTCTATCATTCTAAATTCTAAATTTTAGTGGGCATTGGTGAATTGGCCAACTTTACTGCCTATGCATTTGCACCAGCATCATTAGTTACACCGTTAGGAGCTTTAAGCGTACTGGTTAGTTCCCTATTGGCCCATAAATACCTGAAAGAAAATCTCAACATTTTTTCCAAAATTGGCTGTTCATTAGCCATAATCGGATCGACTGTGATCGTATTACATGCACCTAAAGAAGGCAAAGTTGATACGTTGGATGACATTTCGTTGATGCTTGCACGATCAGCATTCCTGCTATATCTAAGTTTTGTGATCATATCGTCGATTATATTGGTTGTTCTGTACGCACCACGGTATGGTAATTCCAATGTTCTGGTAGGTCTTCAATAAAAGAGTTGCCCATAAAATCACTATTTAATTGATCATTTCTTGTTTGCTGATTAGGTATACATTCTGATTTGTTCATTGATTGGTTCATTGTCTGTGATTTCTTGTAAAGGATTTGGCATCGGCCTACGACAAACATTCAGTGGACAAAATCAATTAATCAATCCATTATTTTGGGTATTGTTACTATCGTTATTTATAACCGTCTCAATACAAATGAATTATCTAAACAAAGCCTTGGACATATTTGATACATCGATTGTCACACCTGTCTATTATGTATTGTTCACATCATTTGTATTGATTGCATCGGCAATAATGTTTCGTGAATGGACATCGATGACGATCGAAAATATAGTTGGTAATTTATGCGGATTCGCTACGACCATCATTGGCGTTTTTCTACTCAACGCATTCAAAGAACTCAATATCAACATGGACAATCTAAAAAATCAATTATTGAATAATCGATTAAATTCCACCTCTCATATGTCAGAAATAGTTGTCAATGATCCATTATTGCCTGATATTCGACGTTCCGTACAGCCAGGTCTCATTACTTGGACCATGGATGATGATGAATGTTGAATGTTTATGCATTTTAAATTGTAAATTATTATTTGTTTAGTCATTATACATCGTTTTTTTTATTTGAATGTTAACTTTTTTTATTTATCTGAATAAATAAATTGCCATCAAGTCAACAACTTGCAACAATGATATCATCCACAACCACCGCCTCCACATGGACCACAAGGCCTTTTTCTAACTGGTCGATAGTAAGAATTTGCCGAATTCATCAATGGGAAAAAATCACGAAGTGAAGTGGTTTCCTTATCGCTACTATTTCCATCATCAGAATTTTTTTGTGTTTCAGTTTTTTCCAATTTTTTTTGCTCTTCTTGCTCTTTGATCATTTGACTGTAAGTTTCTTGTTGTTTAAAACGTGCAGCTTTCAATTTGGCCATCATCAGTTCTTGATTGGAACGAAAAAAAAATTAGATATTAATCGGAATAAAATGATTCATTTTACCATTTTCATCAATATTTTGATATCGATTTAATTGACGATAACGTTTATAAATAAAATATACAACAGTAAATATGGCCACCACAATGGCAGCAGTTATCTTGTTCAATTCAAAATTGAACAATTGGCCTGATTCGAACCATGACATGATTATTTCGATGTTGAAACTCAATTTTATTCGATAACCAAATTTGGCATTTAATAATTTGCGCAACGAAATCTTTCTGAAAAAATATTCTTTCCAAAAACGATAGTACGGAAATTTTTTAAAATAATACTTGAGTTTATTGAAAAAATAATTTTAAAAAAGAATTAAAATAAATTAAATTAAATGAATATAAAATGGACAAAAAATACATGTTAAGAGACATAAAGTTTCCAATCAATAAATTTGGCATTTTTACAGACTTCAATCTGATAGCTATCACCAGAAAATGAATAGAGATCATAATCAAATTTATCATAATGATGATAGCCGATAGAATAGATGGTATTGATCGATGAATCAATGTGTTGAGGATTCATAGGATCATTCAACTGCCAAATAATAACTTGATTGGCCGTTCCTGCAGCCATTACTTTAGAATTATCGGCAATAAATCGAGTAGAATAAACTACGCCTGGTGTGTCGATAATATGAGCACATTTGGCAGAACGTAGATGCCATAATGAAAGTTTCGGACCACCGCCACATACAATCCATTCGTTATTATCGGTAACATCAATAGAACCGATCCATTTGCCATATTGGGTGCGTCGTAATTCTGGATTCCGAAATGGTTCTAGCGATATAATCGGTTTATTAGATGATCGATAATCCCAGCCTAAAATTCGGCCATCTTCGCCACATGAATATAGCAGTGGACTAGCGGAATCATGGTTTGAACATTTTAAACTATGAATGTAATCATTATGCTCTGAAAATTTAGCCGTTTGTTGTTGTGTTTCACAATCGAACGTATAGATATTTGCATCTTCACAGCCAGCCACAATTCTATTTTCACCAGCCATAGTTATCGCATTAATCATGGTTGAATCGCTTGGTAGCTTTATCATCCATTCTTGCTCACATTCATCAAGATTCTGCATCGACAAACGATACGTTTTCAGCCGCCCAACACCACCAACAATAAATCTATACTGTGAATCTGAATGGAATGTTTTCATTTTATTTGCTGTTTGCATCGAATGTAGACATGTTATACGTTCCATAGGAAACACATTAATCGGTCGTCGTCGATTTTGATGCGACAAAAAATTCGAAACTAAATCATCACCATTATTATTTGGTATTAATTCAACAACATCGCGATGAAATTCTTTGAGACATTTTTCTACTGAAAAAACGGCTAATTGGCGATTTTTAATAGCAGCCAGCAAAAAACGACCATCATTAGTGATTATCTGCGATAAAACGGTTGTGTAATATGAACGAAGATGATCGATATATTTATTATTATCAACTTCCATTTTTGTTTAAATAGATTGATAACTAAAAAAAAAATGCAATTTCTCAAAATGAAATGAAATTTTTATTAAAAAAAGCATGAGTGCTTTATTTTTGTCCACAGATGACATCACGAGTTTTCAATATTAAGAGCTGCACTAAAAGCAAGCAAAACTACAATAATTGTGCACATTCAGTATAACATTCCGAGCGTGTGACACACCGCAACCAGACCAAATATTGCAATATATTACATCAGCATTTTATCTATAAAAAATTGTTTATTTTCCCTTAAAAGTTAACAGCAACAGTTCATTTAAGTCCATTGCTAAAAGTGAAAAAGAATCGACAAAATGGCCAACGAAGAAATACACACTCAAATGGGTTAGTATTTTTTTTATAAGATAATTATTTGAATAAAATTTTAATGAAAAATTTTAGCTGCTATTTATATTAGTGAATCCGGTGATGATACTGTCGGTGATGGATCACAAACAAAACCATTAAAAACATTGCTTGAAGCTATGCGTCGAGCAAAAACCGAACCATTTCCACCATTCTATGCTGATTCTGTTCCTGATGATAATGAAAAAACAGAACAAAAAGAGAAATGGACATTGGTCAGTCAATCACAGATTAAAAAAATCAAAAAAATCTGGATAAGAGATCAGTACAAAAATAAAGATAAAAACGAGAAAAAAGAATGTGATGATCAGGAACGACAAAAAAGACTGGAAGAATCGAAAGGCATACATATCGAACAGGACACGTCATTGCCGGTTGCTGAACGTATCAAAATTAAAGCGGTTAAATCGATGCAAGATAAACGGGTACAGATATACGGTTGGGTACATCGACTTCGTCGACAAGGTAAATCATTAATGTTCATCATTCTTCGTGATGGATCTGGATTTCTCCAATGTGTCCTTTCCGATCTGCTTTGTCAAACATATGACGCACTCGTATTGCAAACCGAATCATCTGTTGCCATTTATGGAACTCTACTTGCATGCGATAAAGCTATCGGTGGTATTGAATTAAAATGCGATTATTGGGAATTGATTGGTAACGCACCACCGGGTGGTATCGATCATGTTTTGAATGAAGAATCTCAGGTAGATGTTCAACTTGATCAACGGCATTTGATGCTTCGAGGTGAAAATCTTTCCAAAATAATGGCTTTTCGGGCTATACTGTTACGTGCATTCCGTGATCATTATGAATCACGTGATCATGCTGAAATCACACCTCCCACTATGGTTCAATCACAAGTAGAAGGTGGTTCCACTTTGTTCAAATTTGATTATTTCGGTGAAGAAGCTTTTCTAACACAGTCATCACAACTGTATTTGGAAACCGTACTATCATCGTTAGGTGATGCATATTGTATTGCTCAATCATATCGAGCCGAAGCTTCACGTACACGACGTCATCTTTCCGAATACACTCATGTCGAAGCCGAACGTGTATTTATCACGTTCGATGATCTACTCAATTCGATAGAAGATTTGATTGTCGACGTTATCGAACGTGTTATGGCCAATCCAACTGGTAAAGAGTTGCTTCTATTTTTCAATCCGGATTTTAAACCGCCGAAAAAACCATTCAAACGAATGAATTATTCCGATGCAATCGAATATCTAAAAGCTAACGATATACGTAAAGATGATGGTACATTCTATGAATTTGGTGAAGATATACCCGAAATGCCTGAACGTCGTATGACCGATAAAATTAATGAACCAATAATGTTGTGTCGATTTCCGGCACAAATTAAATCATTCTATATGCCACGTTGTAAGGAGGATAATCGTCTTACAGAATCTGTAAGTAAACTATTCTGACAGATGAAAAATTTATTTAAATTCTTTTTTTTTACTTCTCTCACACACAGGTTGATGTTTTATTACCCGGTGTCGGTGAAATTGTTGGTGGATCTATGAGGATCTGGAACTATGATGAATTGATCCAGGGATTTAAACGGGAACAGATTAATCCTGAAAAATATTATTGGTACACTGATCAACGTTTGTTTGGTACAGCACCACACGGTGGTTATGGTCTTGGTCTTGAACGTTTCATAACTTATCTTTTGAATCGTTACCATATTCGTGATGCTACACTTTATCCACGATATATTTCACGTTGTACGCCTTGAACATTGTGTCATTCATGGCCAAAAAATGGATAAAACAAATTGGAACCAATATTCGGATACTTAATTGTGAAATGTGGAAACTCTTTTTTTTTTTTTGCTGAAATATTAATATTGATTTAAAAGCACAACAGAACAGAAACGAATATTATATCTTTATTTTTCTTTCTTTCTAAAACAAAAATAACCAATTTTCTAGGTTATCATTTCTTTTCTCATTCATTTATTCGCCTATAAATTTTGGAATAAAAATTTTTTACTTTTAGTTCAATGTTTCATTATATTTCCGGTATTGATTGACAGTTGTGTGACATAAAAATTGTTGTGTGTTTGTATACATTTTTTTTGTATTTGAGAAAAAAATAAAAAAATAGAATTTTGTCACATCCATGAAGGTAGTAGTTGATTACCCACACATGTGTATGATGTGCAAACAATTATAGAGATGATAGATATTTTATGCCAATCACAAAACAATCATCGTATATTGTGTATAACACACACGCACCTGCATATTTTAATATCATTTTCCGGAAATAGAATCAGATGGTATTGTGTGATTTATGATATTTTAAGTAATAGGCGAGCTATTTATAAACAAAATTGGTAATTGTAAAAGACTGATCTGAGCTGAAGATGTTGTTATGTGTTTATGAATGAAAAATGAGAAACTTGAGATGGTTGTAATTGAAAAGATTTTTTTTTTCGGTAAAAATTAATTTTATCTTCGGTATTGTGGTTATTAAGAAAAAAAAAAACATTTTAAGTAGATCATTGAGGAGAACATGCAAAAATTAAAATCATAATCAGCAACCAGAAGAGGAAAAGAAAGAACCAAAGTTCAAAAAAAGAGAATCGATCAAAAATAAACAAAATAAAAATTGAAAAAAAAAAAAAAAGAGAATATTAGATCAATGTTTGGTCAAAAGTAGAAATAAGCGAGATCAACAAACAAAAAAAAAGTGAGAAATAAAGAAACGGAATTAATAATGATAAGAAATATATAACGTAATCACGATTTTGATGGCGATGCTACAATCAAAAATCGAAACATTTCAAACATGTAATGAGCTAATTTTTCTCATTACATGATCGATATCACAATTATTACTATCGTTATTATTGTTGCTATGATTATTGGTAGTATCGGTAGGATGAGCTTCATTTGTAACAATGGTCGTGGATGATGATAATCGTTCATCGCCACCGATTATATTGATCTGATTTGATGATATACTTGTCATTTTCATCATCAATGGATTGAGCGATTGGTAGGGATGATCCGGATTTAATTGTTGTGGTTGTTGTTGTTGAGAGAAAAATGGACATGCTAATATATCGTATGTCTTTGGTTGAGTTTCGGTGGTAGTAGTGTTCGATGATGGATCACAAGGTATCGGATTAAAAGATGAATAATGGATCATACCGCTATGACTGTTAGCCATTGTTGTCGGCTGATGGATAGATGTCATCAATGATGATAACATGACATTTTCCATGTTTAAACCGCTAATGGGAACAGCTGGCGCAACTGGCTGAGCAGTACCAGCTGATGTTGCTGTACATAGATTCGGACAACAGAATAATGTTTGAAGATCATCCAACGATTTGGATCGAACCAATTGTGGCGTAACGGTAACATCACCCCCGATTGGCTGTTGTTGTGGCTGCTGAGGAGACGATGAATCGGTATCGATTAGAATTGAAGCTCCTACTTCCTCTTCTTCTTCTTCATTCATTGAATCAGAAAAATTCGAATCTAAATAGCGGCTATTTTTACTTGGTGATGATGGATTTGATTTAATCACTGGCGTTGGTTTCGAAACGGAAGTCGATGCGGCAGCTGCCATGGCTGCCATAGTCGCCCATATACATCGTCGATCTCTATGATGACAATTATAATGGCCAGCTATTTGATGGCAAGACGAAGAATTTTTCATCGACGATCGAGAATTAGGTCTAGAAGGAGGTGTTGGCGAAATCATCATCAATGATGATGACAGCAGCGATTCTATATCATTGTTATTGTTATTATTCTTCAAATGCAGCTGCAATGAATATCGACGTACAGCGTTTGTCGTTAAAGCTGTTGTTGGTTTACCATAATTATATGGCTTATAACAATGAATAAATTTATTCTTGAATGAAGATTTTCGAAGAATTTTTGGATAATCACAAATGCTGCTATTGTTGGTATCGATCGTCGTTGATGTTGCTGGTATGGGCGAATCACATGATGATAATGATTGTTGATCACATGATTCGGATAATGAAGATAATGTAGCCGAAAACGATGACGAAAATGATGATGCAAACGATGTCGAATTGACATTGTTTGATGATGATGATGACGATGAATAAATATTGGCCGAAGATATGCCCGATGATGTTGACGTCGATGACGATAAAGATGATGACGACGAAGAATTCGATGCTGTACGTCGTAATCGATTGACAAGACTACTGTTATTGTTATTTTTTTCGACTAAACCATTGTTGTCGTAATACATGATGACGATGATTTAGGTGACCAAGATGATGATGAAGATGATTATGGTAAGAAGGCATAGTATCCCTCATTGATGTTGTCGATTCATCAAATGAATCATCTTCATATGTTGAATCAGTACGTGTTAGTTTTCGCATGGATGTTGGTGGTGTTTGGTGGTCCCATAATTTCATCGAATTCGAATGCGTTTCAATTAATGATTGAAGCGAGGGAGGAGGGGGCGATGATTTCGAATTGACATTGGAATTGTTGTTCATCATCATTCAGATGAAACTTTGAACTAACATCAACAATTTAAAATTACAAAAACCAAAATTGAAATGAAATTCTATTGAAAATCAAAGACATACCGGAAATTGCCGGAAAAATATTTTTTCGCTAGATTTGTCGATATGGCTTATTGTTCGTTCAAAACAAAATATTTTGTTCACTCGTTGGGTTTGGTAATTTATATTAATTCGTCACCTATTTACAAAAAAAGTTTAAATCATCCAATATAGGAATAACATTCGGTCCAAAATTATGGATCACTTTGTGTGTGTATGCGTCAATGCCGAAATTCTGTGTGTGTTTATGGCAGTTGACATTTAACGATCGACAAACACACACTCACCAACAATAAAAAAAACAACAACAACAACAACTTGAGCGCCACTGCTGCTGCCGTTTGAACAGACATAAATACAATGATGATGATTGATACAGTGTCATTTCAATTAACGATGATAATGTAAATTTTTTTTTTTCGTAATCTCATACAATCTTGATGGCTAATTTATGGCTAAACCTCACACATTCAATCTGAATGATTTATGGCCAAACATCACTTATGGCCTTCTGTGGGCTAGAATCTAGGCTGACCATCGTTAATCAAAGTAACACTGTATTTTGACGATTACAACGCCACCGGGTGTTCATGTCAAAATGATTGTCCTTTATTGCCATGGCACATGCAGGAGGGGGAGGGGGATTCCTCTTGTGGTATTTTAAGTATTCACAAGATTCTTCATGTGTACATACTGCCAGCTTTTTTTTCTCTGCTATTGATTATGATTCTGACATTTAATTTTACAATGCACGACGCCTTACCGCCTACGCACATGCTCATGTCAAGTGTGCTTATTATTAAATTTATCGAATCGATTGAAAACAGGGATATCAACTCATTTTATTGAAAAGAATATAAGAATTTCCGCTTTAATCTTTGTCCGGTTATCCATGGTGATACATAAACATAAACACACACACACACACACGTGTGTATGGACTGAGAGACTAGCTGGAAAATCACTTAAAGTAAGCTGTGGTTATAAGAAAAATAATATCTGAAGAATTTGTTTTTTTTGAATGTTAATCTATCCTTCGTCATAGATTATTGTCAAAGTTATTCTAACAATTCTCTGACAATGCATTCATTCGAATATGAAATCGATAAATCGTTTATTAAATCAAGGTTTTTTTTCTGAAATCTGTAATTTGATTATTGAAAACGAATTATAAACGAAAGAATCTTAATCATTTGCTGGAAACAAAAATAAATAGAATCATTTATATTACTAATCCAGCATTCAACAATCAAATCGAAAACCAGATCATTTAAATAACGAGAAAAAAAACATGAATCGTTTTCTGTACATGAAACAACAGTCGAATTGGAATCGAATTTTAAAAAATTCTCATAATAATTAAACGAGAGCCATCTATCGACCAGAATCTAGATCTAGAATTGTTAAGATGTAAATATATGCTCAAATAATAAATGAATGATGATGATGATGATTAGAAGAAGCAGCACGCGCCCAGAATACGCGCGTGAATGAAGAGATACAAAATACCACCCCCTATATATTTCAAATACAATACAATTATCACAACCAATGGCCTAACCTGGACTCATTGTATCATCGACGACCCTGTATATATGCACACACATATACATTCTTTCTCACATTATCATTTATCATTTAGCCTGTCTGTCTGTCTGTCTGTCCAACCAATTCGTTCGTCCAGCTACCCTGTTTTTCTCATTTTTTTTTTTTGTTTTGTATATTGAGTCGTGTGTTTGTTTCTGTGCGTGTGTTTTTTGTGTGTGTGTGTGTGTGTGTGTGTTCGATGCATGGATCGAAGTTCGAATCATTCATCGATTTATTTGTCCATCATACAATTAATAATCATTTAGAAATTTAAATCAAACAAGCAACATAATGATATAGAAGATATAGATTTAGCATTTTTTTTACATCCATCCATTCATTTGTTACAAATAATTGTTCGCGAATTCGATTCTGTCCGTCCATTCGTTTGTTTTTGATACGTAAAAGAATCTAAGCTGCCATTTGTATGTATCTGTTTTTCTATTTATTTTTTATTTTGTATTTACTTAAGTTTACAAATTTTTAAAAATCACATATATTCATTATTATTGATAGTTGGCATCTTTTTCCTGAATTTCGGATTTTTGATTCATTTTTTTTTATTCCATCGCTGGTAAGTCATTTGCTATCCAATCTTGTGAAAGTGTCTGTGAAAGAGTTTGGTGTCAATTTTTTTTTTCATTGACATCTTTGATCTCTGAATTATATTATCATTGGTTGTTGTTGTTGTTTTTTTTTCAACGACGACCTAGACCCGTTATATTTTCAAGTAAATTTTTTTCATCATCATCTTGTTATGTCAATCCTGTTTTCATTTGAGACGTCGTCGTAGTCGTCGCGAGCGAAATCTTGGCTAAAGCTCATGGTTGTATATATATATAGCTAGCGAACTCTATAAAATGATGATGATTGTGATTCTCTCTTGCTTCGATTGTAGTTCACATACATGCACAAACACACACAGTGAGATATATTGAAATATATATTAACTTAATCTTCAAGATTCTGGTATACATAGATACTCATATCGCGGTTATACATGATAGCATGGGTTCACCGGAAAGCCATAGCCAACAAATATATGAAAAACAGTGAAATTCCTATACCCAAAGTCGTCTGATCATTGTCGCCTTACTCATTCTATGTCTATGTAGATATTAGAATTTTCTTTTTAAGTTGTTGAATAAAAAAATTCTTTTAATTCTTGTCATCGATTCATGTCTTTTTTCTCTATTTTTTGTTTTTCAAATTAGATTTTTCAACTTTTGTTTTTGTCCAATCCATTCTTTCAACCAAAATAATGGCTGTAGCATTATCCGTTTGGTCAAAAATTGCAGCACTGTAGCCGAGAATATTTGATAGTCAAAAGTGAAGAATTTTGTTTCCATAATTGCATTTGAAATTTCGCTCTCCATTTAGCATACAAAGAAAAAAATCGTATTTAAAATGGCATCCACTATTGATGGTGATGGTGGATGTGAAGTAGTATCTGAAACTACTGTTTTAAATGAACAATCAAAACTAAAATGACCATTGAATCATTGGCAACAAATATTGATAGTAAATTGAATCTAAATGATCATATAAGCGATTCGACTATATCATCATCACAATGTCCCAATGATGACATTACTACGATCAAAAACGAATCACAATCTTCGACATTGTCATCGTCATCATCATCAGCTCAAACAAGCTCAAATACAACAAGTAATGTAACGGCTAACCAAAACAATCATCACCATAACAATACAAATAATGTGCCCAAGTTTGGCACACCGGTTCCTAATCGCGTTTTCGTCGGTGGTATACCTGATGATGTAAGTATTGTATATCCGATTATTTTTGGCTATAATTCTATTCTCTTCTGAATAAAAAGGCTACTGACAATGATGTACGGCAGTTGTTTGCTCAATATGGTAATATTAAATTGGTAAAAATAATCACCGATCGTGCTGGCATCTCCAAAGGGTATGTGACATATTTTATAATAACCAAATGATGATGACATCTCATCGTTTGTTTTGTTCACACACATCTGCATTTATGAACAGTTATGGTTTCGTTACATTCGAACGTGCAGAAGATGCACAGAAAGTGATCAAAGAAGCCGAAAATTTGATCATCAAAAATCGTAAGCTAAACGTTTCGACAGCTGTGATGAAGAGGCAAGATTTTCCATTCGGTATGTAACAAATTACTAATATATGATGATGATTTGTCATAACAGATTTTTATTTTCTTTTGTAAAAAGAACCAAGAATGATGCCGACTACTGGAATGTTGTTCTATCCACAGATTTCTACTTTTGCCAATCCTGTAACGGCTTCAGCCGCATCAGGCTACAATCATCATCATCAATATTATAGTGAAAATTACCCCTATCCATTGATTGAAGGATTACCCTTTGCCATGCCACTGGCCACGATGAATGGACATTTTATTCCTGGATTACCTCCAGCCGGAAATGCCTGTGCTCCTCTCTTGACATCGCCAGTATCTGCTGCGGCTTCCCAATACATTGCAGCTCAACAACCGCCACCGACAGCTTCAACTCAAGCCTATTCTCCAGTCAATCCATATCCATCAACGGGTCCATCTGCGGCCACACATTACATTTATTCAGCCAATCCATCGGCCAATTCATCGTCCATTGCGATTGCAGGATATGGTGGATCACAGCAATCAACACATGTGTTGACGGCAGCAGGAACTGGATCGAATGCTGCTATGAACGTATCTCCTGTCTTTCCACCGCTTCCATCGCAGACAACACCATATCCATCTAATGTCACTGCCACAAATAGTACTACACCCAATGTTGGAAATAATGGTCTATCAGGTTATCAGCAATTAAATGGCATTACTTCCACTAGTGGACATCCAGCTGGTAATTCAGCACCAATATCGTCATCATCATCTCAGGTCTCTTTCAGTGTATGATAAAGTTTGTTTTTTTAATATTCATCATGCATTATATATTCTAACTACAGATGAACGTGGGCAGTAATCAATCACAGCAGCAGCAATACTTGGCATATTCAAATTCTATACCCGATTCAATGGTGGCCAATTCGAACTCTCCGAATAATAATACTGGTATGGTGATTATGGCCGGTGGCGGCCATCCATCACATCATCAGCCATCATACACAACATATCCATCATCGACCAATCCATCTTCATTGAAAATGGATGGATTAGTTGATATGACATTGGTATCGCCCTCGATGGATACGACGAATTCCACTTTGGTTCCTCATCCAATGGGCTCTCATTATGCCAGCCATATGCCGAATGCTCATCATTACATGCAATCGCAGCAACCACCACCACAACCAGGGGCTCATTACATGCATATGGCAAGTATCGGCGGTATTGAACTACATCACATGTGGTCATCGTCGGCAACAACGCCCACCACTTCATCTCTTGGCCATCACCAGAATAGTACTACTAATGTGCCTAATGGTCAACCTCCTCCACAGAAACTACCAGTAGCAGGAAATTTTGCCGTTGTTCAACCGCAAACAACAACATCAGTTATGAATGGCCAGAAATCAAATCAACCATTAATAACGTCTACAACGGGACATAGATCACAATATCATGGTCATTATGCAAATAAACGATCATCACCACCTGTATCGCAATCGACATCTTCATCGAATCGTTCATCATATCCGGCTACTAGCAACAATATTCATTATAATCAATCGATGATAACCAAAGATAAGATGACTGTTCATAGTAATCGCCATTCAAATCCAAATTCATCGTCTTCGTACAACCATAACAGTCATTCTAGTTCTTACAACAACAATAGTAGCAATGCTAGTCATCATCATCATAAGAAAATGTACCATAATAATGGCCATCATACATGGAATTCGAATACACGAATTCCATCGAACAAAGTATTGAATGGTCATGGTCATAATCGTGGCCATAATTATCATGATACTATGGCTATGACAGATATGGCTAAATCATCATCATCATACAGTGGTGGTGGTGGTCATCATTATCCACCCTCAAACACCCATAAACCATCATCAGTTATGTTTTCCAATAATCACAATCGAACGGGTAATGGACATTATCAATATCCGTCGAGTGCAATAAAAACAAATCATGTGGTACAATCATCATCATCTACTTCCTCGTCGTTGCAACAGCAGCCACAAGCCTATGTTACGAAAACGATCAATGGTGTTCAGATTTATGCATTGGCCAATAACACCAATACAACCTCTTTAGATGCTCAATCACAACCATCACCAACAGTAGCAGCACCCGGAAATGGTGTCTCAAATGGTGGCATTTTGACATCGCCTCCATCATCATCATCATCATCATCATCACCGTACAAGACATCATCATGACCCAGTATATGAGAAAACTACGACCGACGATCTCATCCCGAAATCGGAATTTAAACATTCCACGCCCAATCAGGAAATGACAACCACGTGGATCACCACCATTATACAATTTGTCATTGTTAAATCCTCTTTACAGTTTTCGTTTCGTTTTTCTCCTTTTTGTTGTTTCATTTTATTATTATGTTCTGTTCCCGTTTCATTTCATATGATTATCCCGAATTCATCTTATTTCTCTCCTTAACGTTCTCTCTTTCTGTTCAACACACACACACACACCCTAGTCACATTCATACTAAATAGGCACACAGGTCCATAATCTACTGCTACTATATTCAGGTATTTATCTCAGTTTTTTATTTTTATTTCATCATCATCCTTTGTTGATTGATAGATCATAGTATTTTTCAAAATTCATTCATGGTCCCGAAAGTGGTCGAAATTCTAAAAAAAAATTCAACAAACAAACACAAAGATACGATTTTTGTTTCTACTTAAAAACCAGTATAACAAACACGCCCAAAACCCGAAATCAAGATCGATTATAAATGTGTGCCTTTTTCGTCGTTCATAACAATTTTTGTTAAATAATTTCCATCTGGGTCGATATCGATAGTTTCGATAATTATTTACTCGTCACAGAAAAAATACCTGAACATACACACAAACACAGGTTTGCTTTCGTTTTTGATAAAATCTTATTTCATTTGTTTAGAGGAGAAGTGGATTCACTATTATCACACTACTACTCCATTTTTTTTTCGTTTTGTTAATCGTAGAATCAATGGCTGGCTGGATAATTTTTCGTAACCTGTTGTCAAATGTGATAACCGAACAGACATATACACACAACACACCCAGTCAAACTGTATCTTTTGTTTATTGCCAAAAGATGGGAAAACTTGGATCAACACAAAATATAACAAGATAAAATTTAACATTCACACAGAAAACAATAGCAGTAAGAAGAAATCAAATGAATGAAAACAAACAAACACACACACACATAAGACAGAATATTCTGGGAGAATTTTGAGAATAAAATAATTAAAATTTTAAAATGATTGCTAATGTTTATATTATATAAAGCTATGGTATGATCAAAACTTTTCCCGGATTGAATAGGTTCTTTGGATCAATAGTTTGCTTAATTTTTTTCATCACTTCCAATGAAACAGTATCGTATTCTTTTTGCAGGAATTTAATCTTACCACGGCCAATACCATGTTCACCGGTACAGGTACCCCCCAAACGTATCGCTTCTCTGTATAGAAAAAAAGGTTTAATTAATTCGTTCATTTTTTTTCATCTAAATTTATTCGACTTACTCGGCAATCATTTCGCTGATCATAAAAACAGTGCCAGTTTCAACACTATCATTTGGATCATAGGTAATGACAGAATGAAAATTACCATCTCCAACATGACCAAATGATGATCCATTAATTTTGTATTTATCTAGATATTGACGCATTTTGAGTATAATTTCTGGTAACTTGGATATTGGTACACAAACATCTGTGATCAATGCTCGGATATTTGGCCTGGTATCGAAATTACGGCATGCATAGTAAAGATCATGTCGTGCTTTCCATAGATGAGATCGCTCTTCCATTATGTTTGAATGTTGAAAATCAAGAGCACCATTATCCAAAACAATTTCTTTGACCAATTCAACCATCGAATCAATAATAGTTTGATTTCCAGCGATTTCCATATACAACGATGGCTTTACCAATAAATCACCTTTGCTGTATTGATTTGAAGCACGAATCGAATGACTATCCACGTATTCTATTCGTGATAAGGGTATGCCATTCTGCAGTAATAAAACTACAGTGTTGATCGCCGCTTCATTGTCTTGGAATGGACAAACACATAAATAAGTCTAATCAGAAAAATACAAACAATCAATAAAATAAATATTTCTTTTATTTTTAAACTCACCGTTTCTGGAATCGGATATAGACGTAAAGTTAATTGAGTTACCGTACCAAGAATGCCTTCACTGCCGATGAATAATTCGGTTAAATTAAAACCAGCAGCCGATTTGCGACTTCGAGCTTTGATGCCAGCTGCTTTCATAACTTCACCGGTAGGCAATACAACTTCCATGTTGAGTACATTTTCTTTCATCGTACCATAGCGAACAGCATTAGTACCAGAAGCATTGGTGGCTGACATTCCACCTAAACTGGCTGATGCACCGGGATCTATGGGAAAAAATAGCCCGGTATCCGATAGATATTGATTCAATTCTCGCCATGTCACACCAGCTTCGACAGTACAATCAAAATCTTCGACATTCACTTCGATTATTTGATTCATCTTATTGGTTGCCAAACAAACACCTCCTTTTAGAGCGTTCACACCACCTTCCAAACCGGTACCGGTTCCAAACAATGTGATTGCCACATTTGAATCGTAACATAATCGAGATATACGGCTTACATGATCGGTATTCAATGGCCAAATGACAAAATCAGCCAGAACAGGACTTGACAAAATTCAATTATTGATGATTAGGATTCAATTCATTTGATAGAAAATTTAAAACATACTTGAAATGACTTTCATCACGTCCATATTGTTCCCGTACAGCTTCAGCTTTGCTTACATTATCCATACCGACAATATCACAAAGCTGATCATAAAGGAGACGATTATCAGTCACATTCTATGATTTAAATTAGAGAATTATTTACAATGAATTAATTTCTTAAAGACCAACACATACATTGTTAATGGTTGTGGTATGAAAACAACTAGATGTCCGTGCAATATAATTGTCAGTCCTTTGAAGTTTGATGTCATTTCGTACGAGTTTATGGAACAATTTTGGAGCTAAATTAAGTGAATGACGTAGCATTATTACCTTTTTTCGGCTTTTGAAAGATTTTGAATTTTTTGGCAAATTTATAAACTGATGATAATTTATCGATATATTAAGATTAGAGAATAAAATCTTTCGTGACTAGATTGTAGTCTTTATTCAATTTTCCTTTTCATTTTAATGCATTCTATAGTATATTGGGTAGATAGATAGATTTTTGCTGTATATACAATATTATATTAATAGCGGATTACATAACGGTAATTTGTTTTGATTTGCAACATCGCCATCATGCGACATTGAATGCAAACTTAAAATATAATAAATGAGAATAGAATTTGTACTTTGCAAGTTATTTGCGATTTATTTCAAGATGAATGTATTGAATTTAATAAAATTTCTAACTAAATTTCCAAATGAAAGAATGGTCATCATTTTCAGTGAATAGAATTCGAATTTTGTATTTACAACAATGAAGCAGTTACATCGATTTCTATGTGTGTGAGTGTGTGTATATGAATTAAACTAGAAATAAATGAGACGGGCATCAGCCGGATTTTGTTCGGCTGGACAATACGGGCATTTAAGTTTAGATCCATTGGATAGTTTGTTCAATGCATCACGTGATATAACATGACCACATTGTAGTCGCATCGGGGGATTTGAATCACAACTTTGTTGTCGAAGTATTGGGCAGGCAAATATTGAATGATAATGACATTTCCGTGTGACATCGATTTCGATGGGTAATTCATCACGAGAACTCCAAACATCATTTACGTTTCTTTGTTGAATAGCCTGTTTAATATTGATCAATGCGGGTAATGCAATACAGCCAGCATTAAATGTAACCGATAATGGAGAATCGACCGATACTTCCAAAAGAGAACATGCTTCTTTTGTGAACATGTGACATATTTCCACCCAATTATTTGGGTCCAACAGATATTGATAAGGAGATTTCTCAATACCCGATCGTAGATACATCAATGAACCCATCAGCGCTTTAATTTCTGCCTGGTATCTTTGAGCGAACGGTGTAAAATGTGATCGTGAATAGGTAATCAATTTCCATTGGTTTTCGATGCCACCGCGCAATAATTCAATGAACTGCAACCGATGAAGTTTGAATTCAAAATCGCTATTACTTTTCACAAGTTGATCGCGATGCGTTTGAGCCCATTCCAAAGCTGGTTGCAAATTGCGATTTCTCAATGCATCTAATAGAATCAAGAATTCTAACATTTAAAGTCTAGTTTAAGAAATGTAAAAAAAACAAACCTAGTATTTTGTTCATTTTAATATAGGGAATCTTATCATTCGTATCAATATCAAGCTTTGATTCTTGTATCAATTTTTCAGCAATATCCGAACGGCCTTGCCGTAAGAAATGTTCGACAATTACTTTGTTGAGAATTTCATTATTTTTCCCTTGATCAAATAGAGATTCATTGCCAACGCAAACATAGTCAGAAATGAAATTTTTATCTATTGCTTTGCCAATCCGTGATACGGATGAATGTATATCTCGATGTTCGGTCGAGAATTGACTTATTGTATTGCGAGTCTTTTTGATTACATTATCAAGCAAAAGTTGACATTGAATATCAGTCAATGGACAATCGGGAGCTAAAAGTAAAACAATAGAATAACCATAAATGGACGACTATTCGAACATGTACTAAAATAACTTACAAGTCAATATGCTTAAATCTCGTTGATAGCTTTCAATCTGTTGTATCAATTCTGATAAATTTTTATCGCCATGATCTTTAAGACTTTTGAATTTATGTAAAACTTTTTCAGTTTCTTTTTCAACATTTTCGATGGCACTAGCCATTGTGTTTTGTTATTCTATATTAGAAAGAAGAATAATAGTGAAGAATACAACGTCTTAATATTTAAACAACAAAAATTATGACTGACTGAGCAAGATGATCATATGATGAGTTGACACAAACAACAATAAAAAAAAACAAAAACAATTCGTTCATAGACATCAGGACACTGGAATTAATTCAATTTTTTTTTATTCAAACTTTTTCTGTGGTGATAAAATATTAATTTAAATATATTATTGTTTAAATTGTTTAGTAAGAATTTTTACGGATCGTTTCAATGATCCAATTACGATAACCGGATACACTGGTAAAAACGGCAGCAAAATTTCTGGATACACAATCACTTATCGTCCATGAAGCAATGCCAAATTGTACCCAATCACCATTTTTGAGTCTACATTGAATCGGGCCACCAGAATCACCATTACAAACCCCTTTACCACCTCTTAGATCGCCAATGCAGATATGATTTCGAGTGATTGGCCATCCAACACCTTTCCATATTTGTTGACAAGTAGTAGAATTATGAACTGGTTGTGGTAATTTCTGCAAAACGTCCGTAACGACACGACCTGTAATCGAGTTAAATGAAAAAATTAATGGCCAGGAAAAAGCGTGCACATTTTTACCTTTATTACCGCGTCCCCATCCAGTTGCAACGCATTCATAATTATTTTTGGCTACATCTGTCTCTTTGGCAAGACAGATCGTTTTCAAGTGTCGTTCTCGGCTAAAATCGATTGGTTTTTCTAGTCTCAATAATGCAATATCGTATAGCTGATTATTTCGGTCATATTTCTTGTGTATGATAATCTTTTTTTCAAAAGAGGTGAAATAAAACATTAATTGATCAAGCTATCACAAAATAATTTACCTTATCGACTTTTAACAAACGTTCGGTCGAATCTTTTTTACGTAGGTCATGTTCGCCTAATTTGATTTGCCATGAATATGGATAACTATTTCGGCTGAAACAATGTGCAGCACAAAGAATCCATCGATTAGTGATCAACGTTGCACCACAAACATGTGAATTGAGGTAACGGACCTGCAACGATGCCTGATAAGGAAATTCCATTGGTTTAGCATCTTCTCCACCATAAATTCGCTTCAAATCGATAGCAAAATCTGAATTACAAATACGAAGTTTACTTGGATCTGATCGTACTGACGATTGTCCTGGCTGAACCAATTCCAAACCAGAACAATTGATAGTGATGAATTGTCCAAGTGCCAAGCACAGGAAAATGATTAAGAATTTCATTGCGATTGATCACAAGATTGTTGGATAATGATCATAGCTTGAAAGGGATATGATATCACCGTTTCATTACTGTACCATATTTATAGTGGGCCAACAACAGCATGTTTCAAATCTTCTGAAAACAAGGCAAACATGATAATTGTCCATCTATGAATACGACATCCCGGAAACAAATGCTCATCATCATCAAGGTTTTTCAAGTGGATGAATTAACCAAATGACAAGATCCATTATAGATGGGCTTAATTTACAACATGATTTTTCAAATAAAACCAGGTTAAATCCTGACACGGATTTCGACATCATTAATCATTAAAAAAAAATCAAGGGTTGTGGATTTCCATGAATTCGGATTCAAATTGAAAACGATACAATCGATACTTGGTTATGCAACGTGCAGTCACATGGTCTTTTTTCAGCATTGAAAACATCATCATTTGTTCCAGATAAATAGACCCGAAAAAAATGGCAACAAACTCATCCGATATCGAAATCAAAACGTTCAAAGATTTTTTTCTTAATTATAACAAATTGGCTGAAATGTGTTTCATGGACTGTATACATGATTTTACATTTCGTGAAGTATCGAAACGTGAAGAACAATGTGCAGAAAATTGTTTTGATAAATTTGTCAAATTAAACAATCGTATTAGTCAACGATTCCAGGAGATACAATTTGCTCAACATGAAAACATATCTGCTTCTGTACCGAAATAGCTATGAAAGTTATACTGGCCTTTTTAGATCGTTTCCAAATTCATTAAGATGAGATGACCATCATTGTATCATTAACGTCTTGCCCAGTTTTGTAATAATATACAAATAATACATTTGAAAACCAATGAATGAGGTCAATGATGTTTAGTATAATCATTTTTCTTCATTATAATTGATGTACGTTATGATCAAATTTTTTTTTAAATAAAAATAAAAATTAATAAAGTTGATGATAAAAATATAGATTGAATAAAAATTGTTTTAAAATATTTTCCATTTGTCTTTACATAGATGGCAGCATTTGAGTTGATAATTAACAAAAAAAAAACATTCAAATTTTCAATTCTGTCCATTCAACGATTGTTGCATAGCTTATTGTGCAATGATTAAATGATCGTTGTTCACATCATAATACTGTGTATATATGTGTGATGGGTAGGTAAGAAAAAGTAGTCATTCGAAGCCAAAGAACTGGTTCGTCATCCAATGTCGTTTTCCAGTTTTAAATACCCAAAAATAAAAGAAGTCATCATCATCATCATTGTGAGGGTTAATGATTTTTATTTATTATTTTTCTTTTTGGTTTGAAAAAAAAAAAATTCCAATGATTGACGACAAATGACCATCAATTAACATGAACATTAAATGGATAAAAAATAGTACTATCTAAAATCTATGTGAAATTAAATGGAATTGTGCTTTTCCACTAAATCAGCAACGAACGGGCAAGATATCCGGTATACCTACCGTACACCTAAATAGAAAAAAGAGTACAACATAGTGAACAAATCAAGATCCCACCTCCTTCTAATATTACCAAAGCCAAACATTTTGGCCGTTGGAACTTGAACAACCAAACAACAACAACAACAACAACAACCGATGACTTCGTCGTTGTTTTTTCTTTTCGACCATCCACATGTCTACACCACCACCATCGTCATCATCATCATCATCATCATGTATCGAAAAATCCAAACCATTCTATTTAGCATTTAGTCTCGTCACCTTGACTGACGTGAATGAACTGTGCTCAGCGTGTATGTTTGTGTATTGCATTCTCGATATGTTTTGTGGTGATTTGAATGAGTATATTTTTTTTATTTCATTTGCCGCGCGGCCTAGTCTCTCGCGCGCGTGTTCATTTTCAATTCGTTAGAATATATTTGCTGAAGTCCAAACGGCAAAACTTATTTACAGAGAGAGAGAGAGAGAGATCTGTTTTGCCATAATTTCAATTCAGTCGCTCATTGATGGCGATGGTGTTCGGTTGTTTTTATTGCTATCACACATAAACACATTATCATCATCCATAGAAGATTATCGTATCCAATGAAATGAATGGTAATTCGAAATCAAGTCTTTTTGATGAATCCCATCTGATCATTATTCATTATGACCAACTCTGTCGTCCGTTGAATATTATCTATAGGTCAATTACATTCCATTGATTACTTAATCGTTTTACATTCTTTTTTTTTCTTATTCGAATTTCCTCATTCGTCCATCACCACCACCATCACCATCACCACCACCAAAATTTTCCATTTCGATTCATTCATCGTGTATATGTCCTGTGTACTGTGTTATTGTCATTGAATTTGAAAAAAAGAAAGAAATCCTATCATTCATTGTTCGTGATTTTCAGTGTGTTTGTTTGTATGTGTGTATATTCGGGAATAAAATTAAAAACGTTCATGTCATACCATTCATCATGAATGATGATGATGACAAACATCATACATGTCTGTTTATTTTTTTCAATTTCAAAACGACAAATGTAATTAATGAATGTCATCGTTGTCATCATCATCGATTTTAAATTGATGATGATTTTAATCATTAATCGATCGATCGATCGATGTACCCGATCAACATCAAAAAAAAATTTCCTACAACAAACTTCCGATTATTGTTAATTATTATAAAAAAATAATGATAATGATGATGATGATATGATAACATCATTTATGAAGAGACGTTTTATCGATAACATCAATTTTATCGTTTGTTTTGTTGTTTTCCTTTCTCTTTTTTCTACATTTGTTTAATTTAATGTTATGATGATGATGAGAATCGCTTGTAAAAAATCAGAATCACAAATCTAGTTTGTTAAGTTGTGATTTTTTTTCCCATGGACAAATTGTTTTCGTTTGAATCATCATCATCGTCTATGAACACACAACGAGTTTTTTTGTTCTTGTTTGGTTTTTTTTTGCGGCTTGTATTCATCTACATGTTTGTGTGTGTATGTGTGTGTATTATATTGTTTAAATGTTATTATTATTTAGTTTGAATATACCGACGACAACAAAAATAATATCCAACAAAACGTGAAACATAAATTACGTTCGATATAGCCATCACCTATCATAAAAAAAATAATCTCAACGATAAAAATCTAATTTCCTATGTCATGTTCACAAATATATCATAAATAAACTGTTCATATGGCCATAATCAACGATCATATAATCAATTCATCATTTTGTAAAATTGATAATTTTCAACTGAATATACAAGTGTGTTATTGAATATGAAAGTTTTCATCAATTTTGGTGATGTTCGTTGTGTTGTACCGGTTGGTGATGGCTCATTGACTGTTTCTGAAGTCATTTTATTGGCAATTGAACGTTATCGTAAAGCTACCTCAAAGGTATGTGTCAACGTAATTTTATGTAATGAATGAAAAAACAATGCCTAATCTATCAAGAATCAAATTATGATCAAAATATTCATACACACAAATGCATCATAAATGTAATTTTTTTTTTTTGTTTATATGCTGAATCTTAGTTGAAATTTGGGCGAGGTGCTCATCATAACATCATCATCATCATCATCATGCTCAATTGAAATTATAGTTAGGTTATTACATTGGTCACCATCGATACCAGTCAAAGCTAAAACTTTCGCTAGTAAAAAATTTGTCGCTTTGTATCTGTGACACTAGCTTATTGTTGTTGTTGTTGTTGTTGGTTGGGGTCTCGTTTTGGTTGGTTGTCCTCCCTCTCTATTTCTCTTTTTTTTCATGAAACAGCCAATATTGGTGGGTATTTTTTCTCTGTCTCTCATTTATAGCAACCACCACCACCACTACTAAATTTGACCTTATATCGTGTGTGATTTGTAAAGGACATTAATTTGAAGCCCAAAACGAACAAACAAAAATGAACGCATAGTCCAGGTGTTCGATGACGAGCTCTCTCAACTCGACACACACACACACACACAGGCAGTATTTTTGACTGGGGCCATTCATTTATTCCCATTGTCGTTTGAATTAACCATGAATACGAACAGTAACAAATATTACAGAGAGGGATTGAATCCAATGAGAGAGATAATAGACATACAAACAAATCTAAAGATTTAATAATATGAATGAAGAAAAAAAAAATAACTAAATAGCTGTGTGTGTGTGTGTGTTGGTGCATCATTCATTAGGACATTTGGATTTTCTAGATTTTTCAACATTCAATTAATTTTCAAAATGTTCTCTAAATTGGATTCTGATTTCTTCTGTTTTGTATACTCGTAACATATACACAGATGTCGTTTTTTTTGTTGTTGTTGTTGTTTGGTTTCATATTCCATTAAAATTTGTTCAAGGTAATCCTTTAATATATGGAACAATCTATTATGATGTGTCGCCTACGTTTAAAGTCTTTGTGTCTTTATATTCAATTAATTAGTCTCATTTCATTTCATTTCATTTCAGATTTGATTTAATTTCTAATGTTTTTTTATTTGGATTTATAAAATCAATTTTGATTGTCATTTTCTGCCTATTTTTATTTAGATAGATGAACCATTTTTTATTCGGTCCTCTTCACAAAAAAAAATACGGAATTGTCAATCAACCATCCTACGCTTGTTGTTGAATTTTTTTTTCTGAAACAACCAACAAGAAAAAAAAGTGCATCCTGATCAAATACACATTGTCCCAAATATATGTGTCTAAATCTAAAGTCCTAGTAATTACATATGAATCTAGAAATAAAAATTCGCCTATTTCAATGATGGTTTTTCGTTGTTGTTGTTGTTGTTGTTGTTTACCAATGATGATGATTATAAAAACCTCTTATATATGTTGATGATGGTTGAAAAAAGAAGGATACACTCCTATTTTCGTGTGTTGGTGTTTTTGTGTGTGTGTGTGTGTGTGTGTTTGAAGAGTCAAAAAAATAAAAATAAAATAAAATCGCCAACAATAATCGGTAGTCAAATGTATACCATCATTATACAATACAATGTTGCAATTGTCATGACAAGCAATGGAAAAAAAAACTCACATAGATACTTGTATCTCTTTGTATGTGATTTTGGATCATTCAATTTTTGTCAATTTTTTTTTGTTGACTTAATCTTCCGGATGCTGATGCTGATGTTGACGTTATAAAAATACAAATACACATATACATAACTCGACGTTTAATTTGATTGTGTGTGTGTGTGTGTGTAAATGTCGTCCATTCATCGTCAATCATGTGATATCCATGGATACAAATCCAATGTGTGTGTGTGTGTGAATAAATAAAAATAGATAAAATACAACGACAAACGGTTTATTTGGCGCCAAAAAAAAAATAATAAATAAAATCTCAAATAACATTTGTGATATTTTTTTTTCATTTCTATTTATGTGTGCATGTGTTGATTGAATGAATCTATCGAATTCGATAAATAGTATCGATGAGTTATTTTTTTCTGACCATTTTTGTCCAATCATTATAGACGGTATTATTCTTAAACCGTCATGATGTTTTTTATCATCATCATATTATTGCTATCAATTCTCTGTGAAAGGAATCTCATTTTTCATCTTAATGATTATGGTGAATACTATATTGTAGGTAGGATGGTATTTATTTCAATGATTATAGTTCCCTGTAGGTATGTGTAATAATTATGATGATGATATATATGCTACCGTCTTTGCATTGAATGCCATAATCTTTATCTTCTTAATGATTTGAATGAAGAAATTTTCGCAATCTAATTATATGTACAAAAAAAAACTTGTAACAGTAATAGATGGTATAGCAGCAGATTTCTATGTAATTTCAAATGCTTTTTAGCAATGAATGATGAATTGGATTCGAGAAAAAAAATCGTATGTGCCATATTGTGTCGATTCATAAAAAAAATCCACTGATTTAATTATGCAAGTTTCCTATCCATATAGTCGTGGTTTGTTTGAAAAATGATGGATACACACATAATTGTGTTTCATGAATGTATTGTATATATTGTGAATAAAATGGATTTCACCGCCTTCTTCCGTTGAACGATGTTATCAGATTTCATCATCATTCTGGATTTTATCATGTGAAAACTGAGAAAAAGCCCAGTTTTAGTTTTTATTTTGTTGTAGAGTGGCTATCTGGAAAAATAATGTAACAACCAAACAAAATGAATTGATGGCACAGACACAAAGAAAACAGACAGACAGATGGAAACCATTAAGTTTTTTTTTTTTTTTTTTGGTGATAGATTCTCATTCATTTTGCGAGTGCAAATACAGGCACACAACAACAATGTCTGACTATATTCTTTAAACAATTTTTCTAGTGATCCAAATTTTCGTTTTCCATTGAAATTTTTTTTTTTTTTTTGACATTCGATACTATCACCATCTTAAGTAGTTGTCGTCGTATCTATTCTGTCTTTAATTAAATTTGTCACATTTTCTTGTTTTGTTTTTTTTTTGCTGAGTTTAGCTTTTCATAATTTATTTCAATAAGCTTTAAAAAAATGTCTATTGCTTCTAATTCATTCGGGTTTGTATGATGAAATTATGGGTTACCGAACCCGAATAATAATAATAATAACAATAATCAGTAATATTCGAAGCCAAATTAGACACACACACACACACACACATGGCTGACTTGGATCAATATTCATCTGCATGTGGAGAAAAAAAAATAATCTGCCACAGTTTGTGTGTGTGTATGTATGATTTTTAAATATAATTCGACAAAAATAAACTTTGTATTGATTATCCATCGTCATCATCATTTGGAATCATTATTGTACCCTCAATAAAAACACACACACAAACACATAAATATTGTAAATGTTTTTTTTTGAATGAGGATGCTATCATCTTCATCATCATCATCAACAACAAATGAGCAAAAAAAAAAGAATAAATTGTTCTGTTTGTTTGTATAGATCAGAAAACAGTTTTTTTGTTTGATGGCAATGTTTTCTTGTCATCATCATCAACGATATTAATGTTATCATTGTGTGTGTGTGTGTGTCGATAAATTCGGATTATACAACACTTGAATTTGAATATTTAAATGAAATTCTTTAATTTATTTGATTAGAATCTTTGTTTTTCCTGTAGCTTTTCCAATATAAAATATTATGTAACTGTGTGGCCCATTTAATTTAACTCCAGCCTTTCTTTGAAATGGTGGTTTCTATAATTTACGACACCATTGTATGTCGTTGTGTGTGTGTGTGTTTAAGTTTTTTTTTCTATTTTGTTTGTTTCACCAAATATCATTATCCATTTTCAATGGTCATCATGTTTTTTTTTTTTTGATTTTGAAATTTGTCACTCCCATTAATCACGAAAAATTCGATGTTGTTCATGTTTTTCCTTCTTCGATGTCCTCTATTACATCGAAACCAACGGCCATTTTTCTTGTAATATCATATAACATTTCTAAATGAAATGATCATTTAGAAATGAGAAAAAAAAGTGGAGAAGCAATATAAATGATAAACACACAAGACAAGATTATGTTTGAATTTATTTATCCATTGATTAATTAATGCCAAACATTACACACACACACACACACACACACAATCAATGATCTTTTAGGATTTATCATCATCATGATTAAGGACAAATTAGTCGATCATATAATAATAATAACAATTAATGGCCTTCGTATTGCACGTGTTTTTTTAGTTTTCTCTATAATATTTTTCGTAAGAACATTTTGTATATAATCATTGATTGATTGGTGATAATGATTAATGTTAAATAAAAATTAATCCATATCGATTCATTCATAGTGAAATAAACTATCCATTATCATTTGAGATAGTTTTTTCGTTTTCTGTTCAACATTTCTATTCATTCATTTTTTTTTGTTCTTTCATTTAAATTCAACAATTTCGATGTCGCCGACGGCTTTGTTTTGAATGTTGGGTGTTGTTCGACCTATTCATTGTATTTACATAGATAAAGGATAGGGAAGTTTTTTTTTTTTCGTTTATTAAATCAGGCAAATGATTCAAGTTTTCATTTTGGTAGATTACCGTACATGACTTTTAATAATAATAAGTGTGACATGAGTGTTTTGGGATTTTTTCAGGCTTTACATGAAAAAGAAGAAAAAATTGATTTTTTATTATTGAATCACTAATGATCGTCACCACTATTTTTTTTTTTTGTGATGATGGTTGGTAGTGTCGACACTTCCTTAGTTTGTTTCACAGTTATTAGATTAATAATCTTATAAATGATTATTATTATTATTATTGCCATTTCAACATTCCTTTTATTCGAACATCAATTGCTATCATTATAAAGATCTTTTTGTTGTTCATCATCATCATCATCATAGTCATTATTATCAATTGGATTTAGCTTATTCTTATCAAATAAAGCCAAAAAACCCGTTATAATCAAGTCAAATCAAAATCAATTTAAGTAACATTTTTCTTTTTCTTTTTTTTTTTTTTGCTTGCTTTCGGTGATCAAATCGAGGAAAAAATATTATTTATGAATAAATCTTTGGATGTTTGGAATTTTAATAATTTTTGAAATGAAAAAAAAAATGTAGGAAGCCGATAACTAGGATGATGATGATGGAAACCATCACCAAAAAAAAAAAAAAAAAAACCATTGGCTGACACTAATCCCATGTGGCTGTTATGTTACTGTTGGCTTGTTGTTGTTGCTTCTGTGAAAGATGAGATTCGTGACCAAAATTTTTTTTTTTTAACATTATGATAATGATTATAATCATTTGATATCCATTGAAAATGTTGTTGTTGCCAAAATATTACTTATTTCGTAAGCACCTATCTATCTATAGCTTTTAGCTGGAAAAAAAACAATGGATATTAGAAATCCATATCGTCCGTATATGATGATGATGATGTGGATTTACCAATAATCCAATTGTCTGATACCTGCTTCTTGTCATGTAACCTAATTTTGCATTTCTGTTGTTGATCAATTTTTGTTGTTGTTCATCGTATTTTATAAATGTCAAACAAACAGAATTATTTTTTTTGAATTATTTATTTTTTTTTTTTCATTTTTTTTTCTCGTTTTTTTCTGCAGCCATCATCATCATCATCATCATCGACATCGTCATCAACATCAAATAGTCAAATCATTGTACATACATTGAAAACATGTCGCGATGGAGCCATTCTTGATCCGGATGATCGACTAAACGATGTGGCCGATGATCGTGAACAGGTAAGTTTTGTATGATAGTCATACGTTGAATAGGCTAAATTTAAAATGATTCCGAAAATATTCATTTTTTGTTTGTTTGCTTTTTTTCTCTCTCTTTCTTCATTTCTCTGATTTTTTTTAATTTTCATTGATCCATCTAAATATGTGTATGTTTGCTAATTATTTATTCCAAATTCGACCTAGTTGATTGCCGTGTTCGACGAATATCAGCAGCATCCTCTTAATCATAAAAACAACGACGAATCACCATCATCAAGATTGAGCTGTCAAGATCAACATAACGATCCGAATTTAGCCGAAAATATGAAAATGGCTCCATCAATTCAAAATCGACAATCAATCGGATCATCATCATCATCAACAACATCATCGGCAAAATCGAATTCAACAGCCAACTATTTTCTAATAAGCCAACAGCAACAAATTTCGAATCATAAAATATCGACTATTTATGGCCATAGCATCAGTAATAAACCACCGTTACCACCACAGCATTACCATAGTAACAGTATGTCGGATTCGTTACTAGGTAATGATCCGATATTAATTAGACGACAACAAAAACATCCAAATGAGTCATCATTTTTACCTCATAACCGATTATCATCTCCTTCATCATCATTATATCATAAGCATTCAAGATCAACAATGGATAATAAACCACCAGCGGTTCATTGTACGACGAATAATAACAAGACGACCGTTACAGATTGTTGCCTCGATGAAGCGGTAGTCATGGCTACCGATGATGATTCCTGTTCGAATTTATCTATATCCGATGATCCATTGGATGTAGAAATAACCGTAGATGATTCATCGATCAATACATATTCTGCCAATATTCCCGCAATGCTACATGTAAGACATGGTAGTGAACCAAATCTGAATCGTAGTTTTGTCCATAATTCAGATGATATGATCATGGACAGTAATGATCATTCACATCATCATAGACGACATACATCGAACGTTGTTGCCGTTATAGTTGATGATGATAATGATGATCAAATGGACGCCATAAAAATGAATGATCTCGAACAATCTAATTATCATCATCATCATCATCAGTACAAAGCAACAAGTAAACGTTGGTCAACTGCTATAGCAATTGGTGATAAAACCATTGGATCAGCAACAACCAAATCAACAATCAAACCATCATCTCATCATCATCATATGGTCAGTATTTGTTTTATATCTTTCCATTGGATTTGATTAGCTGGCTTGTTAGTTTTTAAATACCTGTATTTCATATATTTGTGTGTGATTGGTCTGCTACCTGGTGGTGGCCATACTTATATAATCATCATTCTACCTGTTCGCGAAGAGCTGAAAAACATAATAGTATTTTTTCGAGCACTATAGTTGATGAGAGAAAGGTTGCATTTCTGGCCAAAATGCATAGATTTATGAATTGAATAGGATGCGCGAGTGAAAAGACCACGACAACAACAACAACAAGTGTTTTATCATCATCATAAAAAATGCATCTTGAGAATGTTAATTGTATTCATGACTATTTCTTTCGTTTATGGTAATGAGAATGATGATAACCATTATTCCATTCAATGAAATGCTACCTTTAACTGCTGGAAACAGTATCTGGCTATTTGGCTGGTTTTTGGATCTATTTGGTTTTCATTTTTCTCTTCTAGGTGTGCGTGTGTAATGAATGTTTTGAAATTTTTTCATTTTCAACTATACAATTGAAGACAATTATCAAATAATAATTATAATTTATTATTGAAAGCATTACAAACGTAAACGCAACATGTGTGTGTGTGTGTTGTGTGTCTGTACCATTTGCCACATTCATTTCTCCTTTCATTTGTTATAACAATCTTTTTTTGGCATTGCGTCGTCTATGATGATTGCAACAAGTGTGTGTGATGATTAAAATCATCATCATCATCATCATCGTTCTATTGGTCCTTATCATCATTCATAACTTTAATTGGAATTGTTGTTGATAAAAAGTGCGTGTGTTTGATGTGTTTTTTTTTGTTGAGACCAAATTGGGTTTAAAAGTTAATTTTTATATGCTGTTTGTGTGTGTGTGTGTGTGGTGTCCTAGTGTTTAGCTTTTACAATTAACACCTGATCATTGCCATTCATGTGTTTCCGAGATTTATTTTTTATTTGTTGACATTTATCTTATGATTTGCTGGTTGAAAATTGTTGCGTTTGTCATTTAATTTTTCTCACTATTTCTTCTCAATGTTTGTTGATTTGTGAGGGTGTGTGTTTTTTTGGAAAAAATTGAACTAATTTTGAATGTAAAAAAATTAAATCTCGGTCTATATGCTAAGTGTGAGTTTTTAAGTTTTTTTTTAAATTTCCAATCCCAAATCCTGTTTTATTCTGGAAGATCTCATTTCTTTTTTTTCTTTATTTTCTAATCAATAATTATATAGGTCTCGAATTATGAACACTCCGATGAAGACAAGTCTTTCAGTCATTCAATCTCACCGCAAAGTACCAAAGAGGAAGGCTATGCTAGTGAAGAACAATCGGCCAATTCTCAATCTGATCCACCACCTCCGTCTCATCATCATCACCATGAGCATAGTTCATCTACATCGCCTTCCGGTTTGAACAGTCCGACAATGTTTCAGCAGCAACAATCAAATTTCGCTCGTGGATCTGGCCGGCTATCTATGCTGGCACAAAATATGGATCAATGGGCCGATGCAGCCGATCGTCAATTAATTAAATTACAGAATAGTTCACACGATACCAGCAACACTAAAAATCATCAGCCATCTTCATCCTCATCTGTCAGTCACACTCATCATTCACAACAATATGCCAAACTTCTTCAGTCGCAACAATTATGTGACAGTTCATTAGGATCAATGGGATCGAATTCATCACAAGAGAATGATCATCCGACTATAGTGGATAAGCAACAACAAGCTAATCGTATGACTGTGATAATAGATTTGACCAAACAATCAGGACCATTAGGCATTCATGTTTTGCCTGATTCCAGTGATGGTTCCAGTTCTCGACTGAAACGTGGCCTTGAAATACAAAGTATAGAACCCGGTAGCCGTATCGATCGTGATGGTCGATTGAATATGGGTGATATAATCATAGAAATCGATGGCCATCCATTTGCCGGATTGGAATTTGAACGAGCACAAGAACTTTTTCGATCGGCATTACATGCCAACAACCAGATTCAGTTGTCAATAATAAAATCCCAAGTTTACTGTGATAATTCAAAAAATCAACAAACTGAACAGCGACTTCATCAACGATTTGCGACGAATAATGACAATGATGCCGATTCTAAGCATCCTTCTGATACATCAAAAGAATCCGAGTCGAACATGTTATTTGTTGAAGGTGAAGAACGATTCGGACCAATGACAAAATTAGCAACTGTAACAGCCACGAAAAAACATTCACCACAAGCTGTAACAACATTGATCGGATATAAACCTGCGGCATCGGCGATTGTTATCGCAAATACAAGAAGAATCGGTAAAAAGTATCATATTCAATTGAAAAAAGGCGAATATGGTCTCGGATTTACAATCACTACCCGAGATAATCCTGCCGGTGGACTTAGCCCAATCTATATAAAAACCATTTTGCCACGTGGTGCAGCCGTACAAGATGGACGCCTTAAACCTGGCGATCGATTGCTAGAAGTTTGTGGCATTGAAATGACGGGCAAATCACAAGAAGAAGCAGTAAAAATTCTAAGGAATCTTCCTTCAGATTCTATTGTTGATCTAATCGTCTCCCGGCAAGAGGTTGAAGTATCACCTAGTCCTTTAATGCCACGTCAATTACCTCCCGAAGCAGAAAATGAACCAAATTGTTCATCTATCAAAACGGAACGTGAAGTGATGACATTCCAAATACTTTTAAATGATACTGGTTCAGCTGGATTGGGCATCTCAGTCAAAGGTAAAACATTAACTGCTGATGGCCGACAACAGGATTCGGGAATATTTATCAAATCAGTATTGCATGGCGGTGCCGCATCAAAAGATGGCCGTCTCAAACAGGATGATCAATTAATCAATATTAATGGCATTCCATTATCTGGAAAAACCAATAGCGAAGCTATGGAAACATTGACAAGAGCAACGATAAAATCGGCTCATCAGATCACATTGACCATTGCACGGCGTGTATGTCATTCTCCATCACATCAAGTTTGTGCATTGGATTCTGGTGATCAATCATCATCTGCACACTACCCACGACATCAGCATGAATCATCCATTCTGAGCAATGATTCGTATGACATGTCTTTCATTCATCCAAATCAAACATCGATTGGTGACCAATCTCGAAACTATGATGGCAATTATTCACATGAAGATAGTTTTCGATCTTCGGGCGAGAACACTGTCATCTACAGTAAAAAGTCCTCAATTGAAATGGATGGACCAAATCAAGCCATTCAAAGATCGAGCGATTCCAATACTCCTGTTTCTGCTCAACCACCACCATCATTAAACGATAGTGAATTATCATTAAATGATTCAACCGGTGTTGAACAATCATCAATATCAGCAGCTGAACGATTCCGTCGTGATGGTTTCGGTAGGCAAAGTATGTCGGAAAAACGTCATGCACAATTAGATGCCAAAACTACCGATACATATCGAAGGAGTAAAAAGGCTAAAGAACATCCAGCTTCTAGTAGTAATCAAAATCAACAGAATAGAACGATCGATCATGAAAAGAATCTGGATGATCAAACTATTAATAAAGGTATGTTTTTCTTGTCACAATCAATTGATACAAAATATTCATTGAGTTGAAATCTGTTATTCTGATAGAAAATATCGATATTCAAACTCCAATATCAAGTTCATCTGCAAACAAAAAGATCAAATCACCAAGTTCTAAAAATCAAATCCTCTTTTCTCCAGTTTGTTGTTGTAAGTTACAATAAAAATTCTTGATCTGGTTTCCAATCAAAATCATTTTTTTTTTTATTCATCTGTCACAATCTATAGGGAAATGTCAATCACCTGGATCATGTCCATGTCGCAGTAAAGGTGAATTATCACCGGCGGATATTTACCGTATGAATGGATCTCATTCATTACAAAATGCACGTGTAATATCTGGTCATCAACAACTCTTACATCAAATGGTCCATAACAATGGTGTGAATGGTAGCGGGCCAGCTTTGAGAAAATCGTGCAGCTTGGAATCATTGCAGATAATGATGCAAGATTTACAAAAAGAACAATTACAAGAGCAAGTCAGTGGTAGTGGCAATGTTCCAACTAGTCCCCCAACTACTAGCCGTGGTTATATTGACCATCGTCATCAACGAAGCGGCAGTCATTACACCAGTGGTGGTCCAATTCGCATGAGTAAAAACTATCCAAGTGAAAGCTTCCGTGCTGCAGTGGATAGATCTTACGACATTAAAAATTATTCAAATACGACCAATATTCAATCAGGTATAGCGATGTTAAATTTTTACCTATGATCGAATCTAATTTTTTATCGTATAGTTTCAGAAGAAAATGATGCCGACGATAGTATTAGCCGACCATCAACGTGTCCATATCGTGTTGGCGGTGGCCATTCAATGGCTAGCACTAATTTTACAACGGAAACCGCCTTGACAATGCAAACAACGACGACAAATACAGATGATCAAGCTCATCTTTTGAAATCAACTACTTCATCGGCAAAGAAAAAGAAAAATTCCATATTCAAAAGTCTGTTTCATTTCGGATCGAAAAAAGGTCGATCTAAATCAATGGATCCGGGAAAAAATTCCATCAACAACAAAAATAATAATAGTCCTGAATCATCGACGATTTGCTCGGCATCACAAAGTGAAGAAATGAAACACTTTAGTCCAAATTATAGACATAAATATCAACAGGAACAGGAACGAATTAATGCCCAATACCGAAAACTATTGGAAGAACAAAAACAACGACAACTTCAACAACAACAACAGCAACGTCATTCAGGATTTGTTAGAAATCAATTACATCCGATGCATCAATCGATGCCTTTATCGAGTTCATATCGATCTAAATCTGGTGTTTCACCTCGTAACCAACAACAACAACAACAACAAACATCTGAACCTCCTCAAGTATATGATGTTATGAATACTGTGGGTGTTCCTCATGTTCAAAGCAAATCCAGTGATAGTAATAACGTTAAACCTATGAATGCCTATATACGATCGCATCATCGAATACATCCACAAGAAAGTTCAGCCATGTTCAATGATAATAATGTATGGTTTTACAATTCAAATTGACTTGACTGACTGATTTAATACTTTTGTTTTTCAGGCTAAACAAACATCAGAAAATCCGAGACATATGAGAATTAATTCACAAGAATTTTATGTTCGTCAATCAATGGACAGGTATGTCTTATTTTTATTCCGTAAACTTTTATCAAAATTTTAATCTTTTACAGACCTACTAGTCGTGTGACAGTTCCTGAAAATATCAATTATGGAACATATGGAATGATAAACAATTGTAATGCTCAACGCCTTTATGGTACTGCTAATAGATTGTCGGTTGATCCAGAAAGGACCTCATATCCTCAACAACATCAACACCATTATAGACAATTATCATTACGAAATCCGCAACATCATCGACAGATTTCCTCATCATCGGCAGCAGCAGCAGCTGTTAATCAAAACTTTTACCATCCACAACAACAGCCAAGAGGAAATCATTACGGTTATGAACAACAACAACAACAATCACAATTACCGGCCCGTGATCAAAGAAGCTACACTATTAATTCAAGATCATATCCGGTCAATCCTTATGGTCAGCTTGTCGGTACTTCTAAATCTCCTAATAATGAAACCACATATGGCATTGTAGGCCAACATCATCACCAACAGCAACGTACAATACCTTCTAATCTAACGGGATTATCTACGCCACAACAACATGCACAGACATCACATTCAAACATGAACATTGTTCGCCAACAGCAACCCATTTATCATTCGAATCAGGTACAGATCTATGGTACCATTTATAATAATCAAGCACAATCAAATGAATGGTCAACCATCACAACAGCAGCTTTATGCAATGTCAACTAAATTAAATTATGCTCCATTAAGCGGTTTGCCACCTTCCCATTAATCCTAAGTAGACAGACTTTTTCACGTTTGTCTACCACATAATAATCAATAATTCCAAAAACAAGACTTGAACCAAAAAAAAAAAAAATCTTTTTCAAACTCAACTCTATCTCTTGTTCAAATATCTACGTTTTGTATATTGAATACTTGTAAATGTTTGTGCTTATTGGATTTTGTTAACGAATCGTAATTTTTTCATCTGTAATATTATTATTTTTATTAAATTATCAATAATCAATCAACTATAGCGATTGCTCTGTAACAATGTGTTCGATTTGATTCAATTGTTCATTCAGGTTTGCCATTGTTGAATGCCATTTTTTTAGATTCGTTTCGCCAGCATTAATTTGTACATCGATTTGTGTAGCGAAATTTTTTGCCGAATGTGCTAAAATATCATTTGTACGTGATGATTTAATGATCTGTCGACACAATGAGCCAACATTGTGAACATTTTGTGTCATTTTTTCACATAATTTTATTCGTGAATCTTCATACAATGATCGCTGCTGCTGAATAAATGTGAATTGTTGCATTTGTTGCGACATGATTGCATGTCAATTGTCGTCAATTTAGGTATCAGTATTCAAGGAGTTCTATGAGCAACCAAAGAGAAAATAAAAATTATATTATCATCAAAAATATATCACTTACTTGTATAGCTGCTGCCAATGACAACAATTGCTTGATTACTTGGAAGTTGTGATGATAATAATTCATTCAGATCGTATAGATTGCAACCAGACAAATAGGTTAGGAAACTATATATCGTATATAAACACAATGGCCTTCAATCTTTATAATGAATGGAATAGAATTTAACCAGAAAAAATTTCATATCATTTCTAAAAAATTAATGAATAATATAAATTTTTACATTAAAAAAAATTCACTATTATTTCAATACGATCGATAATCTGGAATTTTCTAGTCGACAAAATGATTAGGATCCCTTTTTTTTAGATGATTCAGAATTCAGGAATATGTTATCACCAAAAAAAACAACCACCATGCAATGAGTAATTTATTATAGAACAAATGTTTATTTTGAAGCTGTGTGCATGTACATTGTTCTGCCATCAGTGGCCATGGCTCTCTATACGCCGTTGTCAGCACACAAAAACCAATATAAACCAAAAAAAAAAACAACGAGCAACTGTAAAGAAATTCATAGCTTCAGAAAAACAAATAAAATTGACAACAAAAACACCAATTTTTTTTTTTTTTTTTCTTTTTGTTCTTTAAAATCACATCTTTTATCGACGTTATCGTAGCTTTCGTTCGTTGTTCGAATAGGTTGTTGTTGTTGTTGGTGTTTGTAATCTGGTTACGCGTTATCTCCAATTTCTCTCCAAGTGCTCAATGGGTTTTAATAATGATCATTTATGATTTGTACACTTACTGATTAGCTTGCTTGCCATTGCTTGACGGATGTCAATTGCATTTGTATGCAGTGATTCATAATGATTGGATAAACAAACGTATATGACGACAAATGTACAAACCTGACATCTCTCATTCTCGGAATGTGGTGATAACGACAACTTTATTATGTTGTGTAAATTCAACGACAAAGAACATTTCATTCTAAAATTTTGCAATCTTCAGTAACAAATTGCAGAGTTTGTTTGTATGCGTGTGTGTGTGTGTTGAAACGGTCCAATTTTAAATTTTCCATTATTGTTGTTATCATTGTTGCTTTTATCATTGTTTCAATTTTATGGTATTATCGCTCTATAATGGAAACTTGGGTCAGCCAACTTCCAGAATTGTTTTGGATAGGCACACAACGTGTTGAGTCCGGATTAAAAGAACTGAGCAGCCATCTAATGTTGCGATCACCTCCGACAGATTGGTTGACGATATTCTTCGAATTGGCTAACAATGCTACTGATTTGTTGATCAATTTTTATCTAGTCAATCCTCGAACATTCTTTGCAATATTATTGTGTTTATGTTATGTCATTTATTATATTCGCAATGTTGTCCACGTGAGTATAATCTGGATTTATCTTCACCAACAACATTGATATAACAATCCTATCGAATGTATAGAAACCAATGTTCATTTGTGCTGAAGGCCGTTTCAAATGGTTCATCAAGGCCAATTGTCCGATTGTTAACGATAATTATTGGCCAACACTATGGTGCTATGAAACTCATTTGCTCACACCTATTTCTAATTTTCTTCGCAGTCTGATACCAGAATTGAAATATCATAGGTTAGATTATATTTACTTTCAATTGAAATCAAACTGGAAATTAAAAAAATATTATTTGCAGAGAAATATTATCCACTTCAGATGGTGGACAGATCTCATTGGATTGGTATGATCCTGATGGCAGTGAAACAAAGACAGTGTACCGCCAAACATCATTGGATAATCAAGAACAAACTTTATCAAAACATTCCATGTCTGAACGGTCTGTTGAAAACAACAAACCAATCGCTCTTTTTCTACCCGGATTAGCTGGATCATCGCAAGCCGAATACATTAAATCATTGGTTCCAATAGCTCATCGGATTGGTTATCGTGTGGTGGTTATCAATTATCGAGGCCTAGGAAATACCCCGTTGTTGACTCCTCGAATGTATTGTGCAGCTGATGATGCTGATCTTTGTACAGCGTTGGTTCATTTACGTGAAGCGAATCCAAAAGAGAAAATCATAGCAGTTGGCATTTCGTTGGGTGGTATCATTTTGGCCAGATATCTAATAAGATCAGGATACCATTCATTAGTGGATGCAGCATTTATGGTGTCAGTCTGTTGGGACATAATGGAAGGTATTGCCAGCATGGAAAAAGGTCTGAATTTTGCTCTGAATCAACATCTTACCCGATCATTGGTGAGCATCGTCGAGGCTAATAGGGAGATATTTCAAAAATTACCAAACATCGATATCGATGCAGTCAGTAAATGCCGAAACCAAAGAGAATTTGATGAAAAATTTACCATACGTATGTTCAACTTTGAGAGTGTTTCCCATTATTATTGCGAAAGTAGCCATAAAGGAAAGATTGCCTGCATTAAGACGCCGACATTTTGCATCAATGCTGCTGATGACATGTTTATGCCATTAGAGTGTATGTAAATACGTTGTATTAATTATTAATTTTCATTGATTTTCATTTCTATTTTGTTCATAGATTTACCATTAGATGAAGTGCTTCAAAGTAGAAATGTAGCAATGTTGGTCACACAACGTGGTGGCCATATCGGTTTTATGGATGGATTCATACCCAATTTTAAATGTGAATTCTACTCCGAACGAGTGATTGAACAATATTTAAAAGCATTATATCAACTGACCGATATAAAACGCGATTTACTATTGTGATCTTTGTAATTCTATGATTCCATCGATTGTTTGCTCCATTAATTCACTGTTTGTCGGTTTATTCTACTCATTATCCTGTTTTACTTTACATAGCCTTTCAATTTTTTTTTCATTTTTTTAGTTTATTTGATCATTTTATTTGAATTCTATATTGCGAACAAAAATTGTATCGAAAATGTGATTGTTTCAAAGAAAAAAAAATAATATAAATTTTATACTTAATTTAAAAAATGAACAAATTAGATCAATAAAAGAATGTTGACATGTGTAAATCACGTGACTATCGATTGTATCGTTTTTCAGATTCAACAACCAATATTGAAGCGTTGTCACAATATATAATCTCCAGAATTTCTTTTGATGACGATATCAGCCACCCACATTACTCTGTGATAATTTGTACGAGTTTTTTTTCTTAATTTAATTTGATATATAAACTTGTTTTTTTTGTAAAAATGACGACCCATCGTAAAACAATGTCAAATCCACAATTGGAAGTGAAACCTTTGTTCGAAAAGATTCGTGAATCACTTGTCAACTTGGATGCTTATCCAAAAACTTTAGAAGATTTTCGGATAAAAACGTTCGGTGGTGCTACAGGTAATTTCTTATGTTTGTTCCATTTTATAAATCTCATATTAACACAGTATTGTTTCCATAGTGACAATCATAAGCATTGTATTGATAATAATATTATTCATGCTCGAATTACATCACTATTTAACGCCTTATGTTCAAGAAGAATTGCTTGTTGATTTATCCAATGGAAAAAAACTGAAAATCAACTTTGATATGACGTTCCCTCATGTCGTTTGTTCACGTAGTTTAAATCACATAACAGACGTTTCAGAGTCTTAATTTTAAATTTTTATTGCGACAGACTTATCATTGGATGCAACTGATGTTTCGGGTGAGCAACATATCAACATACGACATGATTTATTCAAACGAAGATTAAATGAACATGGTGATCCGATCGAATTGCCTCAAAAAGACAATAGTATGTTATTTTTACCAATTATTCAATTAATCAATGGAAACCCTTATAATAATAATATTTTTAATTAATCATTACTAAAAGCGATAGTAACAAAGAAAAGTTCAAAGAAAATTAGTTCAAATCAAAATGGCCTTGATGATGCGATTGTAACAACGACACTAGATCCGAATCGATGTGAAAGCTGTTATGGCGTTGAAGCTACGATTAAAAAGTAAGCTACCAAAATGATGGCCTTGGTGAATAAAAAATCAATTTTTTCTTTTGTTGCTAATCATCATAAATAATATATAGATGCTGTAATACTTGTCAAGACGTTCGTGAAGCATATAACGCTAAAGGTTGGGTATTCGATCCTGCCCATGTTGAACAATGTAAAAGGGAAGGCATTATTAGCATAAATAATTCGTCCAAAGAAGGATGCCAATTATTCGGCTCGATCGAAGTGAATAAAATTGCCGGAAATTTCCATATTGCACTTGGACAAAGTTTTGAAAAACATCATGTCCATGGTAGGCACAATATTCATTTGTTTTTCAAAAACATTTTGTGATTTTATTCTATCTATGATCATTTTAGTTCATGATATCAACTTGGGCGAATTGATTTCGGTAATCAAAACAAAACAAAAAATTTGGTACAGACTAACGAACAGGATATTTTTTTATTACATTGTAAAATATATATGATATAGATGAATACTTCACACCGTATCAATCATCTATCATTTGGACAAAAAGTTCACACTATTGAAAATCAATTGGATGGCGTCTGGTTCGTCAGTGAACAAGGTAATCGACTTGAATTAACAGCGAATAGCTGTTCCTATAGCCATGAATGTACCGAATGTGCCACCACCTTGTATCATAACTTTACCCAATGATGACAATAGTTCACGACCTCGTAGGCCCATTCTAATATTGAGATGAAAAAAAAATTAGAAAATCAAAAGATTTAAATCGGACATTTATACGGGACTTACGATAAGGCTCGAAAACCACCAAACAGTCCACCTGATGCAAGACCAACGCAGGCACCCATCATAAAACCATATTTGACACGATCCCAGCACGATGGTTGATAACCACGTTGATATACGTTGCCTACTGCCGGCATGGTTATAAAGGATGATTGTTGTTTGAATTACTTTAGTGAAAAAAGGATAGAATGCCAAATCAAAGAAAAAAATTTATAAAATTTCAGGCCAAAAATTTACATGCGAATATTTTCTCTGATTATGATGGCCCAACACATGTTTGCTGATAGCTGTCCATTACATAGATGTCGTTATCATCATCAATTTTAAAATTTTTCCTCCTTTCGTTTTCTTTTGTTGATTTATTTTAGGTCATGGTTTAGCCACATTTCAGTATTACATAAAAATCATACCGACTATCTATCAGGATCTCAAGAATCAGGTAAATCGAAAAAATTTTAACATTTCTTCTAGCAGTTGCTAATCATGTCTGGAATTTTTTTTTAATAATCAGCAAATTGAAACGAATCAATTCGCTGTGACTAGATTTAAAAAAGAATATGGCTCAACGTTAGATGCGATAACGGATGCAAGATTACCAGGCGTATTCTTTATCTATGAATTTGGTCCAATGTTGATCAAATATAGCGAACAACATCGATCGACATTACATTTTCTGACCAGTTTATGCGCAATAATTGGTGGTATATTGACAGGTAAGTCAATCCACATTGTTGATTATTTTGAATTCAAAATTTATAATCTATTTGTTTTTCGTGACAAGTGGCCAGTATTATTGATTCATTCATCTATCATTCACATCGAGCTTTACGTGCTAAAATTCAACTTGGCAAATTGGGCTAATTTCTATTTATTTATGGATTATGATGAAAGAAGATTGATTTGTTTATATATTTGTGGTTTAATTATTTTCATTATGTCAATAATAATAATAATAATAATCATACGAAAAACTCTTTCGTTTTTTTATAAATATTTTTTATGCTCATATATTCTCTATATACAACGAAAACAACGTTCCCATTCTTTCACTTTAAGATTGATTAGATTCGATTTGTTGAATATATATTCAAAACAAAACAAATTGAAATTGAATACCAACACAGACATAGGAAAAAACTTGGTTAGTTGGCCTTCATGTATGTCTGTAGGTATTTTCACACGCACACACAGTTTGCTAATTGAACAAAATCAACTTCCGGGTTGATCATCGTGATGATGATACGTTTCCACAATTCATATAGTAGCCCAAATATTGAGACAGACATGATCTTTGCTGCTGCTGCTGTTGTTGTTGTTGTTGTTAAGGTTAACGCTATAGCAAAAAAAAACTCATTTTTTTTCTATTCTAAACATTTCTGACGGTTTTTGCGCCGTCGAACGAACAACGACCTGAACATTTTGGTTGTCGTTGTTTATTTGTTCGTTTTGATTGGATATGTTTTGAATGGAATATATGTTGTCGTTTTTGATCAAATTCAATGATTATGGCGATTCTTGCGCAGTGTATCCAAACATCATCATAATGATAATGATTCATGAAAAAATGTCCATACATGAATAGAGCATGAATTGCCACCATTACAAAATATACGAAATAAACCGATGGCACACTGGAGGCATATAGAACAGAATCAGATAGAGTTTGCTGGATGGTTCAATTCACCAGTCAATAACCCCAGAATCTTGATTCTGTGCCCAGAATGTCCCTAGGAATTTTCATATGTAAAAGTTTACGGACCTTATTGCGCCGACGCTTGACCTGAACCAAACACTATTAGTGATAGATTGTGCCATTGTCTTCCGCATATATTTCATTGAAATTTTCATTGATCATTATGCAATAACATGGGCACATTGACACACTCACACAAATAATTAATTCTTTATTCATTCGAAACATTGATTTTATGATCATAAAACCATGATGATGACGATTATGATGATGGTGCTCAAATATTTCATTGATCCTGGTGGTTATAATATTTTTTTATATTCATTACAAATTTTTTGCTTCGAGTGTAACGATGGAAAAAAAACGCAATTCAACTAAATTCTACGTTTAACTCAGTCTAATGTATGTTGTGATTGTGACTAAGATGTGAAGAAAAAAAATTGTGACTAGAAGTCATTGTATCCGAAATTAGAATCCTCACTACTTTGACTGACTGACTGTATCTAGAATCTAGACATTATCATCTGTGTGTGTGTGTGTGATTCTATGCAGCAACATGAATTGGTAACGACGACGGTAGGGCTTTCTTACTGTCATTATTATTCGGGTGAACCAGATCTTCGATGGATGGCCTGCCATGTGTCTTTGCCTTTTTTTTACATGTCAGCAACACTTGAAATTTTTATTTTTTTTTTTTTTTTGTTTCCATCCATTTAACCAAGAATATTATATCGCACAATTTAAAATGATAATACGTTTTGTCGTCTTGTGTGTCGCATTTTTAAAATTTTGTTCATTTTTTTCTAATTCATCATTCAACAATATGAATGTGAACGAAATTCATTTAGTTTTGATTTTTTTTCTTTCAAACAAAAATGATTATTCAACAATCGATTGATTGATATGTGGGTGTCCTACTGTGTGTTGCGTACACGTGTTTTTTCCATTGTATCTCCAGATTCAATTGTTATTAATGATTGCCATCACAAACACACACACACACACACCATCAAGGATAACTTGCTGGAAGTTTTTTTTATGTTATGAATTGCCAGATTTTCATTTGCAAAAAATCCCTACTTATTGCATCATCCATAAATTCGAAACAATCTTCTATATGTGTGGAATTTGTCATGCAAGTGTTTATTTGTGTTGTATGTGTGTATGTATGTATTCATGCTGTTCTGTGTTGTGCTATACCACATTCTATATGAATCTAGTGATAACTAGATCTAACCTGATTTGATCAAGAATAAATGAATGGCCAACCTTGAGCCAATATGATATATTGTGTGATGGTTAAATCTGAAATGAGAGAGTTTTTTTCCATTCAACTTTCAACTTGTTCTGATTCGATTCTAGTATATTCATTCTTGTAATGACCAAAAACACCAAAAAGCCTATCGATCAACGACCCAACAATTCTTATTCGATTTCGAACACATACACACACACACACACACACACACACACAGAGAGAGAGAGGAGAGAGAAATTAATGATTTTTTCAAAAACTTTTGGCCAAATGCTTCAAATGAAAATTTATTACCATTTAAGCTAGAAGGATAATCATCAAAACACTGACACACATGTGTGTGTTTTTTTTGTATTTTCAAATCCAACTGTTCAACCAAATTACTAATGATGGCCACCACCATCACTACCACCACCGCCGCCGATGAAGAAGAAAATGAAACGATAATTTTACATTGATGACTTTGTCGTCAAATAATTTGACCAGAAAAAAAAAAAAACAAAGGAGAAATTCCATTTAGTACCCCTTGAATTTTTATAATTAAAGTGCTCAGAAAAAACCACCATCCAATAGACGTGTGTGTGTGTTTTTAAAATTTGGTCCTGAGGTGATTCAATAAATTTTTTTTTCTGCCTTATTTTAAATGCCCCGGGTGTTCCAAGAGTGCAAAGGTAGTGTTCGTTTGTCCTTGGAATCTAACGACGACAACAACAACAACAACAACAACAACAACAAACACAAAATATAGCTCAAACTTTCAAATTTTTTTTTTCATTGGCCTTGAGAAATTTCCTCTTGAACTATATGAGTTGAAACTAGTGTAATTTTTATGTGAGAATTCAGATCCATTTGGTGCAAACACATTGTGTGTTTGTGTATGTGAACTTTATGCACACACACACACACACACACCTAACATACATACATGTCATGTCATGTCAAAAGTTCACTAAAATAACACACAAGACAAGCTCAATTTATTTTACCACTGCCATACTTCAAGATTTAAATTCAAAAAAAATATACCCTGGTTTGATGGTTCGATTGGAATCACACACCATATACGATCTATGTACATACGGCTACTATAGCCAGCAGCTAATGTATACGTTTTATTTCGAAGTCGGCCATATTTGCCGCACGCTTCAAAATGAAAAAAGGTTTGGTCATGATCAACAAAGCTAGCCTAACTTTAGATCTAAAAAACTGGTACTTATCAACTTTTTTTCATATGTGTGTGTGTGTCTGTCTGTCTGTCTGGAATTGCTGAGCTAGTTGCAATGAGCTAGCTATTGTTGGTGTTTGTTCTTCCCCTTCCTGGCTCTACTTTTCATTGTTCATCATCATTGATTCGATTCATGTGTTTGTGTGTGTTTGTGTGTGTGTGTGTTCAGGTTTATGTGGTAGAAATCTCATCATTCAAAATACATTGATGATTATGCTACTCGAACAAAAATGAACGACTAATGACGGCCCAAATCAACTTGAACAAGTCTGGCTGTTATTTTTTCTCTTTGCAAAATATTTTATTTCATTTATCATGAATCAAATGTGGCCGAATCATTCTCATAGCATCATCATCATATGAAAGAGAAGGCAAGTGGACATACTACCACAACAATCATAATTTCGAACGTCCACTTCCATTCATCCATACATGAAACATCATCATCATCATCACCATCATCATCGTCATCGTGGTTAAAAATTGCCATCAAATTGTTGCCATTGACGTCGACAAAAAATTTTTTTTTTTTGTCCATTGATTTGCCTTCGACGTGTATATAATATCAGCAAGCATATTTTGTTGCCCTTTTTGTTTTTTCCGATTTTGTCAATTGTTTGATGAAATAAATAACTTTTTTGTTGGAATATTTGTCAAAACAACAACAACGAACAATAATATTGGCAGCTATTGATTAACTATTGGCAGCTATTGGTTAACTATTGGCAACTATTGGTTAACTATTGGCAGCTACTGGTTGTATTTCCTTTTACGCCTGTTGAATTTTTTTCTTTATAATTGGTCGCTAGGATCCTATCGAATTTTTTTTTTCGTGTCTCTGTGTGTGCGTGTGTGTGTGTGTGTGTGTCTGTGTTTTCAAAATATCGAAATTTTTTTCACGCCAACATTCATTGATTTTTTTCCACTATTAGTGATCAATCTATACATCATCAAATTAATCAAATATGTTTCAATTATTTGGTTCGTTGAAACAATTTGTTAAACCACAAAGCTGTGTAATTGATAATCACATTTATCGATTACATTATAAAGCTACCGTACTCATATTGGTTGCATTCTCATTGATGGTCACAGGTATGTCTTGTAATTTGTAAATAATGATGGAACCAACCCCCATTCACACACGAAATGAATTAGGTTATTCACACAGTCTCGAAAAAGTTGGAACCGGTTCCGAGACCAAAAAAAAAAAGAACCGAACCGGGAATTTTCTAACGTCATTCGAAAATTAGTTCAGTGACCCAAACTTGGCTGATAATTAATTATAGAAATAATTAATGAATTCATTTAGAGATATATATATGATTGATTGCTATTGTCAACAATTAGATATGAAGTTAATTAAATAGAAAACAGCTTAACATGGTCACTTTGAAAATAACAATTTGACCTGGATGCATACCCTAAAATGAATACAATATGATTATATGGCAAGGCTAGGTTTCTAACTAACAAAATAGAAATACACCAACATCTGGCTTGTTCCGAAATGATATTTTGCCAGGTTTTTGCATTATTAACCTTAAGGCCACCATTAAGAAATCAATTGTTTGATTCAATGTTGTATATTTAAAAATGATGATGATGGCCTCAATTTGATATAATTTGATCCATTGATCATCAGTCATATGTGAATTCTAATTTTTAAATTTTTTTTAAAATTTGATTTTAATTACATATTTACACACACACAATTGTGTTGCTACGACGACAAATAACTAACAATTTTTTTTTTTTTAAATTCATTTTAATAGCTCGTCAATATTTTGGTGATCCAATCGACTGTATCTCTCGGGACGATATTCCACCAAATCTTCTCGGTATGTTGATCATCTAGTTCATACAGTGCATATATACATTTGAAATTCAAACAAACGATAAAATTAAAAAAAAACATTCTATTAGTAATGGGTGACACAAATAACTGTCATATCATCGTAAATTTGATTTTTGTTTCGATAAGTCAAAATTTTTTCATTCGATAAAATTGAAAACAAAAATACTCGTGTTTGTGTGTGTGTGTGTGTGTGTATGTGAGTCGATAAATCAATTTCGAATAACCTGAATCAGTTCGATTTCACGATTATATAGTGGTGATATCGTCAAGAACAAAATATGTCGATTTCGATTCAATATATAAAAATTGAGAAAAAAAATTTTTCCTGGTTGCAAATTTTTTCCCTTTTTTTACAAAATTACCCATTATTAATTATCTTACAATAAAATTAACGATCCATTCAATCATAGGTGTTGATCGTCATCGTTGTTGGACAACAGTAGCTGCAATAAACCAGATGCAGCAAAAAGTTTTATTTCATAATTAGCCTATAATAACGAGGACGACCACTTGTTGTTTTTGTTTTTGTTGTTGTTGTTGTTGCAATTGTTATTATTATTCGGACAGCTATAAAATGAAATTTTTCTTTCCAATCATCCATCATATACAACGCATCTGATATGTACGTGTGTGTACATGTGTGGATGTTTTATTTAAAAACATTTTTGTTTCAACAAAAATGTTTATGCGGATTGCTTTGGATATAATTATTGAAAGAAGGAAAAAAATCCACATTAATCTAATGATGAAAGTGTTTACAGTTATTTTTCTTTGCAATTTAAAAAAAAAATTTTCCTTACAGATCAAACAGAATGATTAGGATCAGGTTTTTTCCCGAGCTTGTTCGAATTTATTTATGGCCAGTATTAATAGTGACATTAATTTGTCGATTATTGTTTGTATTTAAAAACTTGATTTTTTTTTCAATGATTATTAACTCGTTTTATTTTTTCTAACTAAAATTTCATTCACGCGCGACATTTTCTGTTTATTGAATCGAATAAAAAAAAATTGTTAAAAGTTCTTTTCTCAGTCCCAATAAAAAAAAAATGTAAATAGATTATATAATGGATGATGATGATTTTACTTTGTACATGCATGACCACCACCGCCACCACTTGTTGAATGTTTTTACTTGAATCAATTTTTTCAGATCTTTCTCTTTCTCATTCTCTATATGTGATTTTTTTTGTGATCTTGTTTTTCGGGTCGTTTGTTTTTTTTTCATCTATCGTTCTACAGTTCATATATAGTTTGATGATATTGTGACTTTGCATTTTTATCAATTTAAAATGCTCATTTTTATATCGGATGATGCTTTCATATCAATCGATATACCTCTGTATAATGATAAAGATGTCATGAAGGAGAAAAAAAAGTAATTAATATTCGTATGTGAAAGTTTAACAGCAGCATCAAGAGAAAAAAAAACCAAATGACCACATGATGATGATTGAAGATTTTTTTTTTCGTCCAGTTTGTCTTGCTTGCGATGACTGGTGGCCGCATCATCATTCATAGCCTGACAAACGAAAATCTTCCATATTTTTTGAGGATATCTATGAAAAAAAATATTTTTCAAGCAAGCAAGCAAACAAAACAATCATGATAAAGCACACAGGATTTATTGTTGTTGAATTGTAAAAAAAAAAATTTTTGATTTAAAAAAATGTCACTCATGCGCGTTGTCATTTATTGATAGCCTAATGATAATAATGATGATCATCTTCATCATTGTAAGCAAGATTTTTTTCTTTTTACGCAATCCATTGACCCCGATCATGGTTCGATCAACTTTCTTTACTGTTTTGTTGTTGTTGTTGTTGTATTTGTCCAAGTTTTATGATTGTCCTCATGACAAGATATTTCGTCTGATGATGATGATGATTTATTGGGAACGAGGAAGCCTTTGTTCCCATTTATTTATTTTTATTTTTATTTTGTTTGGTCATTTCTTTTGATAATTTGGTTATTTATTCCTTATTTCCTATTTTTCCGGTTATAGATACTTATTGTTGGATCCATACAACATTCTCTATAGAGAATGCATGGAAAAAACGTGTCGGTGAAGAGGTGCCATATCCGGGTGTGGATAAAACTACACCAAACGAGAAACGCGTCTATCATGCCTACTATCAATGGGTCTGTTTTGTGCTGTTCTTCCAAGCGTTAGCTTTTTGTGTTCCTCGTTATCTATGGAAAGCATTTGAAGGTGGCCTTGTTAAGAATCTTATGCTTGGCTTAGATCGTCCTATTCTTCCTGAAGATGATCGAGTTCGAAATATAGATCTTGTTTCCTATTACCTTTATCGTAATAAAAAACTTCACAATACATTATTCCTCGTCCATACAATCACCGAAGTGCTCAACATGTTCAACGTCATTATCCAAATGATGGTAATGGATCGATTTTTGGGCGGCGAATTCTCCAGCTATGGCTGGGAAGTTCTTAACTTTACCGAATGGGATTGGTCTGTTCGTTTTGATCCAATGGTAAAGCATAAAAATGAATAAACTTCTTTTGAAGTAATGAATTTTCTTTCGTAGATAAAAGTATTTCCACGATTGACCAAATGTACATTCCATCGTTATGGTTCATCTGGTGATGTTCAACGACATGATGCCATGTGCATTTTACCAATCAACATTGTAAATGAAAAAATCTACATATTCTTGTGGTTCTGGTTTTATTTTATGGCCATTGCTAGCGCACTTGGTTTATTGTATCGTGCAATGACCATTTTATATCCAGGTATTCGTGTGATGGCCACACATTCACATTGTCGTATTGTTAATCCAGATTTGATTCGTAATGTTCTTCATTCTGGCCAAGTTGGCGATTGGTTTCTTATTGATTTGATTGCTAAAAATATTGATCCAATCAATTTTCGCGATCTATTAATCGATCTGGATCGTAAATTAGGAATGGAAATTAAAGATAGTAAAAATGGTATGTAGAAAAAAAAATCATCAAGATAAAATCCCGAATTCGTAATATCAAATCGCGCCAACTTTACATTCTTGCACGACGATCAATTCCAATAACAAAAATGATAATAGTAATATTGTTGAACCACGATAAAACGACCAAAAAAAAAAAAAAAAAAATGAAAAAATAATGAAGAAAAGGATCTCCAATCTCTCGCTTTTTAACACAAACACACACACACATACATACAACTACACTAAACTCCTACTTTATAAACCAAAAAAAAAAAAAAAAAAAAAAGCCGATAAGGACCCATTAAAACAATCAACTAATAAGGCCATAATATGTTGGGTCATTTTTTTCATCATTATCATCATCATAATCATCATTGCCATTATAATTTTTCTTCAAATATCTAAATACACACACACACACACACACACACTTGTGATTAATACAACCATGCCCATATATTATCGTTCCATATATTTTCTACCCTTTTTTTTATCTGTGTCGATAAATATGGACATGACATATTTAACACAATCAATTTGAATGCTAAAAATCCATTTTATATATTGAATAGCCAAGCCAAGCCAAAACAAAAACAATATGAAAATCTGTAATTTGTTACCTAACAAAAAAAATCGATTCTTCACTATATTTTTGGAACCATTTTATTCTTAATGTCATTTTCTTGCTTATATTATCATCATATATTATTTTATGAATTTATATTTCCAAAATTTTACATTGACCAGAATTTTATCTATGCAAGATATATTTCGGAAGAAAACACATTTTATATGCATGTTCATTATACACAATCAAACACAAAATTACGAATTGTGAAAACAAATTGATGAAAACAAAAAAATCAAACAATTGATGTGTTATCAATTATTAAATCGAGTACAAATGATGAATATTATTATATCACATTATATCACCAGATTTCATTTGCTTTTTTTAGGATTTTCAATAATTTCATGTTTTTTTTATAATCATTTTTACCATTTATTATAATAATAATTAAAATTGAATCATTATAATGCCGAAATTTGGAAATTTTCTAATCTCCAAATGGATCTCATATATGGTCAAAACAATTATATCGATTATAATATGGTTATTATTATGAAATATTTAATGATTGATCTGATGCATCAGCTTATGAAATTGGTGGAAAAAAATTTATACACTTTATTTATCTTTGTCCGTGTGTACCGGAATTTTTTTTTCCCGTTAAAATCCATATAATTCGTTATTACAATTATTTTCCATTATTATATGAAAGAAAAAAAACTTTACCGTTATAATGATCCAGGATAATTTTTTTCCACCAATCAATCATGATGACAGCCAACGATACAGTTGATTGATTTAACTCTTTATTTTCCTTTCATTTCCCTTCCACAATTGTAGCATTGTCAATATGTATCTGAGATGTATGACATAAATATGTGAAATGACATAAACAATTTGACAATATTTTCAGAGCAAAAAAAAAAATTTTTAATTATTACACCTGAATGATTGGATGCTTGAGTGATTTTAGTCCGTTGTTAAGCTCTCTTTTTCTCGCTTTCTATCTTCTTATTGATTATCAAATTGATCTCTTACTTACATCATAATAATTATGATGATTATGATGGATCAGTTAATCAGTTTGGCCAAAGTCAGCCAATCAACCAAACAGACAAGTAAAAACACAACACTTTTGGATCATTTTCATTCCACAGGATTATTATCTTTGTCATAGATTTTTTTTTTCTTCTTCGTTTCACTTCTACTATTCACTAGTAAATGGAGAATGGTGCCAACATAAATTGATTAAAAATGAAAAAACTATTCATTATCGTCGAACAACAATGTCGATAATGATAATAATGAAATTGTACGAAAAAAAACGGTTATTTATTTCGGGTTCCGAAATTTTTTTAGTGTTTTCCTCATCATCAACACACAGTTATTATTGTTGTCATCATTTTTGTTGAAATTCAAGCGAGTAATAATTAGAAATGTCAACCACAGTTTCGAATCGAATATAGCACATTGATCTCTTTCGATAGAGACTTCATACATAGACATTTTGGCCAAATCCAAGTTTTTTTCATTATAACCTGTCAGTTAATATCTAATCTTCTGGCTGACAACAACTTCAACAAATTCGATCTGACTTACTGATTAATTTTTTTTTGTTCCAAGACATTTTTTTTGTTTGTAGGTGTGTTTGTGTGTGAAGTAGGTGTATCAGTGTATGGTCTAATTAAATGATAAAGTTTTAGTGAACATCAGAATCTCATCTGTGAAAATGGTCGATAATAATCAAAAAAGAATGTCAGAAGATTTAAATGATTTAAAATCTGATGAAGCTCAATATGTCTACAAACAATATGGTCCTGAAAAGAAAGCCGAACGAGATTTAATGCGTAATAATATATCAATACCAGAATGGAAAATAAAAGAAGAATTAGTAATAAGCGGTATGTCTGGCCGTTTTCCTGAAAGTAATACGATTGATGAATATTCGTATAATATGTACAACGGTATTGATATGGTCACTGAAGACGAACGAAGATGGCCATTCGGTAAGTGATGATATCCATGATGATGATAATAACAATAATGATGATAATATTTTGATTACAAAATCTTGTCCAGGCTATCTTGGGTTACCCCGAAGATCTGGCAAAATTAAAGATATTTCATTGTTTGATAATGAATTTTTCAAAGTGAACGAAGAAGATGCACATTATCTGGATTCACAAATACGCATCATGTTGGAAATCACATTCGAAGCATTGTGGGATTCCGGTAAGTTAAAATTAAATCTCGATCATCGTGCAATTTCTATTTAATATTTTTTTATCATAGGCATCGATCCAAATAGCTGGGCTGGTAGCAATACCGGTGTGTTTTTAGGCCATTGTTTTGATGAATATATGGCTGCCTATTCAGATACCGGAAATAATATTCCATTGTATAGACAAAGTTATTTTGCAATGTTGCACAATGTTTTCGATTTCAAGGGGCCAGCAAAACATTTCGATACTGCATGTGCATCCGGTTTCAGTGCCTTCCATCAGGCAATTGCTTCTCTTCGTGCTGGTGAATGTGATCAGGCCATTGTTGTCGGTTTGAATATTTGCCTTCGTGCCGGTACACAGCATCAATTTCTAAATCTCAACATGTTGTCACCGGAAGGCAAATGTAAATGTTTAGATGATGACGCCAATGGTTATGCTAAAGGTGAAGCTTGTGTAGCCGTGGTTTTGCAACATAAATCACAAGCCCGACGAATCTATGCTCGTATCATTCATTCAAAAACCAATTGTGATGGCTTCAAAGATTTGGGCATTACATTTCCTAGTTTTGAACTTCAAGCTGAAGTTATATCCGATGCATTTAAAGAAGCTCAAATCGATCCACTTGAAGTTGAATATTGTGAAGCTCATTGCACCGGTACGCAAGCTGGTGATCCATCAGAAATGAGAGCAATCTATGATTCAATGTGTGTTGGTCGTACTAAACCTTTGAAAATTGGTGCACTTAAATCGGTCATTGGTCATACTGAAGGTGCATCTGGTCTATGTGGATTGGTCAAATCGATTCTTTGTTTTGAAAACGAATTAATACCACCTAATTTACATATGACTAAAATAAACCATAATATCGATGGCCTGGTCAAAGGTATCCTTGAGCCGGTCACTGAATGCACTCCATTCAAAGGACGAATGATAGCAATGAATTGCTTTGGATTCGGTGGTGTAAATGTGCACGCTATAATCGAAAAGAATGCCAAAGAAATTTCTGATAACGAATATCAATTCGGCACATTACCACGATTGGTAATCTTTTGTGGCAGGAACCAAGAATCATTGGAAAATATGCATCAATTCTTAATCGATAATCCTGATAAAATAACCACCGGATTTTTGGCCCTATTGGATAATGTAGCAAAAACCAGTCCATATCCAAATCGAATGTTTGGCGGCATGATATATCGAGGTGCTCGTCTATTTAAACCTGACGATTGTGGCCGTCTAAAACCATTAGATGAAGTACGATTCAATCAAGTAAAAAGCGAAACAAAACCGTCTGTTTGCTTTGTTTTCACTGGAATGGGTTGTCAATGGCCAATGATGGGACGAGAATTGTATCGAATTGATTCAATGTCCCGTATTCTTCAACAGTGTTCTGAAGTTCTGAAACGTATCAACAGCTCATTCAATCTGATGAACATATTGACAAGTGATGATCCAAAAATACTACAATCTCCCACCAATTCATTTGTTGCCATTGCTGCCATACAGATGGCAATTGTTGAATTTCTTCGACAATTAGAAATTGAACCAGATTTCGTTATCGGTCATTCCATTGGTGAATTGTCCTGTGCTTATGCTGATCAATGTCTCACTCTAGAAGAAACGATTACTGCGGCATATATTCGTGGCCAATGTATGGCCAAAATGGCAGAACAGAAACAAGGAAAAATGGCAGCCATTGGCTGTACTTGGGAACAAGCGACACAATATTGTCAACAATATTCCGAAGGAAAAGTTTGGCCAGCATGTCACAATAGTTTTGATTCGGTTACTGTGGCCGGTTCAAAATTAGATATGGACAATTTTATATTGAAATTACAACAACAGGAACCTGATTTATTTGTTCGCGCCATCAATAGTTCAAATGTTGCATTCCATTGTCCATACATTGAAGAAATGCGTGACACGTTACGACAAGCATTAAACGAAAATATCTGCTTCAAACAACAAAAGTCAATCTCATCTAAATGGTTGACAACAACGTACGAACAAAAAAGCCAAGAATTCAACCTAGAATATCTGGTCGATAATTTGCTCGAACCTGTCAGATTTTATGAAGTTTTTCAACGTCTACCTTCAAATGTTATATTTGTTGAGATTGCCCCCAACAATTTGCTCCAAGCAGTTATCAAACGCAACATTTTCGAACGAAATGAGGATTCAAAATATGTGGCAACAATGACACGTAAAAGTGGTCAGAATAATGTCGATATTCTTCTGACTAATATCGGTCAGCTCTATGTAAATGGATTGAATCCTTGGATTGAAAAACTATATCCTTCATATGAATACCCGGTCGCTAGAACTACTCAATCATTACATTCAATGATTCGTTGGAAACATGATCGTCATTTCAAATGCACAAAATATCCAGAATTTTTCAATCCATGATCAACGTAAAAAGACATACAAATCTGTTGACATGCAAAATGCTGATGATAAATTCTTTGCCGATCATTGTGTCGATGGTCGTATCTTATTTCCAGCTACTGGTTATTTATATTTTGCTTGGGAATTGGCTAGTCGATCTATGAATTCTAAACGAGAAGAAACACCCATCATATTCGAAGATGTAATCATACATCGAGCCACAATCATACCAAAAAGTGGTTTAATGAGTTTTGCCATGAAATTTAACAAAGAAAATGGAATGTTTGTCATGTTGAACGATGGTACAGTGACTACTACTGGCCGAATCAGAATACCAAACAAACAATCCAAATTTTTATTGTATCAAGATATGCTAAATAGTGTGGATAGTGTTAAAACGAAAAAATGTCGAATGCAATTGGCAATGAAAGATGTGTACAAAGAATTCCGTTTACGTGGCTATGATTATGGACCCGAATTTCAAAGCATTAATGAGGTTTCAGTTAATGATGAATTCAGTGTGGCTACAGTGACTTTCAAGAATTGGGTTACATTCGTCGATGGCATGATTCAAACGGTTATTATTGGGCGTCCAATACGTGCATTATTAGTACCTGTTCGAATCGATTATCTAGCATGTGATCCGATAATGATGTCTCAAAAATTTAAAACAATATCCGAAAATGCTACACCAACAGGTGAAACGACACCATTATTATGTTTGGATACGATCTACGATTTTTGTCTGAATATTGCCACTAGTTCAGGTATTGAATTTCGCGGAATCAAAGCTAATTTAGCGCCACGTAGAATACATCCTATTGTTCCATCTGAATCTATGTATGAATTTGTGCCGCACAATCAACATGATTTACTTTTAACAACAAGTAGATCAAACAGCTATGAATATCGATTATTTCTTACTGAACAACTATTACAATATCAAGATCTTTGTGCAAGATACTTACAAGATCATTCGATTGATGAATCATTTAATATGGAGCAATTTGAAACAAAAGTGGCCACACCAATTTTAATGAACATTCTTAAACAAATTGATTTCGACAATTTTGAACAGCAACAATTGGATACGATTGAAAATGATCTTTTGTTTCATTCCTACCTGAATGAAGTGTTTATTCGGCCACAGCTTGAAACGGTCGTCGAAAACTTTTGGGAACCATTGATCGAGATTTTGGAGGTTGGCCAGACTAGAAATCTGATGGCTTCGGACATACTCAAATGGGTTGCAATGGACACATTTCGTGTGAATTTCAATTGTCGTTTATTACATCCATCACCAACTACAGTGAATCCTGACCATTTAAATTCGATTTATTCACAGCATGAATGGCTAGCTGAAAAATCTAAATTTCCCACCGAATTGATAAATATCGATTTGATTGTTTACAAAGATTCTAGCATTTGCCCTTTGGTTTCCAAACACGAAATTGATTTATCACTCATGTTAGAATCATTATGGAATTGCCTCAAAGATAATGGCTTTGCAATCATATTGATTAGAGATCGCCCATTTCCTGTTGAACGTTATTTGATGGATAAACTCAATATGAAAATATCTAATGAATCTCGTGTTGAACAAGTCATGACAGCACTTGGCAGGACTTCGTTTAAATTATTAGGTGAACGTAGCGATCGAATGGGCGTGCATTCTTTCCTCATTCGTAAAATTTCCATTGAAATTATTCCGGAAAATCAAATCTACATTAACTTTACAAATAATGTTAAAGATTGGTTCGAATTGTTACAGAATAGCCTTAAAGAAATCAAAAATAGTCAAATTGTGGAGCAAAAATTCGTATGGTTAATTGCCAATGATTATAATTCTGGTGTACTTGGTTTCACCAATTGTCTACGTAAAGAACCGGATGGTTTGAGAATTAGATGTATTTATAATGGGCAATCAAACTGTTCAATCGACGTTGAATCCGAAATGGTCAAAAACATTGTAAAACTTAACCTACAAATGAACGCTATCGGACCAGATGGATCATTTGGATCATTCAAACATTTTTCATTGTCCAGCGAAGATACTGAACTTATACCAGTGGAACATTGTTTTCTTAATGCACATACACGTGGTGATCTGTCCAGTCTTCGATGGTTTGAAGCTCAACACAAACATTGGCCAGCAAATCGTAAACCAACTGAAAATTTCTTTACAGTCTATTTTGCTTCATTAAATTTTCGAGATATTATGTTGGCCACGGGTAAATTACCACCGGATGCCTTGCCATTAGAAATTGGCTTAGATGATTGTTTATTGGGCATCGAATTTGCAGGTCGTGATGAGAATGGTAATCGTGTAATGGGTATGAAACAATCGAAATCTTTGGCCACCACTCTTGTATATGATGATGCTAGCTGTCTGACATGGCCAATACCTGATAAATGGACAATGGAAGAAGCGGTAACCATTCCTGTTGCATATGGTACTGCATACTATGCTCTATTGATTCGTGGTAATCTACGAGAAAAAGAAAAAGTTCTTATCCATTCTGGAAGTGGTGCCGTTGGTCAGGCAGCTATCGCTATTTGTCTTAGTTACAATTGTCATTTATTTATAACAGTCGGATCCGAAGAAAAACGAACATTTTTGATGGAAAAATTCCCTCATCTAAAACCCAATCAATTTGCCAGTTCACGTGATACGGCATTTGAGAAAATGATTCTACAGGCTACAGATGGAAAAGGTGTCGATGTTGTTTTGAATTCATTAGCCGAAGATAAATTGTTTGCAAGTGTCAATTGTTTAGCTCCATATGGACGTTTCTTGGAAATCGGAAAGTTTGATCTGTCACAAAATAGCAAATTGAGTAAGTTTCTTTTATGATAAATCGTATTATACTTATATTTATGATTTTTATTTCAGATTTGTCCCAGATAATGAAAAACAAAACTTTCCATGGCATTTTACTCGACAATATGATCCATGTTTATGATTGTACACCGAGAAATATTCTTCGGCAACGAGGTAAAATTCGTGATTTGATTTATGAAGGTATGACCAATGGAGTAATTCAACCATTGAATCGAACGATATTCACGGTGGATAAATGTGAAGAAGCATTCCGATACATGACCACTGGAAAACATGTTGGAAAAATTCTTATAAAAATTCGTGAAGAAGAAATAGCAGGAAATGAAAATTTTGAAGAAATAATGGCCCATAATAACAGTTTACGAATACCAGCCTTACCTCGAACTGTATTTCATTCCAGTAAATCATACATTATAACAGGTGGATTGGGCGGATTCGGTATGGAATTAATGAACTGGATGGTCGAACGAGAAGCTCGTCATTTTGTTTTAACTTCAAGAAAAGGAGTCAAAAATCTTTATCAAAAATGGCGTATCGATCATTTTACTGAAATGGGTGTTAAAATTGAAATATTCATCGATGATACGACTACCGATGATGGTGTAGATCGATTGATTAATACGGCTCAAAAATTGGCTCCATTGGGTGGAATTTTTCATTTAGCAATGGTTATAAAAGATGGCCTATTTGATAATCAAACCTTGGAATCATTTGAAGATGTTATCAAACCTAAAGCTAACACATTTCTCCTATTGGACAAATTAACAAGACAACGATCGATAAATTTGGATTATTTTGTTGCTTTCTCATCGATCAGCTGTGGTATTGGAAATCCTGGCCAAAGCAATTACGGATTAGGTAATTCCGTTCTAGAACGTGTATGTGATCAAAGACGACGTGATGGACTACATGGATTGGCCATTCAATGGGGACCTATCGGAGATGTTGGTTATATTATCGACAATATTCGTGGCAATGATATTGTTGTCTGTGGTGCACTTCCACAACGAATACCATCGTGTTTGAATGTACTCGATCGTTTATTGCAAAATCCGTTTGCCGTATGTTCCAGTCTTGTATGGTCGGATAAAAAATTGGGTCTACATGGTGGCAAGACTAGTTTAATCAAAACGGTTGCACATATTCTGGGCGTCAAGGATTATGAAAAACTGGAACCAAATGTAACGTTAGGCGAACTTGGCATGGATTCATTGATGACCGTTGAAATTAAACAAGTGATTGAACGTGATTATGATGTTGTATTTTCATTACAAGATCTACGTAAATTGACCATAGCTCAAATTATCGAAATTGGTCAGGGTAAAGCAAAAGAAACGCTCATCACTAATGATGCTGAAAATAAATCGAATGAAAAACGATCGATGGATGAGAAATTGGCACCAAACCAACCGATAGTTTATTTGAATGATATAATCAATGGTGATCCTATTCTATTCTTTCCGCCTTTAGATTCTACATTCGATGGAATGTTACCCATTGCACAGAAACTTAATCGTCCAGTTATTGGTGTAAATTGGACACATGAATTGAAAGATTTCAAATCACTCAAAGATACAGCCGCATATTTCATACGAATACTTGAAACTCAGCTACCAAATCTTGATCATTATGATGTAGTAGCCTATTCGTTTGGTGGTGTCGTTGCATTGGAAATGGGCCTACAGCTACAGAAACGAAAATCGGCCCGTCTACAACGTTACAATCAACTAATCCTTTTGGATTCATCACCCAAACAATTCAAAATCTATACCGATGTCATTGCCAAGAAATATGAAATCGAAAAAGATAAAATCACTGATGCAGCATACATTGATTCAATGTTGATGTATTTACGTGGTAAAGTGACTATGGATAATACGAAAATACGTGAAACATTGTTAAAAATGAATGACAACCAACAGCGGATCAAATTTTTAGGCAATGTCATTCGACAAACACAAAATATGGATGTAAAAGATGAAACACTTGATTACTTAATGCAAACACATTATAACAAATTGTTTATGGTGAATCAATATGAATGTCCAGCGAAACAATTTGAAGGCGATATCATACTCATACGAGCTTCAAGTGTTTTACTCAAATCCGATTATGATGAAAAAAATATTCGTACTGATTATTGTATCGATGATCTGGTGAGTAATTTATTGTAATAATTGATTGTCAATTTTGTAATTGATTTCTGTTTTTTTACCAGATAACCGGTAAATGCCATTTACATATATTGGATGGTGATCACGAAACATTCATCACAAATAATTATGATCAATTGATTAAATTGATTAGAAATTATGTTTGAATTCAATTTATTACTTTTAGCGTCCATGATTTATTGAATTGATTTTTATTTTAGATTCCAATTTTAATAAACAAAGTTTTCAATTTATTAATATATTTTTATATTCGTTGAAATAAAAATTTCATCATTGCAATTTTCCGAATTTCAAAAAATTTACGTACATTATGAATTAATGTTGTTTCCATGCATGGATTGGAATTTTATATTTCGGTCAAAATATCAACCCGAAAAATTTTTTTTTTGAATCACCATGACCGTTCTGATTTTGTCACGTTTTCGGCCATTAGTTCAAATAACTGTGATCAACAGCAGTCATAGTTTCAAACAGGTAATTCGAAATCCTTCGATTCGATCATTTGTTTACAAGTTCAATCGAAATGAATCGATACCGAATCAAACCATTTTACTTCAACACAAATATTGGAACGCATCGGATTCTCGAAAATATATGTCTTTGCTACATTGGATTCGAAGAAGGCGACGGATAAAAAATCCATCCATATTTTTCATTGGCTTTTCTGCCATGTCATTATTACTCGTGATTGAATTCTTTTATGATAAATTTCGTCGTTCAGGACTATCATTAACAGAATATTTTCGTTCATCAACATCGAAAGATTCAAAATTGATTGCCGAATTAAATGATGATCAATTGTCGGAAAAATTCGAGACGAGATATGCTTCTATATTGAATGAATCGGAAATTCCGAAATTAAAACCATCTAGGATTGTAAGTATGAGTGAAATATTCGAATCAAAATTGTAAAATTTTTTTCCAACAGGTTCCTGGGACGATTGCTCTTGATGACTTGAAATTAACCTTATTTCAATATCAGAACTGTCCATTTTGTTGTAAAGTTCGGACATTCTTGGACTATTATGGATTACCCTACGAAATAATTGAAGTGAATCCGGTGATGAGGCAACAGATTAAATTCTCTAAACATTATGGCAAGGTGCCCATTTTGTTGGTCACTGATCTAAAGGGTTCATCGCATGATGAAATTCTTGTAAGATAATTCTTAATATGAGATTTGATCATTGTAACTTGGTTTTTTCATATATATAGCAAATTAACGATTCTACATTAATTGTTTCAGCAATGAATTCCTACCTTTTATCAAAGAATCCAAAATCAAGACATAATGGAGAATCAATCACTAATATGATGCGATGGTATTTGAATAGTCATGTTCTATCCAACGAATTAGAAGAGAATGAAAAAGATAAAGATGGATCGACATATGGAGCCACGCGATCGAATGCTGAGCTAATCAACCGATATTTCCTCATGATTGGCGATGTTGATCAAAGAAAATATGAGAAAATCGATCCATTACTAGCACAAGATCGTCGGTGGCGACGTTGGGTCGACGATCATTTGGTCCATGTTCTTTCACCGAATATTTATCGTACCATGGATGAAGCATTCGATTCATTTGATTATTTCGCCAAAGTTAGTGAATGGGATCAAATTTTCTCCAAATGGGAGATTATGATCATAACGAATGTTGGTGCCATGGCCATGTATATGATTGGCAAACGATTGAAAAAGAAATATCGACTTAAAGAAGATGTTCGACAATCACTATATGATTCTTGTAACTATTGGCTAAAAGCAATTGGTCCAGATCGAAAATTTATGGGCGGCGATACACCCAGTCTATCTGATTTGGTATGTTGGCCGTTTCATATGTATATTTAAATCCATTATTGACATATGAATTTTTTTTTTTGCCATTTATTAACAGACTGTTTACGGAGTTCTGAGTTCAATCGAAGGATGTGAAGCATTTTCTGATCTGATTAAAAATACAAAACTATCCGAATGGTATTATTCAGTCAAATCAATGGTCAATGAACATCGTGGAGCGAATGATATTCAACATCTGTTTGGCTAGTAAATAAAAGTTTTTATTGAAATGGGATTATATTTGGTCTTTCAATATTGATTCTATTGAAAATTGAATGAAAAATAAAATTTTAGTCATTCTTCTCTAAATTGAATAAATTCTATTGATTTCTTCTTTTTTTTTGTTAAATAGTTCATTTATATTATATCCAAGAATATGGCAATGGTCAAAATTGAAACAGAATCTTATGAAGGAATCTTGTTAAGTACATAGTTGGTCACATCCATTAAATATGAATATTTAGTCAATACTTGTTGACGAGTAGATTCATTGTTACATTTAGGATACAATGTTTGACATTGATCACAATGGTAAACGCCACCCAATTCTCTGCCTTTTTCAATAGCTGCCAATATATATGATACATATGTATCATCAGTTGGATATGTATCGAAATAGTTATTGGCCGATTTATTCACCTCATCCTGGCAGGTTTGTTCGCACATCACCTGTGCCGTACATTGTGTTAATCCATTTTGATGACCTAATAAAATTCGAAAATTAAACACTTGTATATGACATATATATTCATTATTATTTGATACGAACCGATAGTAAGCAACACGCGAAATATAAGATTGCGACCAGCTCGTTGTGTTAATGATGTAGCACCCAGGCTACGAATCAATGCATTACGACGATGGGGCATGGAACGTATTCGTTCAATGGCTTCTTCAATCGGTATACCAACAGTCATCATTTGTCCAGCATTCCATCGTTTCATTGGGCCATCAGATTCTTCATCGATTCCCACTGCTAAACTAGATCGAATAAATAATGCTGATAACGATACGATCAATAGCACAAAAATAATGCTGGAATCAAACAGCACCTGCGACACTTTCATTTGAAAAGTTTATTTACATTACAAAATCAGTACAAAAATTGATTCAAATTGAATGTGACCATTGATTTGATCATTTAATATCGTATGAAAAAGCAATCTTTTTGTTACACCATAGAAATGCGTTGAATTGTCTTAATCTAATGGATAAAACCATATGATAATGTTAGCCATTTCTATATGTTTGCTTAGTTGCAACTAGTGTGTAAGTGTGTGTGTGTGTGTGGACAGGAAGACCAGCCTTTTCCGTTCTAATCGTAAACAAACAAAAAATATTTCAAATATAGTGATATTTTTGTCATAATAAACATGGCTATAAAAAATGATTTTTACATGCTTGGTTGACGTTTTTATTTTCATAACATTCTGATTTTTTTTCTTTGTATTACCATTATAACATCAAACAAAAATTTTTCTCTGTTTCTTCGAATATGATTCATAGTGTGTTATTAACAGCCTAGCCTTGACGTATGTTTGATTGTTTTCTGGTAAATTCAAACAAATCCATTGAAATGAATGTTGAAACAAACAAACAAGGATCAAGGACGGACAATTCAAGATCCATAATTTCTTACATGTTTTTCACAGAAAATATAGCTTTGAAATATTAAACATAAAAAAAATCATTCTGATTTTATTTGATTTCATGATATAATTCAATATTTTTTTTCTACTACTACAATTATTACTATAGACAACTAAAAAATGAAAAAAAAAATTAAAATATATGAATGAATTGCATGCATATTTCACTGGAAACGCATACGTTGTCCACACAGTGAAGATAAATTGGTGAAACTTGTGGATGCGTTCTCAGGAATGAAGCCATCTTCGTTATAGCCGTTGTCCAATTATTATCATATTTTTTTTGATCATCTAAACATTTATTGCAACAGAAAAATAATGAGATTCGAAAATGTTTCATTATTGATCTGGATTTGGATTGTGATTATTTTCATTTTTTTTTTTTGCTTTCTTTCACTATAGAAACTAATGAGAATAAACAGCAGGAAACAATGGTACTCTATTTAAATTGCCATGCAATTTGAATTAATCAATAGTTTGTGGTTGAATGGACAACGGGCATTTGGATCGATGATACAAACAAAGAATGGCTTCGTTTTATGGGGAATTATGCATTATATTTCACGGCGGAATTCCAAATTTTTCTGGAATGCTTGTGGTGCATAACGATTGTAAAGACCCCACACGCTGTTCATGAATTTGAGATTATAATTATACATCTCTCCGGTAACTATGTTGGTCATTTGATTAAAAGTAAAAATAAAAAATTAAAAAAATGCACATATACAGAAAACAAACATACATTGGCTTTGTGCATTTGATTTCATTTTGTCATTCATATCTTTCAATTGTGAACATGATGGTGTTCGATTTGATTGTGAATATTTTTGACCACGTGGTGGATCATCACGACCACCGGATCGTTGTCGTCGTTGTTGTTCACGGATTTTTTGGTGAATATCCGGTGTACTAAATGTGATAAATGGAATTGCAGACATCCTGGAGTCAGGAAAATAAAAGCTTTGCTTTTTTGTTGTTGTTGTTTTGAAATAACTTTGATATCTGGATTCAGAAGAGAAAAAAAATTGAAATTTTCAAAATTAGCTCGGATTAGTGTATGAGAAAATTAAAATGGACATCAAAAATTCAATGGACAATTCATTCATGTGTATCTGAATGAAATTATTTGAAATGAAATGAAAACAAAAAAAAATTTATTATTTCATACTACTGTTTGTATATCTCTTGCTTATTCATCATTATAATGCTTCATATATACAGATAAAAGCTCATATTATTTACAAAAATTAACACTGAATTTTCTGTTTTTTTTTGAAAAACAATGTAAAGTAAAGTAAAGTAATGTAATGTAAAATGTAAATCGAAATTCTTGTCACAAACATATAGCAATAGTAATAGTAACAGCTACTGGAAGTGATAGATAAAAAGATATACAATTTTTTTCCTATTTGAATGTTAAAATGTCAAAATGAAGACACTATTTTGATCTTTTTGTGAAACAAACAGAATCCTGGATTTGAATGAATGAATGAATGAATGAACGAATAAACCAATAGTCACAATGAACAGAACAGAATTTGTAAAGATTAGCAAATGGACAGAAATGGTGCACGCTGATTTTTTGAATATTTTCTCAGAGAGAAAAAGAAAATGGGATCTAGTTGAATTTGATTAAATTAAATTTTTGTTTTTTTTTTTTTTTTTTTCTTGTTAGAATACTAGTTTTCTTTCTACACTGATTTTTTTTCGAAATTCTTAAACAAAGTAAATTTTTTTTTTTTTAGTATCCTACTATTTGGAAAAGACTTTTAAAAGTGAGAAAATAAATCGATAGAGTATTAATGAATGATAATGATAACAAGGTTTAACAATATGGACAGAGATTCTGGTCCAGATTCAAATTATTATTAAATTACGATTGGTTTTTGCAGTCAATTTCCAGTGTGTATGTTTATATGATGATTATACAAATGATATTTTGTGTTGAGAAAAGAGAGAGAGAAAGAAAGAAACAAAACAACAAAATCAAATAAAGATTCGAAATTCAATGATGATGATGATGATAGTGTTGGATAAATTCAGAATGTAAGTAGATAGACACGTTCGAAAGATAATTTGGTTTGATTTCTTCTTGTTGATGGTTGCCAAAATATTGGTGTAAATTTCTTCATCAAAAATTATTTCGTCGTTTCGTATTTCTGAAAATTACAAAATTGAATTTTGTTCATATATAGAGAAGGAAAGAATATATATATTTTTTTTTGCAGAACCATTAAACAAACAAATACGAAGATGAAATTATTTTTTTCAGGCTTTGAAATTTTATGATAACTTCCGCGAAAGCAAGAAGCTTATTTATGTGAGCGTAAAATGGATTCAATTTATATATACACACACACACACACACACACAAACACATGCACATGAAAGGCAAAGAAAAAAAAATTCAATAATTTGATTCGTTATTTTTTCTGCTCTATAAAGTGAATTATGTCATACTATGCGAAAAATTGAGTGTATGTGTGTGTGTGTGTGTGTATGTGTGTGTATGATAGTGATTGATCAACAGATCGTTTGTCAAAATGTCGCATCAAATTTCGTTCGCTCGACTCTAAAATGATCGATTGATTGATAGATAATGGTGATGGATAGAAAAACAAGAAAGAAAAAAAAAGAAAGAAAGAAAGAACAATTTTTATCATCATTGAATCATTGTTTATATAAATCAAGTCATTAGTTATCATCATTTCAAAAATTATCGCTAAATCAAACTAAACAAATATATTTCCAAATTTGATTTTATCTTTTTCATCATAATCAACATCATGAATTTTGGTTACAAAAAAAAAAAATTGGTGACAATGATCAAAGTCCTCATAGATATATATATTAGTTTTAAATATTGTGATGATCGATATATACTCATATAAAATCGATTGTTGTTGTCGTTGTTGATGTTTACAATTTTTTTTTTTTTTTTTGGCATTTGCTGATATAATTGCCAAGTAAAAAAAAAATTTTTCTTTCTGATAATCAATTGTTATCGATTTTAAAGTCATCCATTTTTTATTCACAAGGGAATGTAGGTGTATTCGAGCAGCAAGTAAGCTCGATTCTCGTTTCAAATCTAGTCATTTTTTTTCTATCCCTGATCATATTATCGCTGATTTTCATTTTATTTATTTTTTTTTTTTTTCTCTTTTTCATTTTATCTCTTCAAAGTAGATTCAACTCATTTTTTTCTGTATTTTTATTTTCAATTTCAACGTTTATCGTGTTTGTTTGTAAACGATAACCAAGAGGTGTGTAACCAAGCGAAAAAAAATAGGCGTAATTACACATACATTGAAAAACTTTTGCAAATGCCGTAAGAGAATTATCCGAATTACGAAAAAAAAAATGAAATCCGTTTTTTATTTTAATTTTTTTTCTGGTCAAATAATTTCGTAACCAAACGAAAGTTATATGATAATAAACAATTATATATAGTCATATATGAGCAAGCGAAGAAAAAAATAGCTCAACTCAATAACTTGAACGTAAAAACTTGAATGTATATGACAGAAATAGTCCAGAATTTTGTTTTTTTTTTACAAACAATGACAATAACAACTAAAATTGGAAACCAATATATGTTTTTATTTTCTCAATTTGGCCACTTTTATCATCATCATAATCATCATAATATATGATGATAATCACAAAACGAATCATTGAATTCAATGAAAATCAAATGAGCAATAAAAAAAATGAGAAAATAATATCATCGAATCATTTTTTTTTTTTTGAACAAAAGAACGATCAATATGAAATGAAATGAAATGATCGAAACGTGATCGACCAGTTGTATATTACATATACATGATTTGAAGCAAAAAAAAAAAAATGCAAAGCCTTAGTCAGTCAAAAGATTGAGAATGAAGAGTTAAATCGATATATGCATTCGATTGGATGGCTCAAATGTCAACACCATATTTGGTTTGGAAATAAAAACGATGATGATGATGATGATGATGATGATTAACCGAATGATTTCTCCGGAAGAAATAAAATAAAACGAAGCAAAAAGAAGAATTTTCAAGGGATTTTTAAGGGTAAATCGTTTCTCATCAATTTGTAACCATCAAATGATGATTAGATCTATATTTGTCAAAATATTTCACATTCCTTTCACATATATTTGTACATTTCAAATGAAAAAAAAACATTCATATATACTGATGATAAAAGATTATCCATACGTCTATCAGAAAAAAAAGCAAAACAAAAATCCAAAGTATATTTCATACGTGAGTGTGTGTGTGTGTGTTATCACTGCCTAACGACCCGAACACAAGCGAATATTGATCGATTTCATCAAACATAATAATAATCTTACATGTTGTATTGGCAAAGAAAAATAAAACAAATCATAAAAATGACAACATTGAATTCCAACATTGATATTTATAACCAATTTGTCGATGAAAGCGAAAAAAAAATAAATCGTTGATAAATAGCCATCAATGTAAAATATAAATGGAGAGAAATATATAAACAGAACAAAAAAAAATGATGATAAATTAGTATGAAATAGATAAAAAGATTTGACTTTAGAAAACGACATTTTGATCATCCATAACTATATCATCATCTTATATATATTATATTATAATAATATAAAGTCGATGAGTACACTACATCAAAGTTTTTTTTTTTCACTGATTTCAAATTCACATTCATTATCATATGTTTGGCTCTTTAACAATCGTTTGGAGCAAAAAAAAAAAATATCAACAACAACAACAACGACAACAATTTATTTTTTTTCTATAGAATAAACTAAAATCTTCATTTCCATTTATTTATCATCATCACTATTAGTTTCATCATAACAACAATAATGCATATATATCAACGAGTTTGATTTCAAAGAGTTTGAGCGAATAAAAAAAAAGTTGAATGCAAATTTATCATCAATAACATAAAACTTGAATATTTATTTGTAAAAAAAATCTTTCAATATTCTTCTCATATTTGCTTGGAACTTCTAAAGTCAGTACAAAAGTTGATCCTGGATCAATCAAATTGACGAATTTGTGGATGGAGAAAAAAAATCCATCGCCGATGCGGGCTGGCATCTTATAGACAGGTCTACACACACACACACACCATATGGATGTATTGTAATTTAAATTTTTTTGTCAGAAAAATAAATTTTACTTTACTTTGTATTCCGGTAAGCTCAACTGATGAAATTCAATGTAACCAAAAAAAAAAAAAAAAAATAAGTTGAAGCTAGGCATTTATTTTTGTCTTTTCTTGGGTATTATTTTGGATTTAGAAAAATAAAATAAAACGAGAAAAAAAACAACAAAGAGAAATATCCCATACAAATAGTCTATATTTCATCTGCAACACGATATAACATGAAAAAATGAGAACAAATAAACGAAACTAAAAAAAAAATCCTTTTACTTCTCCGTTATGGTTCTGTTCACATAAATTCATTTATCTTATTTTGGTTGTCCAGAAAAAAAAGTTGAATCCAAAAAGATGCAAAACAAGCTCTGATTTGGATTTCGATTTTTTTTCATACAATATCATATCTAATTGGTTATTAATTTTTTTTTTTTTCTCAAACTTGCATTATCATTACTGCTGCTGTTTTGCTTACCCGGCAATATATAATGGTTAATTAAAAACCAGAAAAAATGGCTCTATCGACAAACACACACACACACACAGAGAGAAAAATATATTCGAATAGCAAAAAAAGAATAATCAATTAGTTTCAAGAAGTAAAAAAAAACAAAATTTGGAAAGTAAATAGCATAATAATATACCATATCTAAAAAAAAACAAATACTACGATAGCCAAGGTAAAATAAAAACAAAAAAGTTTTGATTCAATACATTCACTTTGGAGTACATGGAAATAATTCTAAACTAAATCGCTTCAAAAAAAAAAAAAACAAAAACAAAATAAATTTCATTCATTCATCCATTATGTAAATTCCGATGAGAATAAAATTTCTAGAACTTTGGTATAGTTTTTTCCCCTTTTCACTCACAATGATGTGAAGACACACACAGAGAAAAGAGAGATAGACAGATTCGAGAATAGAATCAAATTAAAGTCATCGTTGTTTTTCTTCTATTTGGTTTGGTTATATAATTTGCTTTTTTCATTAAGATAAAGTCTTAGCAAACAAAAAAAAAAAAAAAAAAAATACCTACACATTAGGGACAAAATTCATTCGTTGTTGTTGTCTATTAATTTCCATACATTCTTTTTGTATATGTATGAAATAAAAAATAACTAAGCCAATCTTATTGCGTTTCAATTGAGTTCAACGGTGTGTGTGTACAATAATAAATTCCAAATTTGTTTAATTTGAAATTCAGAATTTTTTTTCTGTGTTCATCACTGGAAATGAACATCATGTTTTCGTTAGGATGGATGTAACAAAGCAAAGATTGGAAACATTATTTTATGAATGTTAGTCAACAACATATCATGATCATATATGTACAGAATAATTGAAGCCAACATGATCATAATAATAATGATAAATCAGAAAAAGTTCATCTTGAAATCGTTGAAAACTTTCTTATTTTTGTTATCAAATTATGATAGAAAAGCAGTTGAATTCATTTACAGTGGTGGGATATATAGGAATTGAAAAACATGTTCGATTCTCTCATTTGAAATTCTCGAAATGGGAAGGAGTTAAAATAGACAGGACTACTGGTTGACTGCCTACAAAAGATTGAACTGGTCTTTCATTTCGGTTCGTAATTGGAAAATGTGATACTTTTTTTTTGATTTTGTTGTCAAAAAATCTGTTGATAGAAAATAAAAGTTATTATACGAAAAAAAAGCAAAAAGAAATTTAGATTTAAACATATTTACAACGAGTGTGTGTGTGTGTGTGACATTATTATATGGTCACGAACGTCATATTATTTTTCGTCAAGTTATTTATAGTGAAAAGAAAATACTTTTTATTCGTTGCCAGTGACAAAAAAAAACGATTACCAAACATATACATACACAATAATATATATATTCGTTTCGTTTACAACCACAATGCTTATCTTGTTTCATTTGATTCGAATGATGAAGAATGATTATCGATTCGATTTCATTAGATCTAAAACATGGATAAACACATAGATTATGAGAAGAAAAAAAAATAAATAAATAAAAAATACTCATCATTTGATTTCAATATGTTGAGATCATCATCAAGAGGCACACGTATGTTTGAAAGACATTTTTTTTTTTTTTGGCACACTAAGATTCGAAATTGTCACGTAAGTCACAAATGGTAAAATGGTTATGTGATGCTTTATATCATTGAATTTTTATTTTTATTTAGCAACAAAGATTAAATTTTATTACGTGATTAATATATATGAGAATAAAAAATAATGTCACATGTTTTCAATGGAAAATTATTATATATCTACAATATTATGCGAATTTATATTAAGAGCAAAAAAAAACTCAAGTAAACAAGTACACACAGTTGTGATTTTATTCATTCATTCATTCATTCATCCATCCACACATAATGTATAATATACAAAGTAAACATATTATAATGAGGCCAATTTTTTTAAAGAATTTTTTTATTTTTCCCAGAAAAAAACAGAATTTATAATTGATAATCATAATAATGATTGAAAAAAAAGAGATGAATGATTTAGGATAGAATTTAGGCGAAAAGGAAAGAAAAATTTGATAAAAAAAAATTAAAATGGATCAATTTTTGTCAATTTGTTTGTTTGGTGTGAATGATGTTGTCATCATCATCATCATCATCATCATCATTGATATTAACAAAAATAAAAAATTGGAAAGAAAAAACAACAACAACAACAAGTGCAAATGATGAATGGTTCTACAGTGTGTGTGTGTGTGTGTATGTTGGTGTATTGGTACTCCAATAAACAAACAACAAGATCAACTAAATAATGACAGAATTTATAATGACATTATCAATTAATGATGTGTGAATGTAATAATAATTAATGAATATGACAGGCGAGTTTTTTTCTTTTTCATCATTCTCTTCATTTCGTCATTATTGATTTTGTTTTATCAATCAAACAAACAAAATTTTGGAACATCAACATCAATTACCGATGATAAGATGAGCCACTACCGCCAATTGTGAATTCATTGTCACTTTATTGATGATATGATAACAAAAAAGTTTTTTTTGGATGCCAATCAACCATCATCATTATTGTCAATGTTTCCAAAATCGGAACAGATAAATTGATCGATTCGAATAAAGTATAGAATTATTTTTTTTCCTGCTGTTTTAATCAAAATGATTAGTGAAAAATGAATAGAATTTGGTTGGTTTAACTCTTCTATTCTATTCTGAAGTATATTTCATTCGATTCAGATGAAAAGTTTGTTTGATTCTGTTTCTGTTCAGCATATTTTTTTTGGCTAATAAATCAGTCAATCGATTTGTTGGAATGAATCTCAAATGAATTCATTATTTTCAAGTGCAAATTTATTTTTATTCGATAATGTGTGTTTGGTGGTAGAATGAAGATTAATCATTGATTAATAAATAAAAAGCATCAAACATGATGACCAGAATGAACCTTTGTGGGTGTGTGGTAATCTTATTTATTTTTTTTTTTTTTTTTTGATTCTTTAGAATGACAATGATTGAATGCCTATCTATCCAAAGTTTTTGTTGTTGTTGGTTTTTTTTTGTCAGTTCAATTGGTTTTCCAATGAATCAAAGGAACATCAACCTAACAGCAGTTGTAAAAGTTATTATAAGTGCTGTACACATCAATTATCTATTGGAATAGAATATTCTTTGTTGTTGTTGTTGTTGTTTGGATTCTATAATAATGTTACATTGTTATTAATAAATGTTTTATGGCATTTATTTATCTATATATGTATGAATGTGTGTCCACATCTTATTCTGATTTTCAAAGTTTTTTTATGTCTATTTTATTAGTTTTTTCTCTTTTTTAATATTGATCATCACCATCATCATCATCATCATCATCATCATTGATTATTTTATCATCGAATCAAATTACCAGAATTAGAGAAAAAACAAACAAACCATGCCAAAAACATAAAAATGAAGATGATAATGATGGTAACAAACAGAGAGAGAGAGAGAGAGAGAGAGAAGAGAAAAATAATGTCAATATAACAAATTAAATAACAATAATGATTCAATGAAGAGTGAGAAATATATAATAAAATCTGAAATTGAAAGATGTAGTAAAGAATTGATGAACAAAACAAAAAATTCTCTCTATCTGTCTGTCTGTGTATTTGTCGTGTTTGGTCGTTCACTTGGGACTATGGGCTCTATCTATCACTCACTCTATCGTTCATATATTTTCTTTCTATATTTGATAATAACGAGATTGAAAATAAAAAAAAAATGAGCAGGAACAATGGAAAAATGGGAAAAAACGTTCAATGTAAAAACATCAAATATGGGACAATATATCATCAATTCTTTTATTTTCCATTATCAAAAAAAAAGATATGTTTGTTGATCGTAAATAAAAACCTTTCGATTCTACATCGCACACACACACACACACACACAGACATTGATCAGATAAATATGTGCAAAACAACACACACACACACACATTTGAAGTGTGAAGAGATATTTAGGAGCCATTGTTACATTTTTTTTTGTGTCTTTTGTATTTGATGATTGGAATTCAATGACACTATTGTGTGTTTTTTTTTGTTGTTGATGATATTCTTTGATTCAATCAATAATAATGATGATGATGATGATAGTAAATGTAGTAATGATGATGATGATGATGATAATCTGTGATATGCTCTATATCTCTGTGTTTCAGTGTTTCAGTGTTTGTGTGTGTTGATGACAAAATGATGATGATTCGATTTGGCCGTAGAAAAGTGTGGCCGGTATCATTTTATTATTTTATTTTTTTTTGTATAAAAAAGGCATAATGAGTATTTTGGTTGGTTCGTATTCAATTTTTTTTTTATTCTCTGAAAATGATTATGATTCAGTTAATAATAATGATGATGATGATGATGATGATGATGAACTGTTTTTGTGGATATCGATTTGGGATAATGATCAAAAATTGTGTGTGTGTGAAGAAAAAAAATAATAGGGCTGTTGTAGAATTGAATATAATGTGATTTGATGTGAAATGAGAAAAAAATACAAGAGACATAGGATGATGATGAGAAGAAAAAAAATTGTATCAGAATTTTTTTTGGTTTGTCAATTTTTTCCATGTTTCTCATTTTTTTTACAATTTTTTTGTTTAAGCTATCAGAAAAAAAAGTAGTAAACATCATCATCAACAAACAAACAACCAAACAACCGACCAACCTCAATTATCATTTATATTAATATTAATAATATATAATATGGCTGTATTGGTCATTTTGTCATTCGAATTTCCATTTTTATTTTTTCCTGTAGTTATTTTATCATAAATATGATGATGATGATGTCCATTTCTTCACAAGATTTCTTCATTTTTTTTATAGTCTATGTTATTGTCAAAATTTTGGCCCAAAAAAAAATAAGTATATATGTGTGTTTGATGGTTTGTTTAACAAAAAAAAAATGAAAATGAAAATGAAAATTTCTTCTTGTTAAAAGCAATAATATTGCACAACATTGTGAACAAACAAGATGATGATAATATAATCATTATATGATTAGTATATGATGTATTTAGTAATTTAGTAGTAGTTTTATTCACGCCCATTTAGAATTTTTTTTTGCTGTTTGTTTGTTCCAAAAAAAAAAAAAAAAAAAAATTTTCACTTTTTTCATGTGTTTAGCGTTGTTGTTGTTGTTGTTGTTACTTGTTTACGCTAAAGTTGAATAGAACCTTCATGTAGCTCATCTACTGTATCACAGTGTACTTGATCGCCATTTGAATCAGTTTCCAATATGGTAGGCGTTCCAAATGGGCCAGTTGCATATTGTGAACGTAGATGACGATTCAATGTTTCACGTAATGCACTACTTTTTCGATATGATGTCACTACCAATACGACAAATATAATTATATAAATGACCAATACGACCTATTGTGTGAACAAAAAAAAAAGATAACGAAAATAATTTTAAAATTAATATATCCAATCCAATTAATTGTAAAAAAAATCTATATTGTGTTAACATGGTAACTTTTGTGATGATGATGAAATCCAATGGCTAACAAAAAAGGTAATGAATGGCTGAATTTTTTGGTCATTCCTTTTAAATCTAAAATTACAAGATATTACAATGTAAACTAAGCTACAATGACATTCATATGATTGCTATCGGCAATGATAAATATTCTAGACATCAAACAATGAATGCATTTCAATTATTTTTGCTCATTCTTGGAATGTCAACTTTCATTTGGCCGGGGCCAGCCGATCGGTCGATTTTTGTTTCATTTTTTTTGTCCAGAGTATCCAAAGCTAATTTGTTATTTATGTTTTGAAAAAGTTTGACCGGTCGATAGCGAACAAAACCAGAATTCTTTTCCGAGTGTGATCCATTGCCGATGAACAATACATTGGACATAAATAGTCAACATGTTAACGTTGAAGCATTCAAGCAAATAATCATCATCATCATCACCACCGGACAACGACAGACAAGAATAACAAAAATAATGACCAAATTTTTTTGACAAACAAACTAAAATGATAAGAAACAACAAAAACAAAAGTAACAAAAAAAAATGGGCAAATAGGCATTGTGTTCACATAAATCTTTTGACATGAGTTCTTGAACCACGGAATATTTTTTGAAAATAAGAGTGTATCATCTTTTAGATTTACCGACCGGCGGCCTATTTCAAGAAGAATTTCAACATTGCACCACAAACAACGGATAAACAAACAAACCATTTCACATTTTGTGTATATAAGGCTATCGAAAATAGGAAAAAATGTTTTCATTATTCCAAAGTTTGGCAATTTTTTTTTTGTATTTCAAAAAAAGATTTAAATTGGATTTATCTTGCCATTTTTTTTGCATGACACAAATACTATGAAGTGTACACATTTTATATTTTGCCTACTGTAAAATTCGTAAAATTGAAAATGGAAATGAGTAATAAAATTTTGAAAATGAACTAAATGTCCTTAGGCTTAAAGATAATTTAAAAATTTAAAAATAATAAATTCATTTGAAAGTTCATTGTGGTTGGTTGTGACCCCAAAAAAAAAAATAAAATAACATTACAAACACACATACCGTAACATAGATGATAGCATCACGAGATTGGGCCGAAAATACGACCTGTACGGATTCATTATCACCACCATTTATTCCAACAATACCATTATGTCCCATTGAATCATAATGTGCATTTGATGATGGTATCAATCGACACAATAATGAAGTAGATGATAATGATGAGGATGATGATGATATTGATTGAGATGAATGTGATGCCGTTGATGAACGAGATCCAATTGGATCAGTTAGGCTAGAATTATTAAGAAAAAAAAATTATAATTAAAAATTCTGTTAACGGGTTTTATGTCTATGCTAATAAGTGGTTATTTGAAGAAATGAATTTTGAAAATTTTTCTCAAAATTTCTTGAAAATTCTCAAATGAATGAAATCATTCTTTTTTGTGCAAATAAAGAAAATTTGTAAGCAAAATATGCAAATTAAATGGTGCTTGTAAAAGGTGTTAGTAGTGAACCAAAAAAAAAACTTGATTCTAATTGTGTGTATTGGAAATTCTGTTTATATCACTCCCACATACACAGAATATTGATTTTATTAAAAGTTTTTATTATTCTTTTTTTTTTGTTTGTACCCTTGTATTTGTTTATATAAGAAGTTTACGAGTTCAGCTAAATTTTTTTCTCTTCTCCTCATTCATTGAGAAATTTTAGAGACTTTTTAACTTTTTATCAACAAACAAACAAACAAAGTAATTTAGGCAAATAATTATCAAATTCAAATTTATCATCGTTTCAATTCAAGTGGATGTAGACTTTTTGTTGACGATTCATGAAGTCAGTTTTCAAGTTTCATAATAGAATGTTCTATGATCATCGAAGAATGAAGTCCTATGAATGAATGAACCATGCCCAACAACGCTCAACATAAAAATATCATGCATGCACAAGTTCAATTCCATTCAATTCTTTTAGCCAAAAACACACCAGAATAAAAAATAATAACATTGAAGGCACATTCTCATTTTGTTTCATTTGAGTTAATTATTTGCAAATTTGTGTGTGTGTGTGTGCGTGTATTTTCTAGATAGGAAAAAAAACGTTTTCAAATTTTCATCCATTTCTCTCTATTTTTTTTTGTAATAATCATCAACATTTGTGCCGAATAAATGAATGCTGAGTAGATGAATGAATAAATGAATGATTAGATGGCTTAATTAAACATTCAAATATTGTTAGGTCCAGTTATACAGTCAATTGCATATAGTACTAACCAAGAATGAATAAAAAAAAGAGGAAAGAGTAAAAAATAATTCCAATAAACATGACAATGAATGGATATAGAAATGAGCAACAAAAAAAATTGATTGCCAAAAAAACCAAAGCTCAATCATCATCATCATCATATATATATTTCTTGGAATTCTAAAAATTTCCTAAATATACACGACTAATGCTTTTTTTTCTCTAAAGATTCTTAATTTCATATGGTTATGGTTCCAATTGCATTGTATATGGCGAAATCGTTGACGATAATGTTGATGATGATGATGGCCATCAAAATCTTTATTAAGAGAATCAAGAAAAAGTTGAACCTTGCGTGATGAAAACTAATTCTTTTTTTTTTTTGGATTTTTCCCCATCACCATTAGAGATACCGACCAAAGTGCTAAATGGCAATAGGAAAAAGTTATAAAAGATTTTTTTTTAGATTTAGTTTGAGTATGATGATCAAGGCTACCATCATCATCATACAATCATGAATAATATTTGAATAACTCTTTGAATGACGTACAGAATAAAAAAAGTGCATGATTCTTTCAGGGGGGCAAAAAAAATATGAAAATAATAACAAATGAATAATAAATAGGATTCTCTATACTACTAAATAGAAAAGAATGATTATAAAGTATGTAGAATCCATATGGACATTTATATTTCATTTGGTTTTTGTTAAGTCTGTACATGTATATATGTATGGTAAACAAATTTCATCGTGTTTTTACCCGAGAAAAAAAATTCGATTACAAATAAATAATGAAAGGTGTTAATTTTATAATCGATTATGATCATATTATAAATGTTCAAGGACCATTCATTCAACAACTTAATCTTTTTGCAAGAAACATGAAATCAAACAACAAAAACCTCTTTTTTTCTCTTGAATAAAAAATTAATATCATATTTTTGCACTGCAAAAACATGCGTATTGTATTCTACCAGAAAAAAAACAGAGTCAGATTAAGTGAAATCCATTTGGTTTGATGTAAAAAAAATAAGGTATATGATTCTTTCGTGTTGTTGTTTTTTGTTTGTTGATAACGACAAATTGAAATAAATGTATTTCTAACAAGAAAAAAAAATTCAATTCAATTTGATTATGAATCGGAAACCATATTTTTCGGAGAGAAAAAAAAATTTTCAATAGAAAATAGCTCGAAATAAAAACATATTTCTAATACAGATACATTATCTGTATATTATTTGTGAAGTCCATTAAAATATGATTCCAGGATATTATCAAAAAAAAAACGCAAGAAGATCATATCATTCATAAACATTTCATTTTTGTCACATTTCAATGATAAGCAAAAAAAAAAAACAAAACACAAATGATTCTCATACATGATCAGTGCATAAAATATGAAAAATTCTACAGAATTTTTTTTCGTTTGTCCAATATTCATATCTTATTCCTAATTCATTCATTCATTCAAATATCATTCAAAATCTAATGCATGTAAATGATAAAAATACGATGAAAAGAAAGCAAAAAAAAAATCATTTGAATTCAACGAAAAATAAATCAAAATAAAAGAGAAAAAAAAGAAGAAATATCAATATTGATCATAAGTCTATCTCTCATATTAATATTACTATTTGTGTTTGGCCTAAAAAAATAATAATAATGAAAAAAAAAATCAAATCAGTCATGCACAGAAAAAAAATGTCATTGTTGTATTATTCTTGTTTTGACATTGTTGGATTCACTCATTCATTCATTCATTATCATTATCGTCATCGTCCTCATCATCATCATTCATGACCCATAGAAACTAGAATCAAGGTAGGTATGTATGTATGAGTGCATTCACAGTTTGTTCATTCATTTTGATTTGATTTTGATATATGTGGCTCGAGTATTTGTACACACACACACACACACACAGAGAGAGAGAGATACAAAATTCTTTCATAATAATAATAATATATTTGATTTGATTTAATTCAATTTCATTTCAATTCTATCATTCAGTTGGTCGGTCGGTTGGTTGGTTGGTTGGTTGGTCGATATTGCGTAAGCAAAAAAAAATGTAATGAATTGATAGAATCGGGTGTGTATATTATATATATAAAAAAAACCATATTGTCAAGTATTCCATTGAATTTCATTGTCATTATTATTGTAATGTTGGTTGTGATATAAGGAGCTATATTTATCATCTCAATGCACACACACATACACATATACACAATCTGTCAACATATTTGATGAAAGACATAATGATGTGATGGCATTATCATTATTTCATTTTGGTAATGAAAAAAAATGAAAAAAAACGGAAAAAGATCAGATTCAATCTATATGTATGATTCTGGATGGACAAAAATGAATGAATAAAGTCAATTTCAATGAATTTTACATCTTACACATATGAAAATGAAAATGAAAACGCCTGTATATTATATGCACAATCATCTATCTGAACAATGAATTGTATAAAAACATTCATTTCAAAATCATTGATAGAAATTCAATTTATCTGTATTGAATATTGTTGTATGTGAATATTATCATCATTATCATTGTGGTCTACTATTACTATTATCATGTATATTCGATATTCGTCAATTGATAATACCAAATGTCGTATAATAATAGCCTATAGACAGGATTGGTGGCATATGAAATATCATCATATCCATAATTTTTTTTTATAATAATAATAATAATTTCTATCTAGATAAAGAATAGCCAGAAATGAGAGAAAAAAAATTTCCTATAAACTAGCTATTATTTGGTAATTAGGATTTTTTTTTCTTCATTTCATCCAGACTAGATAGATGATTATACAATTTTAATGATGGCCATAATGATGATGATGATGATGTCAACGAGCTTTAGTTACTTTCTATATTTCATGATTATATTGGACATGAATTCTGAAAAAAAATAATTCACTATCAACGCTCATGCAGAATTTTTGTGATGGAGATGAAAGAAATATTTTCAATTATCTTAGTTCTGTGTGTGTGTGTGTGTGTGTGTTTGAAACAATTATTTCTAAATTATCATTAAGCTAACATTGTCTACTAAATGAGCTTTAAGTTGTAGTAGTAGTAGTAGTACTAGTAGTTCTTGTTGTTAACACGATATGTTTCTTGATGATTCTTTGTGAATATTCTCAACATCATGATGTATGGTGTGCGTGTTTGAATGAATGGAGAAAACTCAAAAAAAAATTCATTTCAGAAAATACATGCACAAATGACAAGTTTGAAAATATATTTCAATTTTAAAAAAAAAAAATGTTGAATGTTTTTTCTCTCCTATGAACATATGAATTGAATGAATGATGGAATTTGAAGAATTTAAGCATTATTCTTTCTATATAACAGGAAAATTCTAGTCGTTAAAATCATTTTCGATATTACAGACAAAAAAAAAGATGTTCACTAAATAGGAAAAACATTCTTCCTTTGTCTATGCGTTTTCGTTTGAATGGAAAGCTGTGAATGATAATCATTTCTTGAAATTGAAAGCTCAAATAATCTTGACCAAAAAAAAAAAAAAAAACAACGATAACGACAACAACCATACAGGAAAAAAAGTAATTCGTGACAGCGAAGAAATGATGATCATCATCATCATCGTTATGAAGCTTTAAGCATTCACATTCATCAACCTCAACTAGGATATCGAGTAAGTTAAACAATGTTTTCTGTAAAGGGATCAGGACCATCTCATTGTCACCGTTCTTTCTACCGTTCTTTCCATCTGCATTGAACATATGAATTGAATGAATGATGGAATTTGAAGAATTTAAGCATTATTCAATATATAAATGGTCAGTGCTTATTGGAGGGGAATGATTCCATATATATATATAGGAAACCATGTGAAAACAGAAATTATAACAGGAAAATTCTAGTCGTTAAAATCATTTTCGATATTACAGACAAAAAAAAGATGTTCACCAAATAGGAAAAACATGAGAATCATGTTTTAGTCGTAACAATTTCTATGAAAAAAAATGAAAAAACGAAAGAAATGTCTATGCGTTTTCGTTTGAA